TAATATATTGATAATATTTATAATAACCAATATTAATTACAATATCTATAATTAATTTTGTCATATAAAAATAATTACAGCAGTCTAAAATAATTATAGCAGTCTAAAATAATTTTAGCAGCCTAAAATAATTTTGGCAGTCTAAAATAATTTCGGCAGCTTAAAATAATTATGGCAGCCAAAAATAATTTTGGCAGTCAAAATTATTTTTGGCAATTATTTTTGGCAAATGCAAAATTAATTAAGGTGCTATCTATAGTTACAACACAATTAATAATCTTCAAAATCTAATGTTGCAATATAATTTCGAAGGTTTTTGAATTAATATAATTACAGATGTAAGAAATGAAATAAAATAATAAGAAATTATTAAAGTGGAGAAAACTCATGGTAACAACATCTTAATCAATTTTACTGAGTGTGGACATGTGACTTTGAAGCTAACCAAGTCTTTGCATAATTCATTGATAGTTATTAGTGCATTTCTACAGTACATTCGTTTATGATTTTTACTTTGGGGCACTTTATTTTTCTATTCTTTTCTTTGACATTTTTGTTTTCTATTATGGTTACTGGTGAGATACATTATTTGTTCTTTTGTAATCTCTATAGTTTCTTTTTCCATTTCTTTTCACAATCCTGAGAGAGTTGTACATCATATTGATAAGGTGTTTTGTTCCTTCTGCTATTGTGTTTTCTTTGGATGTCACATGAAATATATTGGTTTTTTATTTTGACTTTATCAAGAAAATTAAAGATAAGTATAAAAAGTTTATAAACGAAATTTTATTGATTCTTTACTTATTAATTAACTGATTCTTTTAAAGCTTAGGTAAAGTGATAAAGGTTGAATTGATTAGTTGAAAAAACATAGCTGACTATATATTAATTTTGCAAAGGTGTCATTTTTGATATATCTATTGTTATTTTTTTTAATTCACTTGTTTTTAACAACATGCAAAAAAATAGTCATAGGTGTCAAAAAAAACAATAGATATATCAAAAATGATATTTTCACATAATTCTACTTTACAGGCTGATCCGTATTAATCATGAATTCACAATTTGATTAGCTGGCCTACATTTTGTTATAAAATGAGTTTCTTTAAATTTAAAACAATAAAATTAAAAGAAAACAGAAACTTAGTGACTTATAAAATATATATTTAAGCAAGTCAAGTTGTTGCAGACCTTCTTAATCAAGGAAAATAGTTTTCTCGTTGCATTAGAAGTTGGTCTAAGGCATTTATTCTTTATAATGATGTTTCAAAAAATAATCATGGTTTACATCTTAAAGGAAGCATTATTGAAGATGAAGATATTTAATTAAATATAGCATCACATTTGTGACAAAATAAATTTAATATAAATATTAATAATTTTTGTGATTATATAGCTAAAGAGATTTTACCTTCTATTGGCATAGAAAAAAAAAAATAAAATAAGATAAAAATTTATTATATTTTTATTTATATTGTATTTTATTAAAATATATTTAAATATTTACAGCACAAAAACACCAAATCGATGGTTAAAAAAAAATGGGTTTTGTATTTAGTAAATATGCAAAAGGAATACATTTTGATGGTCATGAAAGAGATGATGTTGTTGCTTACCGAAAAATATTTCTTGAAACAATAGCCGGATATTTTTAAATCATAATTTTATATTATTTATTCAAATTATATTTATTTTAATTTATTATTTTATGTAATATATAGTTATCAAAAATTAATGCCAAAATTTATTGGTGAAGAGTGTGAAATTCAAATTAATCCTGAATTAAATGAGGAAGAAAAGATACATATCCTTGTTACTCATGATGAAACTACTTTTCAATCTAATGATGGACAAAAATCAGGTTGGAGACCAAAAAATGAACAGCCTTTATGAAAAAAAGGTCAAGGAAGGACCACTCATATTAGTGATTTTTTAACTGAAACAATTGGAAGATTAAAACAACACAATTCCAAATGAAGCCTGTGTTACAATTAATCCAGGAAAAAATTTTGATTGATGGTGGAATATTGATTAATTAATTGATCAGGTATTTTATTTTAATTATATTATTGATTTTATTTTAATTAACTAAATTTTTTATTAGATTAAAACTCGAGCAATACCAATTTTCGAAAAAACCCATCCTGAATGTTTATTTTTGTTTATTTTTTTGAATAATTATTTACGTGTAGTGTTTACAGTTATTTACGTGACGAAAAACTATATAAATACCTATTTTCCGTGATCATAAAAAATGTACGTTATTGGTTAGAATGTAATTATTATAATGTTCGAAAAAAGTAATAATAAAAACGCATTAACTTTATTATTATAAATTAAACCTTTTCAAAATTCATTTTTTTTCCAAATAAACTAATAATAATACAAGTACTTTCAAAGATTATAAATACTGTTCAAATTTATAATGAAATTAAAGATTTTCATATGTTTTGTATCTTTGTCGTTACAGGATTTTTGAAAAATTAGGAATTTGTTTACATTTTTTCAAACATTCGCTATAACGTTGATACAAATCTTCATCCTTATTAAAGTTATTCAAGCTATCCACATGAAGATACTCATTTCCAAGACCTGATGGTAAATCCGGAAGAATTTCCTTCCTTACCGAAGCCAAACTTTCTACCAACAACCTTAATTTATCAAGTGTGTTTTGATCCACTTGTTGATATTGCATGGCACTGTTAATGGTAACCCATTCTTTCCACTGGTCATCAATAAGTTTATCTTTACTACAGGCCTTGATTTCGAATAAGTCTAAACACACTTTCAGCACAAACAATGCAGAATCGGCTGCGCCAGATACGAATGCTGGATTATTGGCTTTATTCAAAGCATTTTCAATAATAATCTAAAAAAAAAAAAAGAAAAAAATAAATAATATTAATTCTATTCGGTTGAATGGAATAGATCTTTGTTAAAAAGACAATAACGCATTTAAACCGACCGTTAAACAAACTTTAGCAAGTTTAAGAATGAAATCCGAACGTGCTAAATTTTTTGCATTCATCTTAGGCGCATTATCATCATCAGCATTTGTTTCTGCGATCTCTTTTATCCATAATTTTTCCAATTTAATTGCCTGACAGAAATATCCTAATGCTTGTGAATATGAATCTTGAAGTGATTGTTCAAGTCCTTCGATGATATATCGAGTTATATTTTTAAATTGATCGTAAGCTTTGATTACATTGGTGAATCGAGGATCGGTATAATAACCATCGTGGAAAGGAATTGGTTCATCCCATGCCAAATTTAGAGCACCCTGAATGGAATATTAAGTTCAATCAATTATAACAATAGAATGTAATTAAAGATATTGTTACTTACAGTTTTATAATTAATCAGAAGTACTTCTATTATATTGGGACATTCCACTTTAGCACAGAAAAATTCTATCCTAAATTATAATAAGAATAAAAAAAAAAACCAAGATAAGATAGTTTCCGGAAATAAATATTATGATATTATAAAAAATTCTAATGATACCTTCTAAGTATCTTTGGATCACGGCTCTCGAGTCTAATTGCTTGATTCAAAATAATTTCAACTTTTTTAGAAATTTTAGCAGTTCCAGAAGGTGATGAGGATCCAACGTATGTGATGTCCAATCCGTTGTCCATGTTGTCCACGTTGCTCACGTTGTCCCCGTTGTCCACGTTGTCCATATTGATGCTTTCAGTTTCTTCTTGATTCCTAAAATTATTGTTTCGCATTTCTTCTTCGAGATAACGATTATCTTTCTCTACAAATTCCTATTAGACACATAATAGATATAAGTATTAATACATTATAAAAAAAAGACTTACCATAAAAATCAAAAATAATAAAAATATTATGCAGTGAGTCACACCTTTAGAGAAATAGGAATCACATCTGTAATATTTGAGAAATTAACATCAACCATAGAATCAACATAAATGAGTGTATGTACAATATTCGAACGATAATTGATGATCTCATTATATATTACACTTTCATCAATCTAAGAAATGAATTAAATATTAACAATAAACATTAAAATATATTTTTATTATGAAGGAATTTATTTTATTAACTCACTGCTTCAACATTTGTATCCATAAATTTTATCCATCTACCATCATCAGTCGTACTAAAATGATCCTTATCTTTTTTTCGATCTTTTGAAACCCATATATATGCCCAGTGTTGTCTTTGTCCGTCATAAACTAGAATTGATTTAAGGCTATAAAGACATTTCACCATATCAGGAGTATTAAAAGCATTTTTTATCCTCCGTTCTAATTCATCCTTTTTTTGAAGTAAAGCTAAAATTTTTTAAATAATAAAAAAAAAAGAAATTGAAAATTACTAATTGACGAATAAAGTACAAAAAAAGAAAAAAAAAAAGAAATACAAACAAAATTTTACCATTTAATTTTTGTTCTACTTTGTTCAAGATACCCTCTAACCAAGTCAGTGTTCGTTGTGAATTACCTTTCGAATCACTTTCATCATCATTAGTTTTATCACATTTCCATCGAAAATGGTCAATTGAACCTTTAAGTAGTTCTAAACCGTTATGCTTTCCCTAAATAAAAATGTTGACTATATTAAATAAGCATAAAAAAATGAAAATATAAAAGAAATAATAATTTTTTATTAAAAAACTTTTGTATATACCTGGAATTTAATAATCTTGTCAATTTGTTGAATTGTTTCTTCGAGTTCCCGTTTCATATTTTCAATTTGATTCATTCTCTCCTCTACATTTTCACTATTCTCTGACAAATAACGATCCATGTGTATATCCTTTTGTATTTGGAAAGACGAATCCATAAAAGAAGAGTAATTATCACTGCGATGTTTTAAATTCATAATGAGAATGTGAGCAAGCTCAGTGAAGTATTTTCGCGAATTTCCTTTACTGGATTCTTGTACTAATTGGTCTAATGCAGCATAAATTGTATTATTGGTGGTTGTTATTTCTAGTGGGTATGAAATTAAGAAAAGTGAGAATTAAGGAATTTTATTGATTCTTTCTTTCTTTATGTAACAGTACATATATATATATAAATATATATATAAATATAAAAATAGATTAAGGATATTATATTGTAAACTTCTTTGCTTTCATATGTAAAAAATTCTCCACCAAATTTTCTTGAAACTCCATCTTTAGCGTAAGATTTGAACAACCTTGATTCATATAAAAAATACTTTTTAGAAATCTACATAATAATCGAAATGTGAAAACAAATCAAATTAGATAATTTCAAACCTATCAAAATTCAGATTATATGTAGTCATATTGTCTGGAATTTTTTGTTCAACATTAAATTGATCTCGATAAACTGATCCGGTACGTAAATATTTGAGCAATTTAGTGATAAATTCTGCGTAAGAAAAATAATTATAATTTTTATTCGTATTTTTATCATAAAATGAATAGGTAATAAAACGGATAATAAAAACAGATGATTAGATTTTTTTTTTTTTCAATTTGACACATACTGAACCCAACGGGATCACTATCTCCCCAGCTATCAGTTTTTTCCTCAAAATTTAAAGCATCTAATAATAAACTTGAATCCCCATATGATCTTCGACTTAGAGAAAGAAAGCCAAAAAGTTTTTGAAATTCATGAATAACTACATTTATTCATTATTTACATTATTACATCAGGAAAAAAAAATGGATAAAACAACAAATTATTTTTAGAAAATGATTAATTATTAGCTTAACCATATTTCAATAGTGAACTTTGTACGTGAATTAATGAACCTATAAAGACTCACTATAAATTCACTATAAACTCACTATAAATTCATTATAAATTCACTATAAACTCACACTTTAAGGCTGACTGTCGATTCATAATACCCGAATTTTCTGTTGCACCTCGATGACCAAAATGATTATCATAGGTTTTTTTATTTTTGCCTTTCCAATATCCCTCAATTTCACCCCATTCATTTTTGGTTGGTCGAAATGCCAATAATGATAATCGAAAGATTGGTAAGTGAAATAAAGCTTGAAGGAATGAATTAGCGTAATGATATGAGTTTGAAGGTCTCAAACCGATAGGACTAAAGATACAAAAATATACATAGAGATATTCATAAATTAAAACCATTATAAAAAAAAATGTAAAATTAATTATAAACGGTTAACATATTACGCTGTATCTAATTTCACACGCTTCGAAGGTTGTTCTGGATCAGTCCATGTCCGATTTTCATTATGATAACTTTCTTGAATACTCTGTGGATCATTGTCATCCTAACCCATTTTTTATTGTATTAGGAATTTACCAATATAATAATTTCATTAAAAACTAACTAACGAAAATAATTATTAAATAAACCTTATTATTATTATATTTAACTAATTGCATCATGTTATCTGATTGCATGCTTTCGTTTAGCGCTCTAGTTAAAGATTCTTTGTTGGATTCTATTATGGAAGCATTAATTGCATTTTGCATTTCTTGATCTATAATAATAATAATAATAATAATAATTAAATTTATTCATTAAATTACTCAGGATTATTATTCGGAATAAATAAATAAATAAATAAATAAATAGATAGAAATTACCGTTATTACTGGTTGTCTTCGAATCATTTACGGTTGTATCCATTATATTAGAGAGCCCGGCTGTTGACCAGAAAATACAATGTCATTAAAGGATATTAAAATCATCATTCTTTTGTACAGTCAACAAGTTATTTTTAAAAAGTTCGACCATGGGTATCCGGATTTTATTTTCGGTGATTATGAAACTAATAAGCAATTCATCAACATACATCCTAATGTATGATTGGTTGTTGAATCTTGATTCCACGTACTTATATTATTCCATTCTGTAGAAGTACTTTCGTCCGATGTTAACGGAGCTAAATGAGGTGTCTATAAATGAATTAGCAACATATTATAAAAACTTTTGAAATATGAAATAAATATGAAGACTCACTTCTTCAGGATCAGTACCCGGGTTTTCGAAATAATAATTTGCTGCATGGTTAACGTTATTGTTATATTTCTTTTTTTTTTTTTGTTCAAATAAAAGTTGAAAATGAATTCAAGAAAAAGGAAGTTTATAATATAATGAAATTATTCGAAAGTCATTAAAAGATTTCTGAAAAAATCTGGTTTACCATTAAAGCTTCTTTCGCCCTACTTGCAGGCACACCCTAATTATTTAATAATAAAGTAATTATTTCAACTTGTCCTCCTTTGAATGATATGAATTGTTAGATAAATAATGTAAAGATCAGCAATTACCAGTTCTATTAACTGAACAATAGCACTTTGATCAACAGTGAAGTCCGCCATGAGAAAGAATTATCCATCGGAAAAACGCGATATATTAAATTTTTTGATTGTCCTTATCTCAAAAATCTATATCTGATATGTGAAATGATATTTTAGATAACATATTTTTTTGAACTTTTAATTGGGAACGCGTTGTGAATCAAATACATATAAAAAAAAGAAATTTAGGCAATATGTCAGCGGACGTAGCACCAGCACCACCAATGTCAGGACTTTCTTTTAACACGCATTCAAAAGATCTTTTCCGTTTAGCTACCATCGTTTATCAAAAACAGAAAGAGGTATCACCAACCTATGTGGCCGATATACTCAACAAGGCAACAAGTTTGTTGAATCAAATCACGTTTACGTACTCATACATAGACAAACCTCAAGGTTCAGATAACATTATTTATATTTTCTTTTCTTTTTTTTTTTTTTTTTAGTTATTAGTTATTATAATCTATGTTAGTTTTTATTTTTTTTTTTAAAAAAAAAAATCATTCCTATTATAGAGGGACAACTTTATCTTATTTCCTTATCTCCAAATGTAGAGGAATTACCTTCTGATGGGTATTTTAAAAAATAGTTTGTTTTTAAATATTTTTATTAGATCGATTAAATTTTAATTTAATTTTAATTAATTTGGTGATATAGATATCAATATTTAGATCCGGAAATAACGCTTAGATCTACTTTAGGGAATGGAAGGGTAAGCTTGATGACATAAGGTTTGAACTCAATGATCGTCTCCTCCATTCATTCAAATTTAAAGAAAACATTTATTTATTTTATTTATTTTTTGATGTCGATCGTTTAATCGAAAAGGAATTACTTTGTATGGAACGGAAACAAGGTTTTGCACATGGAGATCCAATAACAAGTAAAGTACGACGTAGATATAGATTTGCAATTGGACATCATGATCTCCAATTACTACATTATTCATCACTAGATGAAAGTCGTAAGTATATTCTAGACAAATTGAAATGAATTAAGATATGAAAATTTATTTCTTTTTATTTTTCATGGTTCAAGTTGATGTCTAAATTAGTTGTATAATGTGTGTGTCCAGAAAGACAGAGAGTGAATTCGGTTAATTCGGATAGACAAATGACGAATACACCATATAATGCACACATAACACCGAGAAGGTATCCAATTCCATCCATGCAAAATATTGGTCCTTATGCAAGACCAACTGGCATGCCTCTTATAAACTCAGTGCAATCTCCTATGCATATACCGGTTCAATCGCCATCAGTGCAAAGATCTCCTATGTCAGTCGCACCTATGATGGGTGTCAATTCATATCAATTTCAGAATCGCACTGGTGGAGGGATTAATCAACGGTTAAACCAACAACAATTACAACAATCTATTTCGACAACTCCCACGAAACAGGCAGGTAGACGAACCAAAGGGGGAAGTAAGGGTAAAGCAACAATGGCAGTAAATGCTGCCTCTTCCTATGATGATACGGAGGAACCTTCCGGAGGTAATATATAATAACATTATAAAATATAATTATTTTAATAAAATAAAATTTTTTTAAATATTGTTACATATATTGTATCTTATTGATTTTTTATGACTTTTAATAGATGAACTTGATCAACTGAAACTCAAAGATGTTTCCATGTCAAGATTTAAAAGAAATCACGAATATATTGCGGAAATATTTTCGGCATATAATATTAGTGCGTAAATGAACATTATTTCTTATAAAAAATGTGAAAATTTTAGGTAGAAGTTTAATATTTTAAATTCACAGATTCCATATTACCACCCGAATCACCTTATAAATCTAAGGATATCGAAAAATTAAAAGAAGAATTGGTGAGCAATAAATATAAATTTAATATGAATTTAGAATTTAAATATGAATTTAATATTGAATTTAATAAGAATTTAATATTGAATTTAATATGAATTTAATATGAATTTAATATGAATTTAGTTATTCATCAAATCTTCATTTTTTCCTTTATTTATTTATTTTACATGATATAACATTATAGGCTGAAAATGAAAAAGAGATTAATAGGATGAAACAAGAACATACAGAAAAAATGAAAAGGTTTAATTTAGAATCTAATTTGCTAACCAAAGGTATTCAAGAAATCAAAAAATGTACATCCTTAGAAGTTAGTATAACATCTTTTTTTTTTTCAATTCTTGATATTTTCTATTTATATAAATATGATTAAAAAAACTACTTACTACTTTATTACTTTTAAGGAAGTTGCAAAATTACAAGAAAAAACAGAAAAGGATTTGGACATTGCAATTGTGCCACATAATCCAATCACAATAGTACAAATGCGAGATACCCCAGATTCAGATGAAGAAGAAGAACAACGAACAATGTTGCAAGATGAAGAATTGGGACGAGAAATGGGAGAAGGAGGATTAGATATAGATGATCAAACATTAGATGGTGTTCATGAAGGAGAAGGGTTAGTGGGAATTGGACAAGAAATTTCAAATTTTGATATTGAAAATTCATTGGTAACAGGAGCAGATATGAATGGCAACATTGACAATGATTTACAGGGATATTTAAATCCAGTTGATGTAATTTTGACTCGAGATCCAAATTTTGTTGGTAGTTCATCGTTTACAAATGATAATATTCTTTCCAATGACCCGACAACTTACATTGGTGATCCTACACTTAGTGTAGTGAATGTGAATGCGAATGCATATACAGGGGAATCATCAGAAATTGTATTTGAAGATTTCATAAGCACCGAAGATGAAGTTATGAATGATCAAGAACTTACGATAAGAGAAATTTATGATTAATTATGATCAATTTAAGAATATAGAATATTTGACAGAAGGAGGATTTTACTACCATTTGGAAAGTTGGACGCTATATATAGAATGGATTATTGAAATAAATAATATAATTTACAATATTTGAACAATAGATTTATAATTTTTGTTCTGTATGGCCTAAGATTTATTTTTGATTACGAATTCAAAATTAAATTGTTTCTCGATATTTTTCATTTCTTTAATTTTTTTTTTTTTTTTTTTTTGATATATAATTTATTATATATCTACTATATACACTATATATCTATTACATTAAATTTACTATATATTTACTAATAAATTGTTTGTTATTTATTAGAAATTGTATAAAAAAATAATATATTCATTTATATTTATTTAAATGATTACTTTCTATTATGAAATATTTTTGCAATCCATTCCTTAATTTCTTTAAATTCTTCATTCTCAACAGAACATTTTTCAAATTGCATTTCATTTTCCAAATGTTCAAATTTAAAATCATTATTTTCATAACCTAAAAATTCTACATCTTCAGATGAATCTTGATGATCTAATGCAGCAGTACGAGTTGACCGTAAACGATTTCTAATTCATCGATGATGAATGACAGAATTAAATAAATAAAAGAAATAAATTAATAAATATAATAAATATAATTTGCCTGAATTTCATTTAATTATTTAATTATTTAATTATAATAAAATAATTTTCATTTAATCACATGCAATACGTTGAACTTACATTTCATTTTCCAAAATTGGTTGTATTCGTTCAGGTGGTAAAGCTGTTATCAAATCACTTTTATTACACGCAATTAATATAGGAATTTTTCGTTTTGAAATATCCTTATTTGAAAGAATGTCATATAAATATCTATATAAAAAAAAATAAAATAAATAAATAAAAAAATAAATTCAATAACTTATTATCATAAATAAAATAGAATAAGAAAAAGAAAATTACTTACTCTGCTATTGATCTTACATTCTTGACACAAGTTGAACTATCAATTAGAAAAATAATTCCTCGCGTTATAGGCACAAAATCCAAGAATTTAAATCTTAGTTTTTCATGTCCCGGTACATCTACTATATGAATAGGTTCTTTTATTAATGGTTTTCCCTATAATTTGTTTGTTAAAAAAAAATATTAAGTAAAAATTTAAATCAAAAAATTAAAAAAATTAAAAAAAAAAAAATAAAAAAAAATTAAAAAAATTAAAAAAATTAAAAAAATTAAAAAATTAAAAAATTAAAAAAAAAAAATTAAAAAAATTAAAAAAATTTAGAATTTATTATTAATTGTCACTTACATTATCTTCAATCATGATATATCCTTCATTTTCTTTCATTGAAGTATGAGTTTGAGTGGATTGTTTATATCGTAACTAAAAAAAAAAAGGATAGGTAAAAATATGACATTATGATATATAAAATATAAATAAACTTTGAATACCTTAACATAAAGCAAGGTTTTTCCAGAATCACTTTGCCCCAGTATGAGAAACGTATCCTTCTTTGTTCGATTTGTAAATAAATTTATGAAAACTTTTAAAAAATAATTTTATAATTAGAAGAATACACTCAATATATATATATATGAAATATGTGTTTGAATTTTATAGATTTATTACCTATAAAAATGGTAACAACAAATAAGGCTATTATTGTCCAAATTAATTGTTCAATCTCCAAATTTTTTAAATAATCTAAATAAGATTGTTCCATTTTTAAATTCCTTAGTAGAAAGAGAGAATGATGAATCCTATAATCCCGAATACAGATTTACAGATTATCGTATATTTCACGTGACAAAACCGTAAAAAAATATTAAATAAAATATTTTATTCTAATTTACAATTATTATTAAATGGAAAACTTAAAGAAATTAATCTTGATTTCATTATTTTATCTTAACAATATTTACTCGGATATAATAAACGTATCGGGTTTGTGGAAATGTAAACCGTATATTATTAAGAACAATTACCTGCAAAAATGCTCAAGAGAAAATAACATTTATAACATATTTCACACGCGAATAAAATGTAATAACCTTTTATTTTTATTAACAAATAATAAATTAAAATTAAAATATAACCCATTACAAGAATATTTTAAATCTTGGCTTTTTATTAGTATTATTACAATAAACATTGATACGTAACTAACTTAGAAATAATTGAACACAGAAAATAACTGTAAAATCCCTTTTCCGCATGTAAAAGATTAAATACTTACTCGATAATAAAGTTCTTTTCGCCTTTTTATTTTTTTTTTTGAAAACTCACAATTCCAGAAATCCTTCTTTGGTGAAAACTACGAACACTTTGGTACTGGTAAATGAACCAATAACTTATTTTTCTTTAGTTCTTAATTTATGAAATCATAAATATGATCAACAAAGGTATAGCTAAAAGAAAGAGGAATTCTAATAATGTTAATTAAAAGGTTATAAACTTGCTTAGAGAACAAAGAAAAGAAAAGTTGAAAAAAAGAAAAAAGGAGAAAAACGCGTTTATATTAGTCATAATGAAATAATCTCACATGATTGGGGTCAAAATTCTGAAATAAAATTATTTATAACGAATCAAATTAAAAAAAAGTGATTCAAATATAGAAATAAATATTATAACTAATCTATTGCGAAAGTTTTTGCCAAATTTGATCAATGCTGTTAGCACTTTTTGCCTTTTCTTTTGGTTCAGCAAAATTGAAACCATCCTTCCAACTATTCTCAGCTTGCCAACGTTTAATCTCAACTGACTGTTTTTTTGGCAAACCTTTATCAAGTTCCTCCCAATATTTCGCAGGAATGAAAGCTTTATAAATGTAACACATGTAGAAATTATGATCCGTATATTTTTAGTAGAACGTATATTCTCACTACCACAGACAAAAATCTCCACTGCAAATCTGTGGTTCTCCAATTAATTGTTCGACTCAACATTTTGCAGGTATTTGTACTGTTAAAAAAAATTGGTTAGACAGTCAATAATATACAAACCCTGATTACAACCATATTAATATTTATTCTGTTTCGCTTCTCATTATAAAATCAGATTTTGATGATATCACGATTTATCTTTGGTGGTGTTGATTTTTTCCTGATTTCGAAAATGCCATTATTTTAACTTAGCAATCCGAAGTGAATATCCACAAATGCGTTGTCTGCGTCTATCACCTGAAGACCATTGAGCACAACATCGTGTAATTTAGTAACAAACGTTTGAACTCAAGATTTTTTCAGGATTTTTAGCATCAAACATTGACTTTCAAATATTCCAGTACTGATATCAGGGATAATAATATTTAAATTATTTAAATAAAGTAGTTTTTTACCTTCAACATCGTCAGGTATGACCTCGCTCTCACAGGAAGCCGGTGTGAAGATCGCATTTAATGCCTTTATACATTCTGTTGAAAATACAAATGCAGAAGGGGAGATCATTTGTACCATAGCTGGAACGAAAACTTGAACTAGAGCAAGAACCAATTCTGATCCTAAGGTCAACGGTCGCTCTTGTAAGTATCAAATCTTCTCTAGTAAGGTTTGCAATGCTGGCAAGGTGTCCAAGAGTTCTCAATTTCATTACTTTAATTAGTGGCTTTCTCACAAATTAATACTTGTTTGGAGGGCGCTTTGATCGTCATTGAGGAAACAGAAGAGCTCAATTTCGGCATTTTTTTTCGTTTTTGATATCGTGGATCTATTTATAAAAAATGTGACTAAATATTATTGGCCAAAGAATGTCATACTTTTTTCATTGGCCTTCTTGCTATTTCGATCTATAAAAATATGTTCTGGGCTAAGGTTACTCACACGATAATGAGAATGTAATAATACGCGCAAAAGATACAACTAATTTGGGTTACTTTAAATTTCAAATATTTATTAAAGAAATAAAAAATCTCGTTTAAATTGCTTCTGAATGCCTCTGTCTCGACATGAGATTGCAAATGCCATGTGATTTTATATAACGAAAATTATAAAAAAAAAATGGTTATTTTATTCGAGTGATCAAAATTTCGAAAATCTTAGTTATCGACTTTTTATTAGATTTTTGTGATATATAAAAAAGAATTCATAGTTCCGAATGTATCTCAGAAGTATACAAAAAAAAAGAAATTTATATTATGAAAGTAAAGAAATGTATTGCCCAAAACCCAATAATAATAATAATAATCTCTCTTCATATTTTTCACATTTCAAATTGGTATCAAAGAAGCAAGTATATTACGATCATGAACATAAGTAAGATATTTTGATATATTAACCTCAAGTGACGGTAAAATTAAGTGTGTATTCGCGGTAGGGATTTTGTTATTTAAACCATTTATTGGTGGATATATTAATGTGTTTGAATAAGTTGTTGTCGTCTGATAAGTATTTAAAGGAGGAATGGTCAAAATAAAATCCCCAGAATTTAAAGCTGACCAAATAGGAGGAAGATTAGGAGGAAAATATTGCGTATATGAAATAGAGGAAAAAGAAGGATGACGGAATGGTGAAGTAACGTTCATATTGTTATTGTTGTTATTATTCGGCGAGATTAAGGGTGGTGAAATAAGAAGAGGGCGTAAAGAAGATGATGATACTGATTGTTGATTGTTGGAAAGAAGAGGAGGAGATGAGTAATCATTTTGTTCAATGGGAAGTTCAATATGAATTTCTTGATTATCTTGATTACTACTACTACTATTGCTGCTGCTACTGTCCATCCTAGGTTCAGGAATAATTTGATGTTCAAAAATTCGTGAATTCGTAAAATATTCATTATTGAAATTATTTAATATAAGTGTAGAATATTTTTTTGGCTTTTTCTTTGGTTGATATCGATATTCAGGATAAGTAACATCATGAACTTGTTTGGCCAATTGTGCTAAATAGTTGTAAACATTTTTTACTTCCATATTAGCATTTTTCCAACTGGTTGAAGCCACCTTTGAAACATAATCTAATTGTGATCCATATTGAGAACCACTCTCAGCAGCAATTTTTGCTTGAATATTTCGTCGATAGATAACAAAAGGATTCTGAGGACGTGGTTCTTTATGAAAACGATTTTTTCTAGGATGTGGAGTCACAAGATCTTCCAGAGGGAGAAATGTGTGTTTTTTAATCTTTGTTAATATCGTTGAGTCAATTGAAGTAATAATTTGTTTAATTTCTTCAGAATCGGGAATTTTGATTTTATTTTGTTGAGAGAAAGGTTCGTAAATTTTATTAAAGCTTTGACGATCCGTACGATTCGCCATTGTTTTTTTGCAGCAAAGTTAAAAGCAAACTATTAAAAACCAATTTTAAAACTTCTAATAATAACACGATAAAGATAAAAATAAATATGTTTGAAATGGACAATTACTGGAAAGTTAAAAAAAAAAAATTTAAACAACTTTTTCTTTTCAAACCATAAACGAATCACTACAATTTTTCCCAGCATTTAACCTTCGAAAATACAATTCCCAAAATCATGAAAACATGGGGGAAATTAAATGTAAAAGCTGTATTGTTCGAAAATCTTTTTTACGTATGATCACTTGACTTTTGAATTATTTGCTTGAGGGTAAGATATAATATGCCCTTTTTTTGGTCTACAATATCAACGGCCATTATCGTAGAAAATAATGAAATTTACCCATAAAAACGATCCAAATAACTAAATAATGTATGCTTCATCAAACAACAAAGATTTTAAGGAAAAAACAATACACATAAAATGTTACTATATAAATTATGTCAAACAATTTTCACCCAAGATCTACGATTCTCTATTATCCAATTATTTAATTATTGTCTAATACTGTTATAATATCACGTATTATAATTATCATTATTCCATGTATAAAGTTAATTACCAAATTTTTTATCGAAATTTTCTATAATTCATCTTTTTATTTACCCTGACAAAGAATCGCGTGTATCGTAATATTCACACGAAAATCCAGACTAAATATTGTTCTCGTTTTCACGTGTCACCAAAAACATATACGTTATTGGTTATCCCATTAAACATAAATCTTCAAAGAATAATACAATAATTCCAAAATGGAAGATTTAGCACTTAAGATTTAATAATACAACTTGGAAAATTTGGTATAGTTTTATTAATTAATATAAATGAATCACACATATATTACATATATTATATAAATTTAAAGTGTTCGATTATAACCAAGTTGAAAAAGATCTTTGCTCCTCCTCTTTCGTTTGTGTATTGTCCTTTGATGTATTTCGAATTTACTTTTACAGTTATTTTGTTAATCTATTTTTGATAAGAGATTTGATTATCTGATTGGTTGGTTTATTTCTTGTGTTTCGTTTTTTGAAAAGTTGACTTCCTTTCAAAATCTTTTTATTCCATTTCTCGTTAAAACATAATAAAGTAACGATTAAAGATAAATAAATAAATAAATTTTATTTAAATTTTATTAAAACAATGGGTAAAAAGAATAAAAAATCCAATAAATCATCAAATAATGCAAATAATGCAAATAATGCCATAAATAATAATGACAATAATAATCCCTCCCCATCAAATACGACGCCGACAACGGTAACAACTACAACGCATCAGCAATCAGCATCACAGAAACAAACATCACCTACTACTTCAACCACTCCCTCAACAACTGATCATCAACATCATTCCCATGCCCATACACATTATTCACATCAACATACAAAGAGTAGCGATCAAGAGTCACAACAAAATAATGAGGTTGACGAACAACCTGAAGAACAGAAAGGATTTAAAGGTCAAGCGAAAAAAGATATGAAAAATGTTGAAGGATATGTAGCTGATAGGGAAGGTGAAGTAATTGATGAAACAAAATTAAATAAGGTAAGCATTCTTTATATTGAGGGAAATTAATTTTGATCCTGGTTCAAAATATTAAAATTGTGAGTACTGATATAAATATGCTTTTTTTTTTATTATTTAGGCTTTAACCTTTGTGAATGAAGAGAATCAAAGACAGAAGGCACAAAGGCTTAAAAAGTATGTAAAAACCCGAAATTTACAGTTTTTTTTTTATCTATTCACTAATGAAATATACCTTATTAATCATTTAATTTTATTTTACTGAAAAATCATAATAGACAAAAAGAAGCAGAAAAAATTGCGGTATCAAAAGAGGATATCGATTTTATTGTACGATATTTATATCTTATTCTGGTCTTTCTTTTTTGTTTTTTTGTTTTTTTTTTTTTTGTTTTTATTGTCATTTTTTACTAACAATTTAACAATTCAATCTATTCTATTTCATTCTATTTTTTATGTTTAGATAAATGAAATGGAAGTAACAAAACAAGTAGCTGATAAATATCTAAGAGAAAATAATGGAAATATAGTGGAAGCCTTGAAAGCAATGGTTACTAATTTATAAAAAATTTGCATTACAATTAATAGAACACTAAACTCCATACATCATTTTTTAATTCAATTATGTAATAAATTATTTCAAAATTAAATTGTCAGCTGATCACAAATATCGACTTCGGAAAGAAACCATGACAATTAATAATGATCCATTGTTACAACATTGAAATTATTTTGAACAAAATTTTCTTATTTATCTATCTCTATGTGAAGTTACTTGCTTTTTTATTAATATATGAAGACGTTGGAGAATCAGGGATTGTCTTTTCCGAATGGGAAACTACCGGCAATGCTGGACAGGTTGGCCACGCGAAATGGCCTGCTTTAGTTTCGTATTTATTCTCATCTTCAAAGTTCAACAACTCATGTTTTGTGAACAGGATTTCCGGTTCTTTTTTTCACAATCATTTTGCTCAGTGGAATTTTGGACATTTGGACATTTTGGCTACTTTGCTATCTTTTTACTACGAATCTTCTTTATAATTCGTGGCACCTGTTGCATCCAAGTGGCAGTTTATGAACCACTTTTAACAAAACGGGACGTACCCTTGTTCGAGGTAATAAAACCCTGCTAGGAGATAGTAAGACAGAGACACACCTTGCATTCAATCACGCAGCCTGCTAAACCCGTCATTCGACAAATGATAAAATGTAATCAAGCACGAAATTCTCCATAATAAGCACCAGTTCGCCACAAGCACACAGCCTGTGTAGATAATTGGTCCTCAGACTATTTAATTACATAATAATAAAAATGCCTACTAGCGAATTTACCTTAAGTTGACCTTCCAACTCTGCGAGACATAATGGTGCAAGGTGATCCTTGTAAATAAATACCATAAAACCTCGATCTCCTTCTTGAATGAAAGTGTATACGATCTTTTTTCCGAAAACAAAAGTCTATTCACATTACCTTATATTTAGTTCCTTTTTTATATCAATTATTATTAACTATTAGTATAGATTTAGTATTAATTTCATATTAATAAAATAAAGTTCAATTATTATTAACTATTAGTATAGATTTAGTATTAATTTCATATTAATAAAATAAAAGTTCAATTTTGATCAAATAAGATTTTTACATAAGGAATGTTATATTTACACAATTTTGATCCCATCCTTGATTTATATATTCATTTATAAAAGGTTCTTTATTTAACTGGGGTTTTTATAAATTTAATTTTTATTATGGTCACTATTTTACTACTACCCAATATATTTGAACTTTTTATATACAATTAATTATAACATTTTTTTGAATTAAATGATCTGAACCAAAATCATTATTATTTAAAATAAAAAAATATATATATATATATTAATATTCGGCTATTTATTCACTTATTCGAGTAAAAATTCATGATAACTAAATTATCCATCAGTTACGCAAAGATGAAATCTACATTTTATTTGGGCGACTACGTGATCCTTTATCTCCAATGAAAAATGTTCATCATAATCTCTGATCAATATAACATATTTCTTTAAATTATTAATTTACTACCTTTCTTTCAACCTGTGTTCTTTCCGACTAGCGAAATATTATTTTATAACAATAACATTGATAATAATATAAAAATGGCCTCCACTGAATATTGGTAAGTTTCAGCATCTAAGATGACTTTTAGTTTAGTTTTTTTTTTTTTTTAATAACGGACCATTTTCTTATTATTCATTTTATATAGTCCTGTCTATGCTCCCGTTTTTGGAGCTTTAGGTTGTGCCTCAGCTATTGTATTTGCATGTAAGTTATTTTCAAAGACAATATTGTTACTATTTAATTAAAAATTCGTGTAGATAATGTAATTCTATTTTGTCAGTAATTTTTATTAAAAAAAAATTCACCTATTCAAAGATTATTAAATTTAAATTAATTCTGGTAAATCGTCGTTATTAGGTTTCGGAGCGGCATATGGAACAGCAAAAGCTGGTGTGGGTTTATCTGCAATGGGAGTTTTACGTCCTGATTTAGTAATGAAAGCTATTGTACCTATTGTTATGGCTGGTATTATCGGTATTTATGGGTTGGTTGTATCGGTCTTGATTTCTGATGGACGTAAGTATTTCTTTTTTTTTTAAAGATAATTAAAAAAAAACAACAAAAGAGCAATTCTTTATTAATATTCTTTTTTTTTTCTTCAAAAAATTTCCCAATAGTTAAACAAAAGATGCCTTTATATACGTAAGTTTTCACAATTTATCGTAACAATTGTTATTAAATTCGTTTTCGCACATTAATGAAACGTATGTTTTCTTGATGACAGTGGATTTATTCAACTTGGTGCTGGCTTAAGCGTTGGGCTTGCTGGACTTGCTGCTGGGTTTGCCATTGGTGTAGTCGGTGATGCCGGTGTACGAGCTATTGCACAACAACCACGATTATTTGTTGGAATGGTAACTTCATTTTTCTCTTATTTATTATACTCAAATTTTATTTACAATATTATATATTTTGTATAATTAAAATAAAAAAATTTGTTTCTTTTTATTTTTCTTCTCAAATTTAGATTTTAATTCTTATTTTCGCAGAAGTTTTGGGTCTTTACGGATTAATTGTTGGATTAATCTTGAATACTAAAGCCAGTGGGGATGTTGTATGCTAAAATAAAATTTTAAAGAGATATTGGCAAATAGAAATAACATTTTAAAGCCAATTTCAATGACATTTATAATTCAAAATTTTTTTTTTTTGATTTAAAAAAAAAAAAAAATAGGAAAAAAGGAATTACAAAATGCTAAATTCTAGATAATATATATATATATTTTGTTCAGTTTCCATTTATTAACGCATAGTTTTTCATTTTATTTGTATTTTTTAAGTTTTATTATTTTGTACTAAAACCTCTGGTGGTTAGGATTTTTTTTTTTTTTAAATTATCAAATTTATCAAATTATTGCATAGAAATATGTCAATAATTACATTAAAAGTTTATAAATTTTATCATCATTATAAAGAATGAAATGTTTTTTCTTTATTATTATTATTATTATATTATGTATTAATACATTCATTCATAAATGAATAAGCACTCGAGAGTGAAATTGAAATTAAGTTACAAACAAAATTTTATAAACATACAAACTTGATCTAGCAAATAGATACAATTCCTTTTAACACACACAATAGATCATATGAATAAAATAATACGAGATTTCAACGAGCTTCAAACTGGACCACTTTTTTTTCATAGAACATGATTTTAATAAAGAATTAATAAAATTAAATTTAAAAATATAATTAGAAAATATATAATTGTATCCAAACCCTTTAACTAATTATAGTTAGAATGTAAGAAATGAACTTACTTCTTTTAGTTCGTTGCTTATACATGATACGATGCCCACATTCTTTACAACGCAAAGGTTCTTTTGGTTTTATTTCATTTTCGGTTCCGCAATCTATTTTTTTTTTATTAAATGTATTAAATATCCAAAAAAAATGTATCAAAAAGAATTAAATGAAATAAATTTCCTTTCTTACCTGCACAATTATATTGCATTTTAGGAGCATTCTCACTAGCTCTTGGTGTAGCAGAACTCAAGGGACCAGATGGCAGTGGAGGACCTTGTGAAGTTTGACTGTTCATTATTACTTTTTATATATTGTCATTATTCTTGGGAGGCTGTATTTACTATATTTATAATAAATTAAATAAATTATCGACAAAAAATTTAAAATCTGGCCAATCACCGTTTATAATCTAAAAAAAATTTAAGATATTTGTAGATCTTTTTCATTTCTTCTTCAAACTTGATTCAATTTGAAAATGACTTTTATTCACCGAGCAGCGTCTCGGTTTATAAGAAAAGGACCAACCTTTACAAATTTTACCGCTAGAAATGTGTTGAAAACTAATACTCTTAATTTTCAAAGTACCCATTTTTTTTTTTTTTTCGAGAATCTCTATTAAATAATTCAAAAAAAAAAAAATTCAAAGTTTGTAAAGTTTTTTAAAGTTTTTTTTTTTAATTGCAATTTTTAATTATTATACTAAATAGGACGTACTTTCGCAACTGAATCCGGTAATATTGGTACTGTCCAATCTGTTATTGGAGCTGTAGTCGATGTACAATTCGACGAAAATAAATTACCCTCTATATTGAATTCTTTGGAAGTTGAAAGAGATGGTGGTCGTCTTGTACTTGAAGTAGCTCAACATTTAGGGCAGAATGTAGTACGGACTATAGCTATGGATGGGACAGAAGGTATTGATTATTGTTTTTAAACAAATAATTCATCAATTAATACATAAATCCATTATTTAATTACCCAATTCGGGTATTTTGATATTTTTGATTTTAGGTCTGGTTCGTGGTCAAAAAGTAAGAGATACGGGTGCTCCTATTAGAATTCCAGTCGGTCCAGAATGTTTGGGTCGAATTATCAATGTCATTGGTGAACCTATTGATGAACGTGGTCCAATCACAACTAAAAAGCTCTCCCCAATTCATGCCGAAGCACCTGAATTCATTGATCAATCTACGGTTCCAGAAGTTTTAGAAACTGGAATAAAAGTTGTAGATTTGTTAGCTCCTTATGCCAGAGGAGGAAAAATTGGTTTATTTGGTGGTGCAGGTGTAGGAAAAACTGTATTGATTCAAGAACTTATTAACAATATTGCCAAGGCTCACGGTGGATATTCTGTTTTTACTGGTGTTGGTGAACGAACCCGCGAAGGGAATGATTTATATCACGAAATGATTGAAACTGGTGTAATCAAACTTGATGGTGATTCAAAGGCGGCTCTTGTTTTTGGGCAAATGAATGAACCTCCAGGTGCACGTGCGCGAGTTGCACTTACTGGACTTACAATTGCCGAATATTTCCGTGATGATGAGGGTCAGGATGTATTACTCTTTATCGATAATATTTTCCGTTTCACCCAAGCTGGTTCAGAAGTATCTGCTTTATTGGGTCGTATCCCTTCCGCTGTAGGATATCAACCAACTTTAAGGTATAAATATTATATTAATATCATATTTTTTTTTATCCATATTACTCTCTTTGATATTAATGAAAAAAAAAATAATAAAATAAATAATATATTATTAGTACTGGTAAATATATTTTTATTATAAATTTGGCATTGTTTTACTTTATTATAAATGTTAACTCATGAAAACATTTGAAAACATTAATTTGATTAATTAAATAGATATGGGAGGTATGCAAGAAAGAATCACAACGACCAAAAAGGGTTCCATCACTTCTGTACAGGCCGTATATGTCCCAGCAGATGATTTGACTGATCCTGCACCCGCCACTACATTCAGGTATTTCATTATTAATAGCTTATTCTTATTTTGATGCTAATAATAGGATCATAACTTATTATCGAAATTTCCAGTCATTTGGATGCAACGACTGTATTGTCTCGTTCCATTGCCGAACTTGGTATTTACCCTGCTGTAGATCCTCTTGATTCCAAATCGCGATTATTGGATCCTCGAGTCGTTGGTGCGGAACATTATCAAGTAGCTACTGATGTACAAAAGATTCTTCAAGATTATAAATCTTTGCAAGATATTATCGCCATCCTTGGTATGGATGAATTATCTGAAGAAGATAAGGTATTTAACTATATTATTTTTGTAATACTATTTCTTTAATACTATATAATCAATTAATAATTCATCATTCGTCTTTCTTTTCCTTTTTAATTATTTTTCTCATCTATCAAAATTCGTTTTTACTATTTCTTTTATTCTTTTTATAGCAAACTGTTGAACGCGCCAGAAAAATTCAAAGATTTTTGGTATTCAACTTCCCATTTTTTTTTTTTTATGATTTAAATTGATTTACATTCTTTAATCAAATATTTTATATAAATTATATTAGAGTCAACCATTTGCTGTCGCTCATGTCTTTACCGGTTTTGAAGGTCGTCTTGTTAAACTAAAAGAAACCATTAGATCATTTAAAGAAATTTTAGAAGGTAAAGCTGATGACTTACCAGAAGCAGCCTTTTATATGGTTGGAGATATTGATGATGCCAGAAAGAAGGCAGAAGGTATTTAAATTATTTATTCTCAAATATATTTTTTAATTTTATTGAACTATTTCTTAAGCAACTTTACAATTTTTTTTTTTTCAATTTTAGACATTGCAAGAGATTTGAGTAAACAATAAGAAGGTGAAATTGTTTAGATTTGTAAAAATAAATTAATTTATGTAAAAGAAAAAAAATACCGAAAAATATTAAACTTATTAAATTATTAAAATCATTTGTGATTAGTCAAATTTTGATGTAATTTTTTTTTATTACATAAAACAGTGCACAGTATATCTTGATATACTGAAAGTATTTAAAAACCCAAGTTTTTAATTACACAGTTCAATTACAATTAATAAAAAATTAAAAAATTATATCAAATTTCAAATGATAAAATATCTGAATCTAATTCATTGGAATGCGTACGACAACTGGCTCTTGATTCTGTTGTAACGCTTCTTCTATTATTTTTAAAAAATAATCCAAAATAAATTACCAATCAAAGAACGATAATGCAGTAAATTAAATGATAAATTGATTAAATACCTGGTAATAATACTGATCGAAAAACAGTTTGCCAGTTACGGAAGACAGTAGCGATAGCTATATTTCAAATATATATATATGTATATAGTGTAAAGTTATAAAATTATGAATGAATTTATATTATTTTTTTAAAAAAAAATAAAAAATAAAAAAAGAAAAGAACTCACTTTCAACCCCGTTATTCAATTCTTCGAAATGTAAAGCCAACGAATTAAAATAATCCGCAAACTCTTGTGATGTCTTTTTGAGAGTTATTAGATTATTATACTCTTCTTGTTTTTCTTGTATCCTCATTGAAAGGGAAATTTGCTTGGCCGATGGGACATTAATTGGAATTTGTCGGAAACCTTGTGATGCATTTTGGTTAAAATAAAAAGTCTTATTGGCATTATTGAATGTCGCCATTTTCCATTGAGGTTTGGCGACAAAAATGTGTAAACATGTATTCGCGTTTGATCATGTGATATTAGCCAATAAACCGTCATGTGATCCGTTAGTCTATACAAATTCCAACGAAAAAATTTTCAAATTTTAAAGCCTAATTCATCATTTAATTAGTTTATTAAATAATGGAAATAATGAATGAATTCATAATTGAAGATATATCGAATGGTCTTGAATTATATCCTATTAGTCTTGTATATGATGATATTAGAGAATTGGAAAAGTTACGAAGACAACATCAAAAGGTTCATTTATTTTTATATTTGATTTTTAAACTTCATCGAACTTAAAATATAATTAATTAATCTACATTTTGACCTCAGTATGTTTTACATTGTGTGATACCATCATCGAATGAGTCGGTGGTAAATAAATCTTCATATTATGATGGTTGCGACTGTAAAGATAATTGTATCTCGGAAGATTGTGGATGTAAAGCTAAACATGGTATTATAACAAATAATTTTACATGATATATATAATTATTAATTTAATTTATATCTAATTTCATTTAATTTAATTGTATAGGATTTTTTTATAATTCAAAAATTTTAAATACCATTTTTTTGCCTTCACATGATGACAACTCTACAACTTCCATCACAATATATGAATGCAACTCCTCGTGTACCTGTGATTCATCTTTATGTCCTAATCGTTTAGTACAACATGGTATTCGAATACCTCTTCAAATATTCAAAACCACAAATGGACGTGGATGGGGAGTACGTACTTTAAGAAATATATGTAAAGGAGAATTCATATGTGAATACGCTGGTGAAATCATAAAAAGTGTGGAAGCTCAACGAAGGTGGAGAGAATTAAATTTGAAAGACAAGGGAAATGCGCAGAATTATATATTATGTTTAAGAGAACATGTGTGAGTGTGAGAGTGTTTTGATTAAAGAAAGAGAACTAATTCGAGTAAATTTAAACTAATTATTATTTTTATTCTTTCTTTCTTTCTTTCGTAGGAAAGATAGAATTCTTCGAACCGTAAATATTTTTTTTCGGAAATCGCATATAATTCCTTACAAATGACACGTTGCATAACGTAAACATTTGATTTAAAATTAGAACATAGATCCAACGCGCGTCGGAAATATAGGAAGATATATCAACCATTCTTGTTCACCAAATCTTCTAATTTACATAGTTCGCTTTAATTCTTTAATACCTATTGCTGCACTATTTGCCAAATGTGACATCGAAACAGGAAAAGAAATAACATTTGATTACTCTGGTGGCGAAAATCAAATAGGAGGCTTCATAGAAGGAAAGAATGGTGAATTCAGATTTGAAAATAAAAAATGTTTATGTGGAAGTGAAAATTGTAGAGGTGTACTACCATTTGATTCAACTTTACAAGATACTATTTAATTGATATTTCACATTTCAATTAATCAAAGAATTTTTATTTTGTATTCTTTATTAATTTTAAATATTCTTTTTTACAATATTTATACAATCTTCTTAAATCTTAAACAAAATCAATCTACTAAGATTAAAAACCTGGTGGAGTTGTTCTCATTGTCAATTTTGTGAATTTAGGTACTAAATGAAAACCTTTCCTATAACCTTTATGTTTTCTACTAAAAACTGTATACTTATCTCTTGGTGTCATTTCGCATTCTTTTGGTAATTGTAATGCAAGTGTCTACTTAAGAGATAAGAAAAATGAAATTTATTTAAGATAAAAATGAGAATAAAGTAAAAATAATTACTTACCAAGGCTTTACATTTAACACCAGAGGAAGCAACTGCAGCGACAACTTTATCAACTGCTTTTAACCTTTTACGAACATTGGCCTTTCTAGTTTTGCTCATTCTTTTCGGTCTCTTCCTATTGTAATTTAATTTTTCAAATGATTTATAATATCTATCACAAAATGAGTGAAATATTTATCCATTTATTATTACCATAGTAAGCCACCACATACGGCCATGGTTGCCTTAAAAGCACCAAACATTTTTGTTTTCGAAGTTTTTTTTTGATTTTTAAAGATTATCTATAAAAATTAGAAATTTATCACATGTAATATAAAATCTATTTTTTTGATTATTTAAATTTAGTAATTTAGTAATTTTTCTATTTTAGTACTATTATTTAATTAAACACAAGTTATCATTTTTCCAAAGAAATGATAGTAATTACGAATTCTGAATTATTTAAAATCTTAATATTTCTAGTACTCCCAATTATGATTGAAAAATGGCGCGGTTATATGAAAGAACAGAATACCAAGTCGAAACTGAAAAAAACGAAATTCGACTTGTTTGTCATTTACCTTCTAATTGGTATCACCCTTACTCAGCTTTACTATGCATTTTGGTCACCACCACCAAATATGTTTCGCCCCTTAAAAAGGATGCCTAAACGTAATTACATAAACTCACTTCGAGAAGGCCTTTTACGAACAAAAGAAGAACTTTCATCCAAAGAAGAAATTCTACTTGACAAATTTCAATCACTCGAGAATCGTTTGGTATATGCAACGTATGGAGAAGAGGCATTAATGGAATGTACATATTGTAAAGATATATCAGATTATTTTTATTTCATCATACCAACAATAATTTGGTCATATATCACAATGTGGGTGGTACTTGGGATTTCTACAATGTCAAATAATAAAGCCAACATGAGAACATATGGTACAATATTTTTAGTAGGATGTGGGATTTTTGAATTATACACTTTATCCACAGCCGATATACAAAATAATAAAACTACCGGTACATCTGAATTTTTATATTGTACAACAGATTTCTATCGTAGATTAGCATTTTCGATTTTATGTTTAGGAATCTTGTTATACGGAAAAGCCGAAGAAAGATCTGCTATGGAAACAATTTATGGAATCATTAGAAATCAAGAACTCATCATACAACGAAACAAAGCAATAAATATACAACGCACTGCGGTGTTGAGAGATGAAAACCTAAGAAAAATATTTGAAGATTTTTATAAAACAAGAGAGACTGAAGATAATTTGGATCCTGGATATAAAGAAGCGAGGGACAACTATCTAAGTGAAAATGGTATTGATAAATTAGCTGAATTATATGTTAATGATATTACAAAGATGAAAGATTTAGAAAATGAGACAGGTTTTGCATCTGAAATACGGAATACTGGTGAATCAAGTGGATCCTCTTCTCAATAAAAATTATAAATTATTAATTTATAATTAATTTTTTTCGGTTGCTTAGAATTATTAACGAATATTTAGATTCTAAAAATATAAAATTATTGAAATAATTTTGAATAGAAAATTAAATCAAAATTACTGGAAAGGATTCACATCACTACCTTCTCATTTTATGGAAATTTATTGAGTAATCAAGAATCCACTGAAAATTGTCACATATTTTCTAGAAAGTAATTGTTATCATCCAATAAGTCTCACAATCAAAAACTTTATTATTCTTTATTAATATCAATTAATCTTAAAATTAATCACACATAGTTAGAATAGATAATGTCTTTTTGAAAATTTGAGAAATCTAACAATCACTATTATGACATGAATGGTTTATTTTGTTTCTTTAAAAAATAACTATACATGGTGTCTACAATGTGTTCATAACTATCAACAAACATTAGAGGATGCTAGACAAATTGCAATCAAATGAAAAAAAAACTATATTAATGTAAGTTTTATTAAAAATGATTTGTGACATTCAATAAAATAAAAAATAATAATACCTGGTGTTTTACCTTGATTGCAATAAAAATGGAATGTTTTCTGAAATGTATATAAATAATCATTTACCTATGTTATGATATCGTGTTAAAGGATATTTATGGTCTGCTGCTTTTCAAATTTTAAAAAAAAAATTGCAATAGCTGGTATCCTTTATGTAGAGGTAATCATAAAATGATTAAATACTGTATATGCAATTTGAGCTTTCACTTGTCAATCAGGATCAGAATATTTATTACATTCATATTCTTCACTATGCTTTTCCTCTTCTTTATTTTCAAGTTAGGTATTATAAATGATTTTCATATCACACTAGGACCCCTGTATTTTTTTATTCATTGGTTATATAAATAATATTTGTTTATCAGTTTTTTAAATTAAAAATCTACAATTTAGCAATTTGCAATTATCTATAATAAAATAAAATAAATTTTTTGTTTTTCCTATTAGTAAAGGGTCCCTTAAAAGTTACGAGATGCACTTCACGATATGATCAATTAATTGTGTAACTTTAGAAAATACTTGTCAATTAAAATAATCATCGATCGTTGTTACATATAAATTTTTATTTTATTTTAATAAGTAAATGTCAAAAACGGTACTAAAAGATAAGAATGAATTGCATATTATGTAAAAAGAACAGTCCTATTTCATTAAAAATCGAGAGAATTATAAGCAGTTAAAGTTTGAACAGGTGAAAAAATTTAACTAAAGATAAATGAAATAGGTCTGTTCTTTTTACTCTTTTTACATAATATGCAATTCATTCTTATCTTTTAAGGTTACTACCGTTTTTGACATTTACTTATTAAAATAACAATGATCATGATTTTTATAGTTATAAATATTATATTTTTATAAAAATAAATAAGCTTAACATATAAGCTTAAGTTTAAGCTGAGCTTAAATTTTTGAGCTTTATGAGAAACTTTATTCCTGAGAGCTAGTATATTATTTTTTTTTGCTTTGAATTTTGTATACAAAAAATAACTCATATTTCATTCTAATTAAATCTAATTTTAAATAAACTTTCAAAGAGTTAAAAAAAAAATCAAACAATAGAATGTGAATATTCGATTTTCACTTGTATTTTATTATTATATTATGAATTATGAAACATTATTGTATTACAAAATTTTATTAAGAGAATATTATTCACATAAAAAACAAAAAGAAATTTATACACTTGATTATAAATATGTGTATATGAATATATATTGTGACTTTTTATGTAGAACCTAAATTCATTATGAAAAATATTAGGATATTTTATTTTTCTCCTGAACTTTCATCTCTTGATAGTTATTTTCAATAAAATTCTTTCTGTTTCCAAGTTCTTCTGTCTCTTGAAATACATGTGTACATTCCAACCTACCCAATGCCACCAACCAAATAAGTTTAAAGTATTAAAACATTCTATCAGATCTTTATTCTCCCAATTTGAGATTATATCTCTTTCAGGAATTTTAAGAACTTTCATCTTTCCTGTAAGATCTGGCCCTATGCCATATGTAAAATATCGATAACAGTTATCAAGACAATGAAAATCTGTTTTCGATCTAAGTAGATTAGACATTTCTATAGAAAATGTGATATTTAAATGAAGTCCTCAAACAACTCATATGGTTTTAAACACGATAATACTTCCATACCTAAATCCCAGAATTAATATACCAGGGTCATTTTCTGAAATAGTATCTGCTACACTTTGTGTAAGACTTATATCGGGATCCTGATCAAACACGTGGACCTCATACCAGTATGTTTCCACAGAGAATCATCTAGTGGAGGACGTGAGCCAAAAATAACAGGAACACTGCCCAATTTACGTTCACATTGAACAGTTTTGAGAAGTAAACCATAATCAATACGAAATCGGTCAATAGTGATATTGGAGTTGTCAATAAAAACATATACAAGATTATTATAGAGTGCTTTTGAAATTTCTTCAGCTAGCTGTGTAATTCTGATAACTGAATAATGGTATTCCGATACGCCTGAGATCTTCTTTTGTTATCGAAAGGAAGTCCAATACCAGCAATTCGCTCTTTTTCAATAATTTTGATATGGTTGTCTTCAAGATATAACTCACCTTTTTTGGATTCTAAAAAATCAACAGTTTGTGATGGATTCCATTTCTCGATTTCTTTGACGGAAGGAAATGGTTTATTGGTATGATAATGGCTCAGATTCCTTTTTAAAATTTGAAGACTGCTGAAAAGCTTGTAATTTCCCTTTTTCAGTTCAGAACGTGTTAAAGTTTCTCTCAAACCAATTCGAAAATCATAATGTATTCGGGATATGTGATTACTTAATTCTTTTTTGAAATGACAAAGTGTAAATAGTTATCATCGATGACTCAAACGGAAAAGTTGTAAGTTAACTGAGACATTTTTTTTTTGACGGATTTCGCTAATTCACGTGATTGTTAAAACTGTTCGTGAAGGATGCTCCCCCTCCAAAAAAAGAGGATAAAGCAAATTTCTCAAAACCAACAGTATAGTAAAATTATCACGCTTGGGTTACAAAATGGATCAAATGTAATTTATTCTCCTACTCATGGAGATGCAATAAAGACATTGAGTGGGTCACACACACTTCCGATAAATGATTTCGTGTTTACTAAAGATGGGAAAAAACTTACTCATGTGCTGAAGATATGAATATCGTTGAATGGGATCTTGAGAAAGAAAATGTAATCAGGTAAAATCTTGTTTGTTTTTTTAAATATATATATATATATATTAATAAGTTTCATAATGTTAATAATTCTAATAATTTTAATTTTTAGTAAATGGAAGCTCGATGCTCAAACTTGTCGCATGATGGGAGTCCCGCAGCGGGACATACAATCAAATTATGGGATCTACAACAAAAACAACCAAAATTTTTATTTATGGAATTTTATTACAGCGTATACTTTGGATGATAACGCGAGAAGTCTCTCAATGTCAAAAGCAAACACAGCGTTGGTATTTTCGGAAATTGGTCTTTAAATCTATTCAAAAACGTGTCCTCGATACCTTCCTCTTCGAATGTTAAAATAAAAGAAAAATACACGACTCGAACTTCTGATTGAATAGACGATAATGGAAAAATATGATACCAATTTTATCTGCATGTTTTGTGGATGAATTAGAGAACAAAGAGACAGGATTTGTTAAAATTGCACGAGGGAGCACAGTAAAACTGATTTTCGAAAAAGTGGTACGTCATTTAAGTTTCTTTGTAATATTATTTGTATTTGTTGTTTGTTGCATTGCAAAAAAAAATCAAATAATAGAAAGGTGAATTCCATTTCCATTTGTCTTTTATTATGTATTATATTACTTTGAATTAATAAGCATTAGTATTCAAGGTCATATCAACTTTGCCATTATATAGAGTGGGAGAAGTATTATCTTTTTTTATATAGGAGTAATATTATATTACAAAATATTATTAAGAGAATACTATTCACATAAGAAATAAAAAGAAATTTTATACACTTGATTATAAATATGTATATAAGAATTCATCATGAAAATATTAGAATGTTTTGTTTTTCCCCCATCAATTTTCTCCTGAACTTGTATTTTTGATAGTTATTCTCATATAATTCTTTACTTTTTCCAATTGTGGGAATGATAATTAAAATATATCTGTATAGATCTAGCTGACAAATTCCACCGACCAATAAGTTTAAAGTGTCAAACCATTCTATCAGATCTTTATTCTCCCAATTTGAGATTATATCTCCATCAGGAATTTCAAGAACTTTCATCTTTCCTGTAAGATCTGGCTCTATGCCAAATGTAAAATATCGATAACAGTTATCAAGGCAATAAAATCTGTATTCAATCTAAGTACACTAGACATTCCTACAGAAAACGTGATATTTTAAATAAAGTCCTCGAACAACTCATGTGGCTTTAAACACGATAATACTTCCATACCTAAATCCCAGAACCATGTTTCAACCTCCCAATTCTTTTTCGGGGCCCTTTCTGCCGTTTGATTATGGTCACGATCATCAGTAATTAGAATTAATATGCCTATTAGATTTTATATTTTGGAGGGAATGCTTTTGGAATTTCTTTAACCAGTGTAATTCTGTTTGATGGCCCTTCTCGCATTGTTACAACTTCTGAGCTTTTCTTCTGTCAAAAGAAAGAAGTTCGAACCAGCAATTTGTTCTTTTTTCAATAATTTTGATATGTTTTTCTTCAAGATATAATTCATCTTTTTTGGATTCTAAAAAATTAGCAACTTGTGCTGGTTTCCATTTCTTGATTTCTTCTAAAGAAGAAAATGGTTTATTGGTATTGTCATGGCTCAGATTCCTTTTTGAATTTGAAGACTGTTGAGAAACTTGTAATTTCTCTTTGTCAGCTTAGAATGTGTCTCAAACCAATTCGAAAATCATAATGCATTCGGGATATGCGATCACTTTAATTCTTTTTTTTTTTTTTAAAAAAAAAAAAGACGTATAAATCGGCGTGCGAGAAATTGATCGATTAACGTGTCGTCAGCAAATTATATTCGATAATCTGAGGTCACATGAAGTGTCGATCGATCGATCAATAGTTAAAAAAAAAAATTTATAATTGAACCATCTGAACAGTATGGAGCGTTTTGATTCACCAGAAGGCGATTTATTTGCTATAATCACCCAAGGTGTCGATCGTCACCGCTTAAGAGTGTTCGACACACATACAGGAACAGTCAATAATGATTTTTCTTCCGAGAAGGAGGATAATTTTACTTGTTTATCTTGGGGAAATGTTATCATCGATGATTTAAACGGAAAAGTTGTAAGTTAACCGAGACATTTTTTTTTTTTGACGGATTTTCTCTAATTCGCGTAATTGTTAAAATTGTTCGTGAAGGATGCTCCTCCTCCAAAAAAGAGGAAAAGGCGCATCTCTCAAAACCAACAGTATAGTAAAGTTATCGCGCTTGGGTTACAAAATGGATCAATTATAATTTACTCTCTTACTCATGGAGATATAATAAAGACATTGAGTGGGTCACACACACTTCCGATAAATGATTTCGTGTTTACTAAAGATGGGAAAAAAGCTTACTCATGTGCTGAAGATATGAATATCGTTGAATGGGATCTTGAGAAAGAAAATGTAATCAGGTAAAATCTATTATTCATTTGTTTGTTTGTTTTTAAATATACATATATATATATATATATTAATAAGTTTCATAATGTTTAATAATTCTAATAATTTTAATTTTTAGTAAATGGAAGCTCGATGCTCAAACAACCAAATTTATTATTTCGTTGTCGCATGATGAAACCAAGCTTTTAACTGCGGGACATACAATCAAATTATGGGATCTACAAACGAAACAAGTTCTCAAGAGTTTCACTGGTCACGCTAGTACCATAACCAATATCATTTTTTCGTCTGATGATGATATTTGCGTATCGATTGCTGAGCATGATAGATTTATAAATATTTGGAAATGCCAGGACGACGATGGTACACAGGGGGTTAATTTAGCTGGTAAATAAGATCTACGGTGACACGTAAAACGTTGTATGATTTTGTTAACATTCGCGAAAATTTTTATTTATTTTTATTTATGGAATTTCATTTAAAGTTTGATCTAATATGTTTATTTGATCAAAAAAAAAAAAATTACAGCGTATACCTTGGATGATAACGCGAGAAGCCTCTCAATGTCAAAAGCAAACACAGTGTTGGCAATTTCTGAAACCGGATCTTTAAATCTATTCAAAAACGTGTCCTCGATATCTTTAAAAGCTTCTTCCTCTTCAAATGTTAAAAAAAAGAAAAAGTACACAACTCGAACTCCTGATTGTATAGTCAAAGTTATAGACGATAAAGGAACAAATATAATACCAATTCTATCTGCATGTTTTGTGGATGAATTAGAGAACAAAGAGACAGGGTTTGTTAAAATCGCAAGAGGGAGCACAGTAAAACCGAATTTCGAAAAAGTGGTACGTCATTTAAGTTTCTTTATTTTCCCAGTAATATTATTTATATTTGTTGTTTATTGCATTGTTGATCTTGACATTTTAAATGACATAAATAATATAAATAATATAAATAATATTAGCGATTTATTAACGAAGAAAATGGTGAATTTTTACAAGAGTTGACTTTAAAACGTCATCAACCAAGCGGTTTCTTAATTGACGAATCGAATTTGGCAGCCAAAAATTTGGTTAGTTGATAATTTAAAATTTTTAATTTAATTAAAAACAAAAAGACTGACTTTTTAATTGAATTTTTGACAGAAAGCTAAACGAAAATCATATGAAGAATCAAAAGTTAATGTTATCGGAATTTCAAATTTTGAAACGCCAAGAATACCAATTAATTTAAATGAGTTATCGATACAAGATAATACCTTAGTTAATGTAATACTGATTATTATTATATTCATCTTAAATGTGTTAATTAATATTTAAACTAATATTCTTAAATTGCCTGTTAAAAATTCTTAAAATTATATATAGGGAAACAAAAAATTAGAAATAACGTCGAATGATTTGGATTCATTAAATTATGCCGAGACTAAAAAAAACCCTCAAACCTCAGTTAAATCGAAATTTCAGTCAATTCAAGGAAATTCCATGCAACAAATGTTGGTTCAAGCATTACATTCAAATGATGATGATCTTTTTCACCTGGTTTTGGAACAGACGGATCCAGATATTATCAATAATACTGCAAAAAAATTACCCACGAAATATGTTATTCCATTTTTAGAAAAAGTAATTTTAAGATTTCAAGAGAAACCAAATGCTGGAGTGAACATCTTGCAATGGATTAAAGTTGTATTGCTAGTGCACATGACTTATCTAATGACGGTATTGTTAATAGATTTCATTGTTTTTTAAATTTGAATATATATATATATATATATATATACATATATTTATTTATTTATTTATTTATTTTATTTATTTATAGATCCCTGACATAACTCGTAAACTTTCGAATTTCTATCAAACACTTGATGCTAGATCATCAGTATTTCAAAAGTTGTTAAATTTTCAAGGACGATTAGATTTGATTTTGCAACAGATTTCTCTGCAAAAAAATCAAAATATTGAGAATGATGTAAATGAACCCGAAATTTTATATATTGAAACTAGTAGTGATGATAATGATAATGATGATGATGATAGTGAAGAAGACAGTGAAGATAACACTGATGATGATGATGATGATGATGATGACAAAGATGTCGATATGAGTGATAAAGATCTTTCCGAGGGTTATATAGAAGAATCTAATGATGAGAATTCCGAAGAAGAGGATGAGGAGGAGGTAATTTCAGTTTCCTATTATTATGTTTTATTTTTATGTTTGTATTTTATGACTAACAATTATTTCTCTTTAAAGAGTTCTGATGAAACAGATGACGAATCATCATCTGATCAAGATGAAATGGAATATAGCGACAGTAAGTCAGAACCAAAAATACAAAAAAGGATGTATGATAATGGGATGGATATTGAGGATGATGAAGAATTGGAGGATTAAGGATTAATCTGATTTTTGTAATCAACCCCCCAAAAATAGTTTTATTTATTACTTTATGTAAATTTATTCATTAAAAAAAAAAAAAAATTTATAATATTTTAATACTCATCACGAGAATTGAAATTATTTTATTCAATGTATCATCATAATTTTCATTAGATAAATTTTTTATCAAAAGTTATTACAGCAAAAAACTTTAATTTTGAGATTATATTATCAAATGTTCTTTCTTTATCTAATATCAATTATAAAAATTATAAACCAAAAGTAAAATTATAATTAATAATAATAAAAAAAAAGAACATATATTTCACGAATTTCAAAGATCTTCAATCAATTTACTAAATTGTCAATTTTCATTTCAACCCCACTTTCTTTTTCTTCTTCTTTTTCTTCATTTTTTTTTTCTTCTTCTTTGCTATTTTCTTTATTATTATTTTTTGAAATCTTTTCGCAAATTTTTAAAGAACCGATCTTCTTTATATTTTCTTCTAAAACATTATTATTATTGATATTATTATTATTATTATTCATCGCAGATTTGGTAGCATGAGATGATATTGTTTTACATAAAGATGGAGAACAAATCAAAGATTGCATGAAATTTTGGCATTGAAGAGAAGAACAGTGATGATAATGATGAGATTTATGATGATGATGATGATGTGATCTTAAAGAACTTGACGGGCGTATAGAAGGAAATATAGGAGGATGAATATTTGGGTGATGTGGATGATGATGATAGTGATGGTGATGGGATTGATGTCGTGATAATAAATTTCGAGTAATTGGTTTGGTGGTGGTGTTGTTATTGTTAACTTGTAAATTTTCATTTATACCAAAATTTGAGTAAAAACCATCTGTAGGAAGGGGGTCGTCATTTATACCGAAGAATCTTTGTGGTACAATGTGATGTAAAGGTGGTAAGGTGATAGAACCTTCGGCTTGTTTTCCGTATGAAACTTGATCGTCTGAATTAACATTTCTTAAAGGTGAAAGTTTATGTAAAGGGGTATTATTTAAAAGTGACAAAGATGATGGAAATGTCGTTGTGATTGTTGAAAGTGGTGGAGGTTTGTAAGAAACACTAGTAAGCGATTGAAGACTTCTTTGATGATTAGGAGTAGTAGTTTCATGGTAATTTTTCCAATTCACATGTTTTGTGGGTTTTCGTGATATATTGTTATTATATTCGTTAAGTTTACTGTCATGATGGGAATTTGAGTGTACAGGTTGTTGTGACGACGACGACGAAGAAATAGGATTAATACGTGTAGAACGAATAACTTGTTCTTGACGAGTCCTTTCTTCTTGTTTACGTTTTGCACGACGATTTTGGAACCTTTTGTTAATATAAATAATAGGATTAATAAAACATTTAAGAAAACAAATAATAAACGTTATTTGATCATTAAAAATTATAAAAAAAAAAAAAATGGTCACCAAATATGAACACTTTTTGAAGGCATATTTAATTTTGAGGAAATTTTTTCTCTCATATTTGAGTCGGGAAAATCATCGACAGTTGTAAAATAATTTTCAAGAAATTGGACTTGTGAAGGAGTTGTACGATGACGTTGTTGTTGAGTATTAGTATTACAAAGCGAAACACAATTTACATTACTCATATTTAAGAGATCGCCGGCGATGTTTTTTTAATAAATTTGAATTGAAAATATGAATTTGAATATTGAATTTATTATTATTGAATATTATTATTGAATATTATTATTATTATTATTATTGAAAGAAAACCAAAATTGTAACAAAGTATGATCACGAATATATGAAATTAATAAAGTAAAACGCGTCGATATAGTAAATACAATAATGAAGAGATATAAAAAAAAAAGAGAGACGTTCATATTTCTTTTTATTTATATATAAGTAATTAAACATTTAATTAATTAACCGCCCTTCAATAAATTAATCTTTTATAATTAATATTATTAATCACCAAGTAACGTAAAATTTATCCCGTTAATTAGTTCAATAAATAATATTTAGTCTTTAAATCAATTACACATTTTATTTGCTTTTTTTTTTTATTTGAGATTTTTGAGATTAATTTATTTAATTTATTTATTTAATTTAATATTCAATTTGTCGCCCAGATTTATCAGTATACTATACTTTTAATAACTTTAATTTACTTACTTTACATTTGTCATCAAAATATGTATTAAATCTGTCATATTCAATTCACTTCACTTATAAATATTTATGTTTTTATATTCAAATTATACTCGTATGATTAGGTGTTAAATATTAAGAAAGTCATTGGTACATAATAAGATTTTTCGATATGTAATTATATATATATAAAGTCACATTGTGCTGTCTTCCTGGTTTTTTTTTTTTTTTTTTTTTTTTTTTTTTGCTTTTGAAAAGATCAATTAGATATTCTATTTTTTTGAATGTTTCCCCGCATTAAATAAAATATTTAATAAATTTAAAGTAAAAATGCAATCATTTCATTTTTGCATAAATCAATAATTTCAATTGATATATTTGATATAGATTTGATATTTTCTCAATATATTAATATACTCAAAAAAAATTAAATCAAATTTTTAAATCAAATTTTTGAATCAAATAAAATCAACCACAACCGAAAAGAATTAAAAGCATAATGAAAATGATAACGGAAACCTCAATTAATTGGTTAAAAAAAATACATTATATATTACATTAATTTACATTAATTACATTAATTAATTAGAAAACCAAAAAAAAAAAAATCAAACACTTTAATTTGTATTAAAAAAAAATCATTATTACAGTAGTATTATTATTAAAAAAAAAAAGCGTAGTATATCTTTATATATTCGTATATATTTGGGTGGTGCATGATTTTGAATGAGAATATGAAAAATTATATATATATATATAAATATATATTGAAACCGAAGAAAAAAAAAAGAAAAGGAAAAAATGCCAAAAAATTTAAATTGTTTTGTTGGAATGAATGATGAGATGCGAATAAAGCTTATAAATCTTGTAAAAAGATAAAAATTGTAATTGTAAAAAATAAAAAAATTAAAATTTTCTATATAAAAAACAATATATATATATATATATATCTGTATACAAAATCTATATGCGTAAAAAAAAAAATAAATCTATATGTTGTATGGTTGGTGTTTGGGATTTCATTTAAAACTCTATAGATATTATTATATTATTATAATAATAAAATATTAACTAATTGCGAGTAAATAAGAAGAAAAAAGAAAAAGAATAATAAATAATAAAAAAAAAAAGGTAATTAATAATAATACCAAATATTAAATAACTATTGTCTATATATTATCAAAAAAAAAAAAAAAAAGATCGATAATCAATATCGTATCTCAACATTTTTTTTTTTTTTAAAAAAAAAGAAACACCACCCACCAAAAAAAAAGGAAAGAAAAAGAAAAGAAATTTATAGTATATTATAATATAATGTCCGTTGTCTAAAAAAAATGATATATACAATGTATGTATATATATATGCATATATATAATATGCTCGTTACGAAATATATATATATATATATATAATACAAACAACGTCAACGAAAGACGCGTTTGAAAATAATAATAAAAAAAAAAAATTACACCGTCTCGCAAGATATAATAATAAAATTATCTTAGTTCACGTTAATGTCTTGCCTATTGAGACATAAAAAAAATAGTATATATTAAATAATTAACAAATAAGTATTAAATAATTATTATGGTTTTTTAAAAGAAGAAATTGTTCTTGTTCATTATCGAATTATTTTTCACAACGAAATAATTTATATGAAAAATAAATAAAATAAGATAGATAATAAATAAAATAAATAATAAATAAAATAATTATAAATAAATAACGAAAGGAAGAAGGAAATGAGGAAATAAGGAAATAAATAAATGGTTGGTAATCAGTCATCAAAACGTAATTTTTTTAAACTCTTGATGAATTTCGAGAAGTTCGTGGACGTGATGTAGTTCCAGAATTAGGAATTGAAGATGAATCGGTAGTGGATGAAATTATTTGGGCTTTAGGTGTAGACATTAAGGGAAGTCTCTTACGAGGAAGTTCGACAACTAAAAATTAATAAATAAAATATTTTTAATTAATTAATTAATAAATTTATTATTATTTATTTATTATTTATTTATTATTTATTTAGATAATTAAATAATAATAAAAAAATTTTAGTAATTACCTATTCGTTTCCTACGTAAATTATCTTGACAACCTTTTTCACAATACCAAGGTTCGGTACCTTGTACTGTTTCATCATCGATACCTTCTACAAAACATTTTTGATGAAATGCTTTGGGACAACCTTCACAACGGACAAGAACATTTCCAACGAATGACTCTTGTTTTTGACAAACGGTACAAACTATATTTAAAATAAATAAATAAATGAATAAATATAAATGAATAAATATATATTATTAATAAATAAATGAATAAATATATATTATTAATAAATAAATGAATAAATATATATTATTAATAAATAAATAAATATATATGTATATATATATATTGATAATAATTATATCTTAATAAATATAAGATTAATAATTAAAAATACATACACAGCTGTAAAACCGGACGTTCACGTTCTTCGACAGTTTCATTTACGAAACCGGTCAAATCCAATCGGGGAAGTTTGCATGCGAATCCATAACCTTTATAATCACAACCGTGTTTACTATTATTTTAAATAAAATTTGATAATTAATAATTATTTTAAATTTTAATAATAGTAATAATAATAATATTATAATAATAATAATAATAATAATAATAATAATAATAATAATAATAATAATAATAATTGATAAACTTACTTGCATAAAGTTCGCTTTCCCCATGGACCAGGTCTCCAGTTAACACCCTCAGTGGTTCCACAGTATCTGCACCAATCAATTCCTGATTTTGTTAAATTTTCAAAAACAGTAGGAGTTTGAGTTGGACGTGGTAAGGTGACTTCTAATTCTTCGGTTTCTTGAAGTTCATCTATTATCATCATCATTGTAGATGAAGTTGAAGCCGGACTTGATATAGCATTAGGTGTAGAAACTTTACTACCATTACTAACGATTGTTGGATTAATAATATTATTATTGGTAGTAATGGTTCTTTTTGATGATCTATTAAATTATTAAAAAATAAAATTAAATATATAAATAAATAAATAATGGGAATAAATACAAATGTCAAATATATAAATAAAGATATATACCGTTTAATAGAAGATTTTCCCTTTTTGGTTTTTTGTGAAGTAGATTTAGCTTTCGTTAAACCTTTTCCTAAAATGACTGATTTTGTAGAAGAACTACTCTTTGATGATTTATTATTATTATTGTTGTTGTTGTTGTTGTTGTTATTATTATTATTATTGATATTATTAACATTATTGTTATTAAGAGATTTAATTTGTTTTGTTGACGAACGTGATTTCTTATTACTACTCATAGATGGACGATATTCTTCATCGTCATCATCATCATCATCATCTTCGTCATCATCATTTTCCTCATCATCATCGGTGGTATAAATAGCATCACTACTATCATTATATTCATCAGTAACTGAATCATTTTCTTCATGAATTCCATCATTAAAGTTATCAATCATATTTTCATCACCATCATCATCATTATTATTATAATTATAATTATTATCATTATTATTGTTATCATTATCATTGTTATTTTTATAATCATTAAATTCAGTCTTTATTTTATTATTATTATTATTATTATCATCAAGTCTTAATGGATCAATTTTTTTAATGATTACTTTAACACCATTTTGTTCATCAATACGAATCTTTTTATCAGCTTGTTTCAAGGTTAAATCGGTGACATCGGAAATTTCGTCATCGTCAGAAGAGGAAGAAGAAGTATAAGATAATCTACGTTTAAGGTTATTATCACTAACAAGTTCTGGAGTAGGTGGAGGTGGACTAATTAAATTATCACCATTATTACCAAATTCGAAATAATTTGGTCTGGTAATAACTCGAGGAAGGTTATTACGACCATTATTATTGTTGTTGTTGTTGTTGTTGTTTTTGCTGTTAATATTATTACTATAATTATTACTATTATTATTATTATTATTGATGTTACTATTATGATTATTTTGAGTAAAGGAAGAAGAATCAATAGAAGTAATAACTCTAGGATCAATTGTATTAGCCATAATAGGAGTAGTTGTACCACTTGTATAATCCATATTCTCAGTAATAGTATTATTATTATTATTATTATTATTGTTGTTAGATAAAATTAATGAAGGATCAATTGTATTTGTTATATTTGTTATATTCGTTATATTCGTTATAGATTGTGATTCAAGAGGTGATGATGATCGTTGAAAAATTGGAGTTGAAGGACCTGATAAAACATTTTGCTGAATAACTTGTTGTGTTGATTGTTGTGATTGTTGCGATGAAGTTGTAGATGATGATGATGATGGAGTACTTGGTTGAGAGGAAGAAGAGGAAGAAGGTAATGATGAAGATGAATTTAATTCATTACTAAAAGAAGGTTGATCTCTTAATTCATTAACAAATTCATCTTCATAAAATAACCTCCAAATATCGTCACCACCATCTATAATTCCGGCAGGAGACGAAGGCGAATTATATGGAGTTAATATATCAGTATCAGAAGATGCGTCACTATCAAATTGAAGTGATAATTCAATTGAATCATCATCATCAATCATTGGATCTGAGAAAAAGACATCATTTAATAAACTACTGGAATGACTATAATCTAATAAATTTCCCAAATTTCCCAAATTTTCTAAATTTCCTGTGGTTGTAAAATTAATACAAGGTATTTGATCAAAATTAAAGTAATCTGTTGTATTATTATTATTATTATTTTGATTATTTTGATTATTATTATTATTATTATTATTATTAGTGATATTATCATTATTATTATTATTATTATTATTATTATTATTACAATTATTATTATTAATAGTTGAAGTGGGATTTATAAAATCAGCTGCAGAAATTGTTAAAGTATGATGAGATATATTTTGCATACTTTGAGTTGGTACCACATGAGAAGTAGAAATTGAATGATTAATTTGTTGTTGTTGTTGTTGTTGTGAAATATGAAGATGAGACATTGATGATGATTGTTGTTGTTGTTGTTGTTGTTGTGAAATATTCATTGTTTGAGTATTCACATGAGGAATGGCAACAGTTGTTGTTGTATTTCTACCATGATTATTATTATTATTATTATTATTATTACCAAGATTTTTCATATTCAAATATTTTTCTTTACATTGTTTACATATAATTTGTAAAATATATGATTCGTTATTCATTGAAGTATTACCAGTATGACTAACATAATTAAGACAAGTATCACATAATAAATTAGTTAATATTGGATCCATTTGAGGAGATCTAAGATGATTATTACTATTATTATTATTATTATTATTATTATTATAATGATTATAATGTTGTTGTTGTTGAGTGTGATGATTATTGTAATGATTATGCTGTTGTGATTGAGTGAAATAATTTTGATAAGGATGAATTCGACCAAAATAATTTTGATAATTTCCATAATCCATTTGATGATGATTATAATGATACATCATTGTTCCCATCATTTCTTTTGAGGGTGAAATATTTGATGTAATATCTCCATAACCCTGTGTTGGGACAATGATTTGAGGTTGGGGAACTTGTGAATAAGTCCGATTATTATTATTATTATTATTATTATTATTATTATTACTATTATTATTATTATTACTATTATTATTATTATTACTAGTATTATTATTCTGAATTGATGATGATTGTTGCTGTTTCGATGATGGCAAAATTTGACGTGGTTGTTGATCATTGTAATTCGTGTTACGTTGTTGATGTTGTTGTTGATTTGGAGATGATTTCTTGATACTCGATGTACTTGCCATCATTTATATTTTTTAATTATTATTATTTTTTTTTTTTTTAAAAAAAAAAAAGAGAAAAGGAAAAAAATTTATCTATAAAAAATAGTATTTATACACAGTCGAGTGTATATAGGATTGTATATAAAAATGTATAGTAGATGATAATATGTATATATATGATTATTATTATAACAGCCTTGTAGTATATAAACTATTAAAAAAAAAAAAAGAGAGAGAGAGAACACGAAAAAATTATTGGTTAGTATAAAGATTGTGTCACGTATATTATCCATGATTGAATATAAAAGATAAAATAAAATAAAATAAAAAGTAAAATAAAAATAAAAATAAAAATAAAAAAAAAAGAAATTAAAAATAGTAAAAAAAGATAAACGATAAATAAAAAGGACAAGTTTAAAGGTAAAAATAAAGTTAATAAAGTTGATAAAGTAGTGCTTACAGTTAAATATATTATAAAGTGTTGAGAGATAAAATAGAAAAAATTTTTTGAGGCTGAAGATAAATAATGAAATTTATAATAATCGAATATAATAATTGAATGAATGAATGAATGAATGGGGGCTGTACGCAGTAAAATTAAAGCCACTACTATAATTAATTACTATTATTAAATTTTATTGCCATTATTACTTATTAATACCTTTACTTACTTAGTATTATAATAAGATTACTAAGTAATAAAAAGTAATAATAAGTAATAATTAGTAATAATAGTAAAAAGTAAGAACAATATTTTTTTTTAGAAAACAATAAATAAATAATAGGAATAATAGTAATAAGAAAATTATGGGCGTTTTGATATGATAAGCATTAAAATGTAGGTGATGACATACATCAAATACATCAAAAACGGGGGAAATTAAGGTACATGTGGACAATAGGAATTCATAACAAGGAATTGAAAAAAAAAAAATTTTTTTTTTTACGCCAAAATTGGAGATAGTTCACGAGAACAAAAAAAAAAAAATTAAAAAAGTGAACGTGAACCAAAGATAAAAAAAAAAAAAATATGAAAATCTTGAAATCTTCAAGAAATAACCAGATGAACGTAATTAATAATAACAATTATAAATTATAATTATAATTATGATAATGATAATAAGAATTCTAAGGGGAGGAAAAATATAGAAAGCATGGGAGAAGGAAAATGTAGGAGAACAGTGATAATAATAATAATAATAATAATACGATAATAAAGAGAAACAATTCTAATAACAAGATAACAACAACATCATCATCATCACCATCATAATCATTAATGAATAATAATAGTAACAATAATAATTTTTTTTTTTTTAAAAATATATAAAAAAAAAATAATAATTAACTTTACTTACACTTTATAATTTTGCTCCAGAAGAATAAGAAGATGAATAAGAAGATGAACAAGAAGATGTCAACACAACAAAGTTTGCCAAAGTAGGAGAAAGGAATGAGATTTGAGAGAAAACAAAAGGAAAGAAATGGGTTTTATAAAAAAATTTTTTTTTTTTTTTTTTTGCCTGATGGTGTAGTAAATATAGTATTAAAGTAGTAGTAAGTAGAATATACATGACGTCCTGTATATATATATATATTAATAAAATATAATAACAATAATGAAAATTATAATAACCTGTATATTTTTTATATAATATATATTTTATTTGTTATATATTTATATATATTTTAATTAAAAGTATATAAAAAGTATAATTTTTTTTTATAATAATAAAATTTATATATTTTTTTTATTATAATAAATAAAATGGAACAAAAATTTTATAATTGATATATTTCAACTTTTTTTTTTTTTTTTTTTTTTTTTTTTTTACTTCTCTAACTTTAAATAATAATAACTCTTCTTTTTTGGGTACGCTAGTTAAAAAAGAAAAAATTGTTATTATTAAGATCCTCACAAGTTTCAAATTGATGAAAGAACAAGCAAGATGAAATGAAAAGAAGAGTAGGAAGGGGGTCCAGTCAAGTATTTATAAACTTTCGTGAAATGAAAAAAAAAGAGAACCAAATTTGTAACCAATAATAAAAAAAAAAGAAAACAATAATAATTATAAATAAATATAATATAAAAAAAAAATAATATAAAATAATTTAATATAAAAAAAATAATTAAATTTAATATAGCATAAAAAAAAAAGAAAAAAAATTTTTACATAATTATGATTCAAAGTTTAAAATTATGATCGTCGTCGGAAATTGACTACTTTGAGAAATGAGGGAGTAAATAAAAATTATTTATATTATTTATATAATATGTATGGAATTTGAATTATATTGCGTTGTATTATGAAACATGTTTGTATGTATATATAAATATAATAAAAAAAATTGATATTTATACAAAAAATAATCTATTTTTGTAAAAAGTAGAAGGTAAAATTAACTGACTGACTGACTAATTGAGACAGTTTGACAGTTTGGTTAATTTAATTGATTACACGACATCTCAATGAAAATTTATTCATGAATTTAATGAATTTAATTTAATTTGAATTTTTTTTTTTTTAAAAACTTCAAAATCTATCAAAAATCATATTCTCAAATTTAGGTATTCAATGTACAATAGTATCTTCTTTATATATACTGTTTATTCATACATAAAAGAATTAGGTAAATGTGTTCTTGTTTTTGTTATTAAAAATAAGTTTTACATAGTTTCTAATGATTTTGTTGTTTTTTTTTTTGTTTTTTTTTGTTGTGATGTTGTAATAATAATAATAATAATAATAATAATAATAATAATAATAATAATAATAATTTTATCATTAGAATACGTACAATGATAAATAATAAATAATAATAATTATTATTATATAATAAATATTTATACTCCATTAAAAGACTAGAAAAGACTAGTAAAGAATAGTAAAGACTAGTAAAGGCTAGTAAAAATGGTGTACAAATAAATAAATACAAATAAAGGAAATTTCAATGGAATGAATTTATACATTTATTAAACTTACTATCGATTTATATGAAATATATGATATATATTATAATATATACCCAATAAATCGTTTAAATCGTATATAAACATTTTATAAATAAACAGTTACATATATAATATCTCTCTTCTCTTCTCCTGCTCGTTCTCCCACTCATTCTTTTTTGCTCTTTTTCCAAGGAGATAATACCAAATACCAATAATTATCAGTTCTGCAATAGTTTATGTATTCAATAACAAAGCATATCCAAGAAAGCGTGGTTTTTTTTTTAATGCATGAAGTTAATAACCACCACATGTAAATAACATATCTATGTAAGCAACAACATTAGTTATATACACAACATAATAATAAAAAACTTGACAACAATTAAATAACAAATAACAAATAACAAATAGTAAATGATTACTATTTTATTCAAAAGTAAAATTAAAAAAAAAAAAAAAAAAAAATTAAATGGCAAAACAGAATTCTGTAAAAAAGTAAATATACATTAATACAATTTTGGAAGATTAATAATAATGTAATAAGAAATAACAATAGAATGTTAATAAATAACAATAATTATTAAGATTAAAAATTTAATTAATAATTATAAAATTAAATTAATTAATAATCATTACGAATTATTAATTAAATTAATCAATACAATGATAATCTAAAAGATCGTGACTTTTTGACTTTTTTTTACAATACAGATTTGTTGTCATGTATGGATTAGTTACAGAAATTACTATTATTATTATTTTTATTTTTAACCCAAATTTACGAAAATCATTTTATATTATTACTTTTTTTATCCTTGTAAAAAAAAAAGTATATCTTTATTAATAATTTACTAATAATTATTTGCTATAATTATTTATAATTATTTGATTAATTTGGTTTAAGGAGTAATTTTACTATTATTAGGATTTTGTGATTAAATGATTTGACTAATGAGTTATTATGATTTATGTTAAAAAATTTTAGTTTTAGGGATCGGAATTAATAGAGTTAAAATAGAGTAAAACGGAGTAAAAAATATTAAAATAAAGTAAGTGGTAATATGTAATACAATCTATTTAACATCGTATATATATATATATATATATATATACACATATACATATATATATTATATATTATTGCTTTCTTTTCTATTTTATTTTTTATCGTAGCGATTCTTCTTCTTCTTTTTCTTCTTCCGGAAATAACAATAATAAATGATATAATAAAGTTAGTAATAATCTATAATAATCTATAATAATAGATAATAAAGAATGATAATAATCTATAATAATTATTAATAGTAAGTAACAATAAAGAATAATAAGTATCAATATATAGTAATAAGTAATAAGTAATAATAATTGAACATGGATTTTATTAAATAATACGACAACTTTCTTATTCTATATAATTTACATACTAATCCGACTCATAGAACTTTATTATTTGCTAAATTTGTTCAGTTTAATGTTTAAATTATTTTTTATTTTCATACTAAAAATATCATGAGATTTTTTCTTTATATCAGATTTAGAAAATCATCCAATTATTGCAATTAGAATAATTAATGATATTTATTTTTTATGGCTGATAGAAATAATTCCTTTTTTATTTTGAATGAATGAATTAATTAATTAATAGAGTAATAATAGAGTAATAATAGAGTAATAATTAGTAATTGAAAGAATAATTTAGGAGAATCAAATGATCAAAGAAATTAAGAATTTGAAAGGTGAATTAAAAAGAATAATAACAACAATAACAACAACAATAACAATGACGAATTATTAAAAGATAAAACACAATTAGCTAAATATTCTTGTTTGATTAGGTGAAGGAAATGCAATTCCTTAATCAACAAATCTTATTTTATTATTGTAACAAAAAAAAACAATTATTTTTATTATAATAATAATTGTTTATTATAATAAATAATAATAATTATTATAATTGTAATAAATAATAATAAATAATAATTATCATTATTAACAAGAAACAATAATTATATAATAATAAAAATGATGTAATTACCAGAGAAGGAAATCCCAAAGAAATTCTTTACATATCTTAAAAACAATGTCGATTGTTTCATAATGTGTTTGTATAATATAATATAAAATATAATATGTATAATACAATGTATGTTTGTTGTTTGTTTTAAAATTTTCCTAATCCTGGGAATTTTAATACAAATACTATTGTCTTTTTTAATACAATATATCTGGATAATGTTTTTTTTTTTTTTTTTTTTATCCTTTTGATCAAATATATCAAATATATCGTTATCAGGTATTGTCTCGGATATTGTTTCAAAATCTGATATTGTCTCAAATCAGATTTTTTTTTTTTAACTAAAAGAATACAAAAACCTTGGCTCTTTTGATTCACCCTTTTGATTTCACGGGTAAGGCTGTGTAAATATAATATATATCGACCTAACGTATATCTTTGTCATAAAAAGTACTATATATATAAAATAAATTATAGTTTGTATAAAAGATATTGTTATTGTAATAAATGCATTAATTAAATATAGTTAGTATAGTTACGGAACATTTGGATTTATTTATTTTCTTCTATTTATAAAATGATCCTATCCAATTGAAAGGGTTCTCAATTTGTGTCTATTTATGTTCTATGATATTCCATGATATCTATTTATGTTCTAATTTATAATAATAATAGATAACAATAAATAATAAAATTAATATGTATATATATGCATCATGTATGTATACAATAGCTTAAACTTTTTTTTTTGTTCTATGAAGAATCATCGAAAGTTTTACCGATTTATAGAATGTTATTGAATTGTTATATAATATATAATGTATACACGATACCGTTTTTGTTAACATTATACTATTATACTAAATAAATGTATACCGTTTTAAATAATATCTGATATCAGTATATTGTACCGTTTGAGCAATATGTATGTCCGTATACCGTTATATATATTGTACTACGGTGGTGTAATCCCGAAAATCGAAAATCGAAAATCGAAAACGAAAAAAAATCTATATTTTATATACATATACATCAAGAATATATAAAACAACTTCATTTCAAAGTTTTACTTCAAAAGGTTTATTTAAGAAATAGAAATAAACTGCTATCTATATAAGTTTAATAGAGTTAATATTGAGTCATCTATATAAGTTTAATATAGTTGATATAGAGTTATCTATATAAGTTTTAATAGAGTTAATAGTTAAAAATAGTTTTGATTGTCATTATTATCAACCCTGATCGGAATTTTCTTTTTTTTTTTTAGAGAGAAGAAATATGGAGAAATCTAAAAACAGCATTCATGCATAGTTATTCATTTTAATTTTATTTTATTTTATTTATTTATTTATTTATCTTTTTTGATGATTTTTTTTTTTTTTTGAAGTATTTAAAAAAGTTGATTGAATGTACGTGTGTACATAATCTCAATCGAATTTATCGTGATGAAAGAATCAAATAATAATGATAATGATAATAAAAAAATTAATTAATCAGGAATAATTGATAAATAGGTGTAAATATATCAGAGAAATATTCGAAAAATATATTCGTAAATGCATGATCTAAGATGATATTTTTATCACTTATGCATGTGTCATATTTTTTTTTATACAACGTATATATATATATGTATATATATTATAAATTATAAATTATACATTATAAATATCATACCTATATTAAATATATTATATTATTTTAGTAGATTAAGGATATTACATGAATAGATATTTATATAGGGTATGTGTATACCGTATGTATGCATAAATTTTATTACGTGTTTATTATATTATTACGTTAACGATTCTGTCAATTCTGTCAATTTGTATTTGTCAAGTCACATACTGATTTATATGTTTAGATTATGATGTATGAAATAATTTCTATGGTATTTCTATGGAATTATTATTATCATAATTCGAATATAATTGAAATGATTTTGAAACAATTGAACTAATTCAAAAAATAATTTGAACAATTTGAACAATTTGAACAATTTGTGGGGTAAATGAAATAAAAAAAAAACAAAGGGATCGTAAATTAAATGAAATAATATTTTTAATCGTACACGTTTTTTAATTCATGTAACATTATTCATTATGTCAAATATAAAGATTCTCCTTGTTCCTAAATAAATATATTTATTTCCCGCAAAAATAATAATAATAATAATTATAATAATAATAATAATAAATTCAAATTTTAAATTAATTTTTAATTCAGAATCAGTAAAAATTATTCAATGCATAAATGTTATTATAAATATTATAAATAATTTTAATTGTAGAGTTTCCTGTTTTGTCAAACAAATGTCACATTTTGACGCACTTTAAATAATGAAGAAGTTGTTGTTAATACGCCCAACGTCCTACAATATCTTTAATCAATCAACTGCAATCCAATACTTTAATGGCATCTTATTTTTTAATCCACCAATTGTCAAACACTACAAATTCACATCAATATTGACATATTTGTTATTTATTATCCATAAAGAAAATTAATAATCAAATTTTTTTTTTTTTGAATAAAAAAAAACCAAGAAGGTAAATGAGTCCTGGTTTTTTTAAAGAAAGAAAATGGAACAAAGGTTTTGATCACTTGATTTACTTGCCATTGAAAAAAAAAAAAAAGATTAACCCTGTTACAAAGATAAGCTTAAAAAGAAAATTAATTTACGGTGAATTTGATTTTTATTTATTATTTTTTTTTTAAAGCCCATAATAATTGTAATAATGATTTATAATGAGAAATAGTAACCAATTATAGTAATTAATTATAGTAATTATTATCGTAATTAATTATAGTAATCAAATAAATAATTATTTACTATATATGTCAAACACCATTATTACTAAACACGAATAACAACCGAGTTAACTAAGTTTTATTTGTTATTTACAATGGTCAATTTAACTTTATACATGATAAGAAATTATCGACTTTAATTTTTATTAAAAACTTATGAGACAAAAACCCATGATAAACTTTGTCAACTCATTGAACGAACTAACGAAGGAACGTTGTAAAGTTTGAACATTCTAATTATTTTATTAAAATACGTAACGATGAATAATAATGTAATGATATTTTATATTTTTTCTTCTTCACGTAATATTATACATAGTAGTTAGTGACACAATAGACTTTATATATATGTGACGTATGCCAAAGTTAAATAATAATTATTATATTGATTATTGTTTTAATCATTATTATTTGTTATTATTATTGTTATTGTTATTATATATTGTTCTAAAAATTTTTTTTTAATATTGTTCTTTATTCTAGTTTATAAACCAATTTACCATAACTAAACGATTTAATTAACTTATAAATTAACTTAATTGTATATATGATTGAACTTCTATATTCGGTGAACAATAAAATTTTAAATTTGTTTACGTTTTATTAGTGGTCTGTGGTGGAGTAACATATGTAAATATTGATAAATAATAATAAATATTGTGATTTGTTAATTGTGATTTTTATTTTCTCCTTGAATAAAAATATTTCCCCTGCCTTATAATCTAATAGTGTTATTATTATCATCATCATCATTATTCTTATTCTTTATTCTTATTAGCATCGTCATTATCATTATTTATTATTATTAATATCCGACGAACAATTATTTCCTTTAACCTAAATTTCTATGTTTGTAAAATGGATTATTATTTGTTTATATAAATTAAGGTTAAGCAAAAACGTACAGTTGATCTTGCTCTTTATTTTTCAAATAAAGTTAAAAAAAAAAAAATATGTCCTGATTCTTAATATAATAATAATTTGATATTAAAATAAATTTGATAGAACGAGAGAGATAGGTGGATAGAGATATGATTCAGTTATTAGCTCAATTGTAAAGCATATCTGTAATAAGATTTCAACGTTTTTTTAAGATCACGAAACAAATCCTTTTCTTTTTTTTCCTTTTTCGGTAGTGCCAACCTTCTAAATAAAGTTAATGACATTGCAACTTTTGGTTTAGTTTAGTTTTTTTTTCATTAGATAAGAAAAATGTTTTTAATTAAATCTTGAAAAAAAAATTCCTGATTTTGATACATGGATTTTTTATTTATTTATTCTTTTGATTGGAAGTAAATTGACGCGAATGAAATTATATAATATATTTTTATGTAATATTTTATGTAACATTTTATTTACATTTTATTTATATTTTATTCCCAGGGGTCAACAAAAAAATTTTCTTTGTGAAAATAACCCCTTATAAAAGTAAATAATGATTTAATTTAACGGGATATTTATTTAACTATTAAGGTTCACACATGCATTGCAGATATATTTTCTTTTTGTAATTCCTTTTTAATTTGCATACATAACTGTTCAAGTTTTGTTTTTTTTTTTTTTTTTTTTTTACACTTTTACGGATAAAATTGCAAATTGAATAAAATCACCAAATATTTTTTAAGAGAAATTCAAGAATACTATAAAAGAAATAATACAGAAGGAAAATGATATTGCAAGAATAATAATGCAAGAAAATAATGTAAAAATAATAAAGAATGTTAAAATACTAAAAGGATGTTAAAAGAATACTAAAAGAATACTAAAAGAATACTAAAAGAATACTACAAATGTACATAACAAAAAAAAAAAAATTTTTAATTTCTTTTTTTGGTCGGCGGGTTACGTGGTGAAGTACAAAGATTTTATTTCATTGAGTTCTTGATTAAAGTTTTGTAAAGGAAGATTTGTTCTTGTCATATTTTTTGAATTCTTTCTGCATAACATCAATAACATCATAAATTTAATTTACATTCACACGTATCATACATGTGTATGTACATATACATATATAATATATATAATATCAATTAAGTGTCAAATGAAATTCTCCAGGAATATAGGTAAGAGAAAAGAGGGAGAGTCAAAGTTGTTTATAACACACGACCTGACATCACGATGTTTATCAATGTATCACCATTAATTATAAAAATCTTACCCCTCATTTTAATTTTTTTATTTTGTTTTGTGCATTGACTCCTTACCAAAATAAGTTTATTATTGATAATTTTTCATTAACTTTATCATTTACCCCTTCAAAAAAAAAAAAAACTCAACCTAATATTTACTTGCCTTAATTGTATGTCACCGCGTTATAAAAGGTGAGTGACCTGAACTATTTAACTTTCCATTTTATTTTTTTATAAGAAAAAAGTGGACTTATTCTCCACATTTACTTTACAATTTAAATTTAAATAAAAAATTTTAACAAATAATCTACATATGGACATATTACTCAAAAGGATTTTAGAAAACAAATCCCAAAACCTTTCCTTATTGAGATTTTATTTATTAGATTATGCCATGTTTGTCTTTGTAATGTCTCCTTAATCGTGTGTTTCAGAACAACATTTTTAGGAGAATGAAGAACGACCAACGATCTTTGCAACAATTGATAAAATTGATCACTACATGAAGTCACCATAATTTGATCTATGCATATCATAATCCCTATTTTATATCATTTTACCATTTTATTCTCCGTTAATTAACAATATTTTTTTTTTACTCGTGATTTACTCCTATAATAATACTCCTAAATATTTTCTTTAATACACACGGACTTAAACTTTCTTGCTCTTCTTTGTTTTGCATAATTGATCATTTTAAACATGTACATTATTATACAAACGATGCAACTTTCAAAAATCATGTAACTATACAAAATTATAAAAATCTTACCATGGTTCGAAAACCAAGTAATTCTACAAAAGACTATGCAAAAGTGCAAAAAATCAGATGAGTAAATACAGTAAATGCTGTAAATAATGTAGTTAATAATGTAGTTTATTTTTTTTTTAATGACTAACGGAGCCTCCTCTTTATTCATAAATGATAACCATTGTAAATATAAAGTTATATAAAAAGAATAAAAAAATTGGCTAAGATAAAATCGCTGCCCCTTAAAAGGAAATCCATTTAAGGACAGTGTGAATAGTTAATAATGTAGTTAATACATAATAAAATTTAATAATAATAATAATAAGGTATAATGCATGAGAGATCAAAAGAAAAAAAATAAGTTTTTTTTTTTTTGTTGAATTTCACTGTTGTTTTTACAAAAAACGCGGGGATGATGGGATGTTCTTAATAATCATAACATTGTAATTTAATAATGAACGCACGAAACATGACGCACAATCATCATAATTCGTGATACATAATTTTAAAGAATTACTTCTGCGTAAAACTTTCTGAATACAAATAATTTAATATACAAAATCACTATAAATCTCTACCGAATATTTTAATATATAATTTTTTTTTTTTTTTTTGAAAATTAATTCTAAAAAAAAAAGAATATACAAATGATTTTATTTAGTATTTTAAACAAACCATCATTCCACCGCAATTTTTTTTTTTTGCCATATTACCATAATAAGAAGCCAATCAAAATTTGACGGATATTCTTACTAAATTTATCATCTAAGATAAATGAATCAATCAACTTTTGCCTTTTTACCTAAAAGAGATTTCAAGTAAATTCAAAGACTCTTACATTTTCAAAATAAGACGCGACAAAGTTCTTTTGGCTAATATCACGTGAGTTATTATGTTCACGGAATGTTGTGTTCCAATTTATTTTCTTTTACATAATCCACAGTTTAATTGGTTTGGTTTTAATTTGGTTTAATCTTTTTATTAAGTTTATTTAGTTTAATTACTTTTTTCCATTATTGATTAGAACAAAGTACAAGTACCAAATGATTTTTAAAAGTTCTTTTTAGTAAAAAAAAAATTGATAGATAAGATAATATTAGGAAAAACAATCTTTTTTATTCTTAGTAAAGATGCTCAATGGATTTATGATTGATACCCAAAGTTAGATTCAAAAAATAATTAATAATAAATAAATCCGTGTCGTGTGGCGTCTTATCTTGCGGATAAAAATTTAATCGCTGCTTATTCTAATCTTTATATTATCAAGTTACGCTAACCCAAAAAATAATGTAAATCCAATTTTTTCCCACACTTATAAGATTCTATTGTTCGATATTTTTTTTTTTTGAAATCCGCGGTTATGCTTCTTCTTACATATGAAACATATGAAAGTAAAATAATTGTTTTTTTAATCAATTATTTTATACTTCAAATTTCAAAATTTCGGAAAATAATTTTATTTTTTTCAGTAGATTTCATTTTCTTTTGACTAGGTTTTGTTCATTCTCGAGATGATTATTTTTTTTTTATTTAAATAGATACTTTAATGCTATTTTAAGCTAGTGAGGTTCGTTCTTTTTCCCTTTTTAATCACGTTATATGCATATCTCTATCACATCTATTGTGCTCTTAATTTTTTGGTTAATGAATTTAGATCATTCTTATTTCTCAATAGTGTTTTCGTTATCAATTCCTATTGATTCTGATTCAAAAATTTTCTTTCTTTTTGTTTCATTAATGATTTCTCGATTTTCATTTTTTTTCACTCTCATTGTAATTCTCACTTAACTTGATTTTAATATTTATTAATATCAAAAAATAATTTGTAAAATCTCAAGATCTTTCAGATTTTATAAATCTTATCTTGTGATCTTAATAATTGACTAGCTGAAATCTTATTATAACATTTAGATTAGGAGATATTCAAAAATCGCAATTGTGCTGATCAAACATTTTTCTTTTAATACGAATTTATAAGTAAATATTATTAGACTCATTAATAAAAATTAGTATACATGCTTTTTCCCAGAATAATATTGTGAAGTAGTACGCGTTTTACTTTGATCATTTGCAGCTGGTTACCTTTCTTCAGAACAGACATCGGTACAACTATTTACATATGTGATGTAACAATATAAGGAAGAATACTATATTATAAATGCAACTGCTTTATAAAAAAAATTACTATTAAAATATTGATTGTAGGTTATAATATTTACAATATGCATATAACATACTTATTATGGGTGTAATATACTGAATATGCGGTTTGGTAAAATACACCCACGAGGTGATGGTCTTTTTTTTATATATAAAGTTCCCGATATGGTAAAGATGTGAAAGTAATGATATTCAGAAAGATACCGATTTGAACACAATCATCATATATTAAATAAAAGAAACAAAGGAATATTATCAAAGAAAATTTTGAAAAGAGATGAGGCTAAATTGGTGTAAATCGTGCATGTTAGTGATACATCTTCTTTGATATTTTCTAATCATTCATTAAAAACTTGCGGAATACTTGTTGTGGTTTTTTTTATCATCAGCAAAATTCCTAAATTTAGAAAACAACGGATACGTCATTAAAATAGTAAATAAAAAAATATATATATATTGAACCGGTATTGAAACTTGTAATTTTTTTGGGGATGAAGAAAAACGTGAGTCATTTATTATTTATTTGTTTAAATAGATGGGTAAGAATTCAAAGAATTGTTAAAGAAAAGAAATTTAAAAAAGAAAAAAATATATTACATAAGGAAATTGTGTATAATTAAAGGTTTTAAATGAATAATTAAATTGAATAAATAAGTCAAGGAGATGAAGGAAGAAATTCAAAAATTATTTTGTGTTTGTATTTGTTACAAAAATTATCATTTGAAATTTGATTACGAAATGTAAATGTAAAATAAATAATCTTTATTAATGGCTTAAAAAAGATGTTAGAAATTAAACCAGGATAAATACAAGTATTTAATAGCATTTTTAATAGCATTTATAGCATTTAATAGTGGGATTTAAGGAGACAAGTCTGATGAATAATAAATTTTTAATGAAAACTGATGAACGAAGAATTTCTAAAATTGGTTGAAGTCATATTATATTTTTACGTTATTCACATTTCATTGTATCTTTGTCTCTTACACGGAGAATATTTATATTTTTTGTACGTGTGATTTTTTTTGATGGCGTGATACCTGCGCCAAAAATTGGTTTAAACAATTTTCTTGTTTTTTATTGTTCAACCAAAATTAATTTTCTTCATGACATCTTTCTAAAGACATTTTAATACGCCGAAAATCAACTATGAAACTTTCCCCTCAAAAAAGATTTAATTGTTATTATTATTTTAATATTATTCTTTCATCTTCCATGCAAATAAAGAAAAAAAAAACTTTTCAGCGAATGAAAAATTAGTTGCTGATTATGTCATTAATCCTTCTAAAGCATGAATGGACATAAACTTTTTATATATGCACGGTGTGAGTATGTAATACGATTTCGTAATTTCATGGACCCATTAATAATAACTGTTAAGGTAATTTTCTTTTACTGCAACTTTATTAACTAAATAAAGATTTTTCAAAAAATTAACTTCTAATTCGTCCTTCATCTGAAATATTACTGAAATATTATCATGATTAAAACTAAGTCATCTTATAGTTATAATAGTGAACGCCATTATCTAATAATAATTCAATTCAACGTGGTCTGGAATCAAAGAGCTTCAAAAACAGAATCAAATAATGAAATGGCAAACTGACAGTATTCCTTGCCGAATGATTTAAATTAAAGCTATCATATATCTGTTTTTTTTTTATTAGAATTTTTCCTGTAGATAATTTCCGACATTATCTTCACTCTATGCCATGATAAATGTGTGCATGTGATGCAAAAAAGGAAAGTAAGCAAATTAATGTTTTCATTATCATTTATTACTATTTTTTCTATTTTACTATTATTATTTATTACTGTTTTGATATGCGTGGATGAAATAAATGCATTAACAATCATAAAAAAAAAAAATAACACGAACAAGATTTCCAATAAGATTATTTTGAGATGATCTTTACTCATTCAACAAGGTTTTTGAAATTATAATTATTTTAAATAATTATTTAAATCATTCTAAATATTATTCTAAATAATTTAGATTATTTAAGTAAATTAATTTATTTTTTTTAAGCAGATTTGGATAATATCCGATGAAAAAATAATTCTTTTCGAAATCGTTAAAATTTTCTGAAGCATCTTCTTTCATCATAATAATAATACCTTAAAATCTAATTATAAACTATTATGAACAAGATTGTCTTTTTTTTTCGAGTAAAAATATTCAAAGAATAATTAGAATAATTGTACATCAAAGTAATCAATATAACCATATTATTTAAATTTTAAAAGAAGTAAACAAACAAATGATTCCCGATATCATAATAAAATGGTTTGGAATTCGCCGACTCGCTCAATAAAAAAAAACTGTATTCTTTCATCCTATATTTCGTAATATCTTCTTGTGTTTTTGTTGTTATATAAATATTAAACAAAACCACAACATCAAAGCAAAAAAAAAAAAAAAAAAGAAAAGAAAACAATGAAAGCATTATCTACTACACGACATATAGAATAACATTACCATAACCAGGATAACCGTCTAAATAATATGTCTGACTCACCCCACTATTGTAGAGAATTTCTTTCAAATTTGGAAGCTTTATTAAATAAAGTCAATAATAAGATTTAATACAATTATATATTTCAATTTTTCAATTTTATTTGTTTTCTTCTTTAATGACATTATTATAATTCTTATTTCTATTATTATGGTTCTTAAATTGCCAAAAAAGATATTTATAGTTAAAACCTATCACTAATTTTGATTTTTTTTTTTAAAAAAAAAGCCTTTACTGAATTGTTATTAGCATATTGAATCACGAATTGAGATAAAATAATCTAACCACATTCTTATCAGTTATTCACTTATAAATTATTCTTAATTCTTATCAGTAATTATTACAGTATACGAAACAGGATACGCACGGTATACACATGGCATAAGACAATTAATTATTGTTATCTGCAGTGAAAGTTTTTTCTTGAAAAAAAAAAATTTACATTAAAAATACATTAAAGATACATTATGGATACATTATGGATACATTAAGATAGGAGTTTATCAATATAAATTCTAATCTTATTAACCACTAATAGTATTGATTATGCATATTTTGAACATTAGGGTCGGAGAGTGGCTCGGATTAACAATTTATGGTACACTAAAAAATAAAAATAATTCTCTGATTAGATGGCGAGTTTCTATAGGTTAAATTCTTCAATGTTATCAAATTATCAAAGTGTTATCGAAGTATCAAGTTTATGCATAATAAATTTTTATGTGTACTTTTTTTTTAGAGCAGATATGTAGTGTTAAGTATAAAGAAAGGAGTAAAAAATTATCATATGATAAGAAAATTTTTGAGTATACAAAAACTACAGGTAGTGTTTAATAAGTAAAAATGATTTGGTCGAAGAAGATAAGAAAAATACGCGTATTTTATTATTATTTATCTATTAAATGGCATTGGAACAGATTGAATAACGGTAAATAGAGTTGTTATATTGCAAAATGAATGTAATCTTTTTCTTTCTTCTTCAAATAATAAATTTTTTTTATCTCTTCATTCAAACTTTATATAATTGTCTACGTGTTATAAATATTTATTACGTGTATCATATAATAATCTTATAAGGATTTCTTTCATTATAAATTATAATGCAATTAAATTAATAATAATACTAATACCAATAATAATTGTAGAAATATATTCATTTTTTTCTTACCTAAGTATTTTTTTTTTAAATTGTCCTTTCTATAACAAAAATTTCGTGTATGACGAGAATTATGATTTGCAGGTTTGTGTGTTTACAATGTGAATCAGATAATATTATTTACAATATAAAGTATTCTCGTAATATATCTGAGATTTTAACCCTGGTATAAAAATTATTTGTTTACTGTTGTGTTTTTGAATTTGTTTATTATTGTCATACACATGTATTTAGTATGTGTCACTGTAGTGTTCTATACGGGCATTTATTAGAAAAGTACTCCTTAACTCTAAGATAAAAAGTATTATTTTTTTTTTTGTTTGGAGACTTTAAATTGATTCATTGATACCAAAGCTTTTTTATATTTTCTTTGTATCTTTTGCATACTTAATTCGATTTTTTTTTATTCAATTGTTTATTTCTTTTTATTCAATGCTATCAGGTAGTACTACTATACTAAAGAATGATTTATTCTAAAACAGTAAATCAAAATCAAAATTCTAATCACGAGAAAAGATTATAATCATGAATTAAGAATTGTAAACGTGAGGAATGAAAATAAATTATAGAACTTTGATACTTTTACCGAAGTTGATATTAGAACAATAGATCACGTGAAAATGTTCTCTTTGTCGGTTTTTTTTTTATTATTTCTAAATATGCGAGCTAAAACTAGAATGTTCAAATGTTTATAATAATAATAGAAAACAATATCACATGCTATAATGAAAGAAAACCTGGAAAAAATAATCATTCATGTATTAATCTTAAAGAAGGAAGGCGTAAACGATTATTATCATCATTTGGAATAAAAAAAAGATCGAATAAATTTTAAATAATGATTAAAAATAAAGTCAATAAGCACTATTATAAACATCATACAAACATTTCAATTTAAATTAAATGAATTCTCCTAAGAACAAACATTCTTTCATGATAAGAAAAAAGAAAGATAAAATAAAATAAGTAAAATTCATTCAATTCATTCAATTAATTCACACACTTACAAACACAAACATACATTGCATACATAAAGCACAAAGTACATGCATCCAAAATCTCATTAACCCCTTACACTGTATATTGTATTTACAGTTACACTCTCGCCTAGTCACACATTTATTCTTTCCCTAATGGTTTATTAAATAAAGGTAATGCATTTATACATAAATTCGAGTTTTAAAAAAAAAATTTAAATTTCATTTATTTCATTATTATATAAGCAAAAAAATTATTAAATGACTCACTCTTATTTCATCTTTATTTGTTACGGTATTAGATAATGTCTTGATTTTTTTTTCATTGATTCTTTGTCAACAAGCACATGATATTCTCAAAATTTTCACCTTGTACAAGGTTTGTACGCGGAAAATACTACTAAAGTGACACGTTCAACACATTTTATACATTTTATGCAACTTAATGAGATTACGATATTCATTTTTTTTTACTTTTATTATTATCATACCTTTATAAAAGTAAAAAAAAAAAGAAATATTATCATTATTAAATAAATAAATATTATTTTAAAGGAATCACGAAATAAATGTAAATTACATACGTGAAATTGATAAATGAAATGAAACACAGAAGTAATAATATCTCATTTGTAAATAAAATATTTACGTGAACGCGCACACGTGTGACTTTAGACAATATTATAATCATGGTTATCTTGTATATCTACACTGAGAGTCTCGGTCTGGAACCTCTCTATTTCATCAACTCAAATTACAGAGTTTAAAAACGTGCGTTAATAAAAGGTTAAAAATTAAATTTATTTATATTCTTGTAACATTTATCGATTACAACATGTAGTGTTTATCTTGATTGTTACATTAATCGACTTGAATTTATGAATTTTTTACCTAATTAAAACTTTTTTAAATTAATTTATTAATATTTTTATTGGAAATTTTATATATCTTGGGTTAAGGTATATTAAGAAAAGTATACATACGTTAATATATATATAACTATGAAATTACGAAATTAAAAAGACAAAATTCTCGTTCTTTGATGATTACATAAACATCTAATAATATTAAAGAGCATAAAGTAAGAAATTGCCTTGTCTATTTTTATTTACGTGCTTAAATGCTTAAATTCTTTGTAAATGCACACATGAGTTTAAAAAATACTTTATTATTAATTATTAGCATAATATATGATCATTGAATAAAAAAAAAATAGATAATTTCCTTCTTTTAAATATTTTAATGATTGCTTCCACCAAAAGCATTTTATATAAATAAAAAACATATATATCAAAGAGACAGAGGTTAGGAGGAAAAAGACTTTTTACCTTATGAATGGAAATTGATTAAATAGTTTTTTTTTGTTAATTATATTAAATTAATATATTATTCATATTTCCATAAAGCATTTAAATAAAAGTGTTAAGAAGTTGCTCATCGAACGCGTAATTAAAAGAATCATCGAATCACATGATAAACCAGTTTAATATTTCTAAATATTCAGATATTACACAGAATAAAAAAAGAAAATGAACATTTTTTTTTATCATTGATATGTGAAGAACAACAAAAATTGCATAAATATCACGATAAAATGTCCATTAGATCATATAAATAAGATAAAGAATGCTTAATGATTTTTACATGTGATTTTTCCTGAAAAAAATATGAAGAAACCAAGCAAACCATTTTTTCCCTATTTCAGTAAGTTCACATACATGACACCACCGAAATAGGAAAAACAATGGGGCTTAAATTCTATACTACGATAATATTTTGGCTTGATATTAGTGAAACTACTCCAACACTGTTCGTACTCAATTGACAACATGGCCGAGTGGTCTAAGGCGTCAGCCTCGAAAGCTGATGGGTTTACCCGCGCAGGTTCAAATCCTGCTGTTGTCGATAAAAAAAAGTTATTTCATTTTTTTCGTCTCTTTCAATAATATAATTAATAATAATTCGGGTGGAAGTGTCATGTGTCGATCATCTGAGTCAATTAGTAAATGTCGATCCCTCTTTAGTAAAAAAAATGCGATATTTTTTTTTAACTATGATAATTGACTGCTAATTTTGTGAGAATATAATAATTATCATTCATAGAAGATCCAGTTATATTTTTCAATTTATTTTTAAACGTGTCAATATATTAAACAATTTTGTGAGAAATCTTTGTAATAATGATGATGTAAATAGTATTTATGCATTCTAGGAATAAAAAGTTACCCACAATAGATTAGTATAATGTGAATGCATATTCTATTTTTTTGGTGTCAGGGAAGATTATATCGAAGCAAAAAAACTTTGTATTCTATACAAAATGAATAAAAAAAAAAAAAAAAAACTATTCAAGATCACTATTAGAGAATTCCACCAAATTTATTTCATCTTTGGTAATAAATAAATGAAAAATTTTGTTAAAATCACTAATATTTGAAATGGTAGGTAACAAAAACAAGGACCACCTAAGAGTATTAAAAACAATATGTGATACATTGAATGATATGAATGTTTTAATAAAAGAATTAGGAAATGAGACCATCTATATTTAAACCAAATGTCGATCACATATAATAATATAATTACGTAAAAATATTTATTGTTTCGCTTTCCCTATTTTACATATTACAATCAGAAATTTAAGAGCCAAAAAAAAATGCATACCTTACAAAAAAGTATATCTATTTTCACTTTACTCCATAAAATAATAATAAAGCTTAGTTCAAATCCTTGTATAGCCCTTTAATATAAACCTATGCAGGTACAATCATGAAAACATGCACGGTCATAAAACATGGGTCCCAGGAGACATCCTTGTGCCTATAGAATAAAAAAAAAAAGATAAAAATTTGTCTTTAATTATGAAAATCAGAAATTGGGAAAAGTGGAAATGATAAATGAAAAAAAAAAGTGAGACAAAGAAGAGAGAAAAGGTGAAATTATGGACATAATCTATTATATATTTTTCTTGGCTCGCGGTGATCTATCTGCATTCTTAAATCCAGCGGAAATATCGGAAATATCTTTAACCGGCCGGAGTTATACATGTTATACAAATTATAATAATTAATTATCCAGTTATTTTTTTATAAAAAATTGAGTACAGAAAGAAACCGTTTCGAAATGGCTAATACAGTTCAACCCCTGTGTGTACCTTCTTCTTACAAAGATCAACAGTATCAGGTTTCTTTCTAAAATACTTTAACCCTAAATTTGTCTTCCTATTCCTTTACTTTTTATTAAAAACTTTATAAATTTAGGGATCTTCAACAGATCTCGCCAAAGATCTTTCCAGCAGTACGACTCTTTATGTTGGAAACTTATCTTTTTATACAACAGAAGAACAAATTTATGAATTATTTTCAAAAGTTGGAGAAATAAAAAGAATAATTATGGGTTTAGATAAATTTCAAAAGACTCCTTGTGGCTTTTGCTTTGTTGAGCAAGTATCACATTACTTTTTCTTTTTATATTAAAGAAGGCTCTCAGCAAAATTTGGGGGGTTTTTTTTTTATTTTTGTGTAAACTTATTATTATTATTTTTATTTTTAAAGATATTATCATCACCAAGATGCCTTAGATTGTATGAAATATATAAACAGTACAAAATTAGATGAACGAATCATCAGGACAGATTTAGATCCTGGTTATAGAGATGGAAGACAATATGGAAGAGGAAGGTCTGGCGGTCAGGTAAATTATATCAAAACTTTTATTGTTTCGTTATTATTATTATTATTTATTATTATTTATTAATCATTAAATATTTCGTAATAGGTTCGTGATGAATACCGTCAAGACTATGATGTTGGACGAGGTGGTTGGGGTCACGTTCGTGCTAAACAAGAAGAAGAACGTGCAAGAAGACAAAAAGAAGAATACGAGGCTATTACTACAATTCCTACTGGTGCCGCAGAATACAAAGGCAAAAGTTCGTATACATATTTTTTTATTTATTTTATAATTGTTTTTTTTTATTCTCATTACTATTTTTAACTTCACGTTGTTTTTCTTTTTCCTTTATCATTACTTTTTAAAGCATTAACATCCAAGAAACGTGGTAGACAGGAAGAAGAACAAGAAGAAAATTATGGTCATGAAAAAGCTAAGGTAATTATATTATATAACATTATTAAATATTATTAAATATTTTTTATATTTTCTATATTTAAATAATCTTTTTATATTTTCTTTAATAGAACCCGCGTTTTAGGGAAGATAGATCCGATGATGATGAAATGCAGACCGATCTTTGATCCCCGATGATTTGATCCGATCTTCCGGTAAAAATAATAATAATAATAATTTTTTCTTTCAGATTTACTAACCTATTGTTGATTGTTTCATAGCATTTATGTAATAATTGTATTAATTTACATCCTCACTGTATAGTGATCTATAATTATAATAATAATAATAAAAATAAAAAATTGAATTTATTCTCATCTTTTAGAAACACAAATGTGTTGTACACGTGCGTGGTATGTGTTTATATTTGTAAACCATAATTTTCTTCCAAGTGATCGATGATAGCTGGAATACTTGTTAATGTATTAAAAGTTTTTCTCTCGGCATTACTCATAACTTCTTCGAACATATACATCCTAAAAAAAAAAAATAAAGTTAAAAAAAAAAAAAAATTATCAAATTATTTAATTAAAATTATTTAATTTTTTACTCACAAATGATGATGAAAAATGAAATGATTTGTTCCATAAGCAATAGAAAGTTTAACAAATTTCTCTATACAATTCCAAGATGTATATTCAAGTCCCGTGAAAAGTGTAGGATTCTTTAATAAACCTCTTGCACTCATAACTCCATCACACTTGGTAACCTCGTATAATTTATCTGCATCTTTTAATGAAAACACATCACCATTAGCTATTAATGGAATATTTATTGATTCTTTACATAATTTTATTGCCATAACATTGACGGGTGAAGATGATTTTGCACGACGCGTTCTACCATGGACAGTTATGAAATCTAATCCAGCGACTTCCGCACGTTTTACAAATTCGTGAGTTTTTCTATATGAAAAAATGCACGAATTATAAATATTTTCTTTTATGAGAGAGTAGGAATAAATTTTTCTTCTTTAATACTTACTTTAAATCATTATGAATTCTAATCTTTATAGAAATCGGTATATTCAATCCACTACCTTTAATCGTTCTAATCATATCTCTGACAATTTCTGGTTCTTCCATTAAATGAGCTCCAATACCTTCGTTTATTGCCCATTTCTGTGGACATCCACAATTTATATCTTGAAATTAAAAATGTAATATTTTGGTCACCATCGGACATCACTACACAAAAAATTACAAAAATCATAAATTCATAACATGAACGTACCAACCCCATCCACATATCCAACAACCAATTCCAAGGCTTTCAATAATTCCACGTTATCATTACTTGCAAATTGTATAATTACTGGTGTATCATTCTTGTTTGTGGTGAATTCAAAATCTCGGGCTACCTGAGAATTTTTAAATTCTTTGGCCAAGATCATTGGTGTGTATGTTAAATCTACTTTATAACTAAATTGTAGTTTGGTTTATAATTAAGTTTTGATTCATTTTTTTAAAAAAAATAAATATATTTAATAATTTTTTTTTTCGGAAAAAAAGGAAAAAGAATTAAATCATTTAAAATAACTACCGTAAAATTTAATATTCTCTATGGGATTTATTATTACGCAAAATATTTTTTTTCTCGCTCTTTTCGCAAAAAAAAAAAGAGAACTTACTTCATAATTAACTCTCTGAATGGCAATTTACTATATCTCACCATGGGTGCACATACATTTATGTATGGCTTCGTTGTTTTGTTTAATAAGTCTAAAGGTGAGATTCTCGAAGACATTTTTTTATTATTACGATTCGCTGCGCTGTTAATATTGTTAATATTGTAATTATTGAAATTCAAGATCAACCTTTGTCATAAATTACATAATTTTAATTGGACTACAAATGGATGAAAGCACACCATTTTGTAGTAAATACTAAGAGGTCTCGCTTCCTCAAGATCTTTGAAGGTAATGAGTTTTTAATTAATTTAATTAAAATTGCAAAAAAGGAATACATGAAAATTAAATATATCCTATAAAAAAATACATAATCGGGAAATATTCTAGTTAAAGATACTTCAAATCACCCAATTCATATATTAAATGATTTTTTTAATTATCAATATTAAAAATATTACAATAGAATGTCTGAAAAAAAATGGTAATATACAAAAAACTAAAACATTAAATTATAAAAAATAGTTTTTAAATATAATTAAAAATAAATAAAAAAAAAAAATAAAAACAAATAGGATCAAATTGTTTTTTAAATATAATTTAATTCAAAAATTAAAATCACTTTAGACGATAGACGAATTATGACGAGGATTCACTTTCATTATGGAAGGCAAGTAGACCGAAAAATACACCAGCCAACAAAAATATAAAACTTATAATGAACCATATCACACCCCAAAATTGTGCGGGACAACAACGAGTTAATTTTGCAAATTTGCTCGCGTCAGATTCGTTGACCTTTTTAAATACTAAATAAATTATAAAAAAATTTTTTGTTCAAATTAAATTTATATAATTAAAATAATTTAAATAACATATTAATAAAATTAATAAAATTCAAATATTACCTAAATCTTCCAATATATCCCAAACCGAGTAAAGGCATGACATCACACTAATAAATAAAATAAATAAATAAATAAATAAATACGTTAAACTTTTTTTTAAATAAATAAAAAATAAAATAAAATAAAATAAAATAAAGAAATAACTTACCCAACAAATAATACAAAATATTTTAATCCTGCTCCACCTTTAATAAACCATAATCCCACAATAATTCCAACAAATATAACTGTAAGAATTCTAGTTAACCAATTCTTGGCCCAATACAAAAGGGCCAACAACATTAAACCAAGAACGATTGATGCATATTTCGAAGCATTCACTTGAAATCCACAGAAAATGAGTAAAGCCCCTATCATTGAAGATCCGAGGTAACCTAGATTTTTGATTTTTAAAGTTAGAATTATTTAGATTTATTGTTAAATCTTGGAGTTATAAAGAGAATAATTCTAATTACCAGCTGGTAAAGTGCAACATTGAATTCCACCTCTCTAAAAGATAATAAAAAAAAAAAATTCTATGAATCAAATCGCAGAAATTTAAACAAATATTTTAAATTATGTAATTTTAATATATATTTACCATTCTTGTAACTCCTCCTTCATCTGGGTCAACTTCTATTCCTTCAATTTTAGCCCCAGTACATTTACCTGCTGCTGCATGTGATAACTCATGAAATGAAACTGTCAATAACTATTGAAAGAGAGAATATGAAGAATATGATTAAAAATAATAATAATAATAATAATTAATCAAGATATATTAAATAAAAAAAAAACAAAAACAAAGTGATACCTTAAATGGATATAAAATATGTTTTAAAAAAGGCATCCTCCAAAGAATTAAAATTACAAATATATAAACACCGATAATTATTAAAGTTATCTTTTCATCTTTCGTTGGAGTTAAATAGTTAACTACGTTATCTTTTGTATCCCTTTTAAATAATGATACGTCCTCAGGTATAATAGGCATTTTGGTTTTTTTTTGAAAATGTTAGATGATGATTTAATGTTATTAAATTAGATGATAAAGATTTTTTTTTTGATTCAATTCTTTTTTTTTTTCGCTTAAAATTTTAAAATATAGGTTTTTATCATATAAAATGTTTTATTGAATTTGGCAAAACTATTGTGAATAACAAGTATGGAATAATGTTTATATATATATAGGATTTTTGTGGATCCTCTTGTGGTACAATGATGACACGCCAAGGAGCCAAGAATAAAAGGTCATAGTAAGGATAAAAATTATTCAAATTATTATTAGAATGAGAATCGGAGTTCTTTAAAGATTCCGTGTAGAGGCATGAAGATGAAGTCACGAAAGCGAAAAAGTAATGACGTAACATATATATAGATCGTAGGGGATACACAACTAAATAAATGATATAATATCAAAATATTTTATATTATTGTTTTGATCGAATTAATAAAAATTTTACAATAGAGAATATTAACTAAATATAAACTTTTTACTATTCTGGTTTAAGTTCTTGATCAAACAAGATAAGCTTTTATGGCTTGGCTATATGAAATTACCCTAAATTTAATGATCCCGCCACGAATGGAAATCAAAGTTTTCAAGTGGCAATGTTGATGGGCTTTTTGCGTTATATATGAAATTCAAATTTTTTTTTTAAAAAAAAAAAAAAAAAAATTCTTTCTCTAAACGATAACAAAAAAAATTAAATAAATCTAATTTTAATAACCAAATGTCATCCGATAATTTATCAATCCCCATTACAAAATTACAATGGGGTCTACGAGGATCTCAAATTTTTTTCGCATTTCTTTCGATGGCATGTATTGCTGCTGTCATAGCCTTTGATAATAAATTTATGTCTGGTTCTTTATTTTCAGTTGCCCACATTTTTATCATGATTGTTTCAATGTTTTTTGCGGCTTTAATTGTTGGTATCCCACATATTTATTTAGAATATGGCAAATGCAAATCTACTGCCAGAGCATTAAGGGTTCCTAGGACTGAATTTGTTTTAACAGCAATTTGGGGTGTCCTAATATTCATAGTTTCTGTAGCATTGACTATCGAAGTTTCCTTAAGAAATTGTGATCCTTATTCGGCAGATTTTCAAAAATATAACACAGGAGATAATAATGATACTTTCATTGGAGGTTTAGCTCGTAATTGTAGAACTGAACGTGCTGGAGTTGCATTTGGATGGTTTTGCCTTATTGCATGGTTGACTTCTCTTGTTCTTATTGGTATAGGTTTGTATAAGAATCGACGTCAACCAATACCACATAAAGATGAAGTTACAATGCACTCTAATTCAACAACTTCGTCATTGGAAGTTCCCACCACCGCAACTATTCCTCCGAATGTGACTCAACATGAACAACAACAACAACATCAACATCAACATCAATCAACACCACCACCTGAATATTATCAGCAGGCATACGTACAACCTGGATATGGACAACCTGGATATGGACAACCTGCACCACCTCAACAACAACAACAACAACCACCACCACCAGGTCCTGGCATTAGTTTTCCTGAACCAAAACATTTTACTTAATAACAAATAATATATTTTGGGATTTTAATTTATATTTTTTATATATGTAAAATTCAATTTCTATATCACGATGTAAATTTATTTAACATTAAACACATTTTTATTTAAATTATTGTAATTATCAAAATAAAAGTAATATATATATATATTAAATAGTATTAAATAATATTAGATAACATTAATAATATTATATATAATAAAATTATTTATCATCGAATATTATTAATAATTTTTTAAACGAAACGCAAATATTTATTTATTATTTTTTTTCTCTATAAATATAATATAATTTCTATTGCAAAGACATCAAAATTTTTGAAATAATTTACTCATCTAAAATTGGTAAAAATGTAGCAAAGGTCAAATAGCTAGTGTGACCTCTGGCTTCCGTGGGTGTTTTGGATACATACAAATTTGGTGGTTCTTGCTTATGTTGAGATTTGGTTGTATGATCTTTTTCTCCATCCTGCTCTCTACGTTTACGTTTCTTTTCTTGTTGAGCTTTTATTTTAGATACAGCATCTTTTACAGTATAAATAGGAATCGTGTGAACTTCTTGATTACGGATTAAACATTCAAACATTTTAATTTCTAAAATGCATTCAAAGTTAAATAAATAAAATTAGAATAATTTTATATCGAGCATAACTAAATTTTAATACAAAGCTAATTAATAATACATACCGACAAATCCATTTTCATTTAAAGAAGCACATGTCCGTTGTACTTGTTCTATGCAAGGACTGAAACAACAAATTCTCCCTATGCGTCGTTGCTAAAACAGTATTTATTATTATTATTATTATTATTATTATTATTATTATTATTATTATTATTTATATTATTATTATTATTATTATTATATTAAATTTAAGAATAATACCTTAAAAGCTCTTTTGGCTGAAGCAATAGCATCCCAAGGTGCAGGCAAATCCAAAAAGACTAAAATATGTCATTGTTATTATTAACTTAAATCAAAAATGTTAGAGACGCAATTATATATATAAATATATAATCTTACCAGCATGTACTGTATCAGTTATTTCAAATCCACTCTTATAAACATCTCTACACTCTATGGTGATTAAATCAGAAAGACCATGTCTTTCAAAATCTTGCCTAAAAAAAAACCGAATAAAAATAAATGTTTTAACAATTATGAATTTCCTTGTTAAATCGTTGAATATAGGATATAAAAGAATTAAGTACTTGGCAGCTTTTGCTCTTTCCTCGTGATATTCGAAAGTATACAAATGACCATTTGGTGCAATTGTTCTAGTCAAAGAATGTGAAAATGAGCCACTACCAGTTCCTAAGAAACATATTCAAATAAAAATATTTTGATTAGAAAAGAATTTAATTCTTTTTATCCGATTTGATTTGATTTTTTTATTATAATTATTTACCTGATTCCAAGACAATTGATCCAGGTTTTAGATCAAGATATGTTGTAATAAAAGAAATATCGGCGATATATAAAATTTGTGTTCGATGAGGTACAACGTGTGTCCATAATTCTGGCGTTGGATGTAAAAGATACATAAATCCTCGTCCATTATGTGATGAAATCTTTAACCAAAACCAAACTTAATTCCATTAGTAGTTTAAAATAGTGAAAATTTATATCAATATGAATTTATTTATTGCACTCAGAAAGGCTACAAACAAAAGAATTGAATAAGTATATACCTTGGAGCCGTATTCTTTCCCAATCATGTCCGAATGCTTGAAGGTACCAAATTTATTATTATATGTCATCGTCGGATTCACAACTAAAGGCATCATGTTCTCGCGAGTCTGAAATTAAATTTGTGAATAAACGAAAATAAATAAAAATAAATAAAAATAATGCAACAGAGAATTTGAAATGACCATACTATATACGCGATAACTAGATCGCCTTCTTCAATGTAAGTCTTATATTGTAAAAAGCTCATGATTTTATAAAATCTAGAGTTGATAGTAGTAGATTGACAACTTTATATACTTGAATCGTTACACATGATTCGATTGATTTATACCAAACAACATTTTTTAAAGTTCACGATTTAATAGATTTTAATAATGCATAAACAATGATCCAAATTGAGAGATTTTTTTATAAAATTTAAATAAATAAATTATTTGACAATATGGATAAATTTAATTTTAAAAATCTAAAATCATTTTTAAATATTTTTTAATTGTCTCTTTTTTTTCAAAAATTTAATTAAGAGACAGTCTTTATGTTACAAGCATTTTAAATAACAAATTACAAAGGGTTCCAAATTCTCCCTCATCACAACTTGTCCATATATTTGTCGAGACTAGGGATTTCTTCTGAAAGACCCTTTCTTTTCCTTATTCCCTTAACGAGATCGTACACTTTACCAGGTTCTAATGGTGTTCCGTTCATTAATTGCCCTAAATAAAAAAAATTTTTTCAGATTATTTAATATTTTTTTTTTAAAAGCGATAAATCAAAGAAATTAAAAAATATATATAATATAAAACAATTAATAATCAAATTTTACTTACAGCTGTTAATTTTAGAAGTAATATTGGAAATTTAAGTTAAAAAATAAAAATAAAATAATTAGTAAAATTTGATTCAGCAAAAGATTCACAAAACATATAAAGAAATGGAACGATATATACTGATCAAAGACCGCCTGTGGGAAAGCTTGTCCGCCAGTATTAGACCTCAAGTCTGCGGTGAAACCAAAAGATTCATTTACCTAAAGATTATATTAAAAAAAATAATAAAAAATAATAATAAATAATTGTGTTTAAAAATCTTCAAAAGTAAATCCAAAATGTATACATAACCAAAACTTTGAATGAATGCTTACAGGTAAATAGGCTTTGATGTTATACAATGGAGTACCGGGACGTTGTTCTTCCGTAAAGACATGACCACGACGTCTATTCAGTACACCATAAATACCACCCATTGCGGATTCAGGACATTGAATTTCGACAAGATAAACAGGTTCTTGGATACCAGGGGTGGCTAATAAACTTGCGGCATAGATAACACGACGACAAGTAGGAATAATTTGACCACCACCACGATGAATTGCATCAGCATGTAATACCACATCAACGACATTAAATCGACAGGACCGCATATTTTCTTCGGCGCAAACTCCTTCCTTTGTGGCCCATTGGAAAGCAGCAACACATGAATCCTTGATTTCATTAAGATATTGTACCCCCTTTGTTATGTCTACTAATAAATTTGGTCCTGTGGTATCAGGACCAAAACACCAAATCTTACGAGCATCGGTTACATCCCACCCATAAGTTTCAGCTAAGGTACGAGCACGAATTTTAAAATCATCACGTGGGGTAACTTTCCCGTTTTCGATATCGAGAGAAAGTTCTTCTTGAATTGGCAAGGCCTTCATATATATACGGTTGTGTTTATTTGGAGATTTAGACAAGGCAGATACTTGCGATTCGGCCTGAACTGTTTCTCTATATGAGACCACTGGGTCACCTGTCTTTATCGGGACCTGGGCATGATCTTCTTCTAGATCTTTTAAACAAATTTCCAAGTGAAGTTCACCAGCTCCTGCCACAATATGTTCACCGGATTCGGAGGTAGAACATTGAACACATGGATCTGACTTAGAAAGACGTTTCAAACCTTCAACTAATTTTGGCAAGTCATTAGCATTTTTTACTTCCACAGCAACTTGCACTACCGGAGATACAGAGAATTTCATAACTTTCAAATTATGTGCAGTTTCTGATGTGGTAATAGTACCAGATTTAAGTAAATATTGATCAACTCCAACAAGACCAACAATGTTCCCAGCTGGACAATCCTCAATTGGTTCCACATAACGACCCATCATGAGAATAGTCCGTTGAATAGGTTTTACAAACAAATCATCCTTTTTGCCTGGTACATAATTAGGACCTTGAATACGAACTTTAAGACCAGATCGTACTGTGCCAGAAAACACTCGGCCAAAAGCATAGAAACGACCTTTATCAGATGTCGGTACCATTTTAGACACATACAACATAAGTGGTGCATTGGGATCACAATCTCGAATTCCAATAGCACATTCATCATCGGAAGGACCTTCATATAGCGATTCAGATCGATATTTTTGAGCAGTTACTGGAGATGGAAGGTGAATAACAATCATTTCAAGTAAAGCATCTGAAGCAGGTAAAAATTTTCTCATTACAACTTTGAGGAGGGCTTTTCCTTCAAGATCCCTTTCATCACTCTTTAGTTGTATGTCCAATTTTTCAATCATCTTGGAAGCTTCGTCTTTCTTAAAGTTCATGATAGCGTCAAACAATTTAAATATAGGATCCAGGACGAACATACAGAAAGCTCGTTCAAGATTCTTTCCTTCGGGTGTATTTGATTTCGTAGTCCATTTCTTGGTAGCAGGATTAAAATAGTTTTCACCCCATAGTTTTTGCATCATCTTTTCTTGGTCAACACCAAATTTTTTAGAATAACGACTAGCAAATTGACGTAGAGTGAAACCCCAACCATGAAGACCTGAACCAAAAGCGACTGTTCCCTTTTCTGGATAAACTTGCACATCACCGAGCGTTTTATCAAAGTAAGTTGAGATAATGACATTCACCGATTCGATTGTACGTTGGAATGACTAATGTTTAGTAAAAAGATATTAGCAAAAGATTGATTAAACTATTTAATGCAATGTCATATTCTTACAGTATATAAATCTTCCTTTGTAAGCTGTAATTCTAATAATGCACGATCAACTTTGTTAATAATCACTACAGGCTTGATACGTTCGGTGAGAGCCTGACGTAAGACAGTTTCTGTCTGTACACATACACCCTCAACACAGTCAACGACGACTAAAGCACCATCAGTAACACGTAAGGCAGCAGTAACTTCTGAAGAGAAGTCAACATGTCCGGGAGAATCAATTAAATTAATTAAAAATTCATTTCCTAAAAAAAGGTATTTAAAAAAATTTTTAATAATTAATTAATGATTAATAATTAAATAATAAATGATTAAGAAAAATTAAGAAATTAAGAAAATTTAAAAAATCAAGAAAAAATTAAGAAAAGCAAATTATATTACCTTCAGTTTTTTGTTTTACATCACCCAAGTCATCTTTTTTCAATTCAAAATACATTGAAATAGCAGTAGACTTTATTGTGATACATCGATCTTGTTCATCCTGTCGAGTGTCAGTAAACCGTGCTTCTCCAGCTTTTGCTGAAGAGATAATACCAGCCTTAGAAACCAATGAATCGGTTAATGTAGACTTTCCATGATCAACATGTGCAATGACTGACATATTGCGCACGTTGGACACTTTGTCCATCTAATTAAAAAATATTTTCTATTATTTTAATGCTTAACAAATAATATTTAACAATATTTATAATAATATTTATTTTTCCCAATTTATAAATGTATTAACTTACAAGAGAGCGGATTTGATCAATTGTAAAGTTCACCTATGCACATTTTTTCATAACAAAAAAAAATTTGAGTCAAAAGACTGACATTTTTAAATATTTCTTCAAACTAAAAAAAAAAAATATTATTATATACCATGTTTTTTTTTGTAAACGGATGGATAATATAATACAAATGGAAACTCGAGTGAAGGCTTCTTTTGCTAAGTCAATTCGAAGCCTTTTATAAATCACATCATAAACCAATAGTTGCGTTCGAAAAAAATTTTTCGGCTGAAGCCGATGATTACCACGTGTAATCTATAAGCATACTGCGCCGCAAAGTATCATTTTTGATAAACTTGTTAAAAACTCAACCTTAGATGTATCAAAATGATACCTTTGCTACTGCGCTCTAAAATATAATTCTTTTGACACACCTATCTCAGGCTAGAAAGTTTTTTCTATTTTTATTCATTTAAAGTTAGTGATTAATCTAAAAAATCAGACTTGAGTGATTCTTTTTAGTTCGATATGCTATCATTTTGCCAATACATATGACATAAAACTTTATAACGCTAGATCCCAAATGTAAAAAAAAAAAGACATCATAATAATTTTCTCGTAAAACTATTAAACGATGCATATTGAGGAATCGAATTTTGGAATCCAGTTTTACTGCTTTTGCAATTTCTTTTAAACACATCAGTCAGTGAATCAAATTTTATGATTTAATTTGAATTTCAAATAAACAAACTTAATAAATATATTAATTTTTTAAACAATTTTTTAATATAAATATATGATACTTTATTTACAAATAAGTATAGATAATAAAAGAAAATTTCTATATAATTTTTGACCGATAATAAATTAGATAAAAATATTGACACGCACACACACACACACACACTAACCATTCTTACGTACAGAGGAAACGTCACATATATTTCCAAACAGGGTTACCCACCGTGATGGATCATCAGATAGTACTCCGAGAAGAACTAAAAGAAGTGTTATTATAACACCACTAAAACAAAACCAGGTGTGGATCACTGAATGTCCTCGAACAGTTTTTTCTCCCACGATATGGGATATATATGCGATGGTGTTGTTGAATGACCATATCGAACAAAATATTGTTAGGAATATGGATCTACAAGCAAATGAAACGGGCGGTGTTAAATACCCTATTACTACTGCTATCCAAGGAACTGTTATCGATGCAAAAGCAGTGATCAAAATGTGAGCACGCGAGTCAGATCTCATTCCATCAAAGGGTTCACTTACAATGATTATTTCATTTTCTAATTTTATACTCGGATCAAAAACTACTATTTTGCCTTTGATTGTCCGAATATATATAGCTGGCAATGTCCAGGATAATAATATTGGTATATATGTCCAATCCGTACAATGATTACATTGATTTGTTTCTCTTGCTTCCGCCAATCTAGATAGGGCGGTAATCGTACCAATCAATATATAATATGCTGTTGTCAATGACCCTAATCGTTCTAGAACAGATGACTTTGCTACGCATTCATCTATCTTTTTATACTGTTCGCTTTCAGGACTTAATTTCATAGCATATTGTCCGAATGGCCGATAGAGAATCTTTTTACCATCTTCTTTTTCAAAATTTTTTGAAGGAAGCCAGTACGCGCACATCGCCAAATGATTATCGTTTTTTACATTGCAAAAATACATCAACCCGGTAAATGGGCACCCTAAGGTGCGAAATATCCATAACAGCTTTCCTCTAAAGCTATTAAATGGTGCTGCTCCTACGGTTGCAATTGCTGGAAAGGTCCCAGATATATACGGGGGAATTGGTTCTTGTAATTTTTTCAATACATCCATTTTATGTTCAATTTTATGTCAATTTTGATAATGTAGAAAATATACAGAAAAAAAAAAACGGCAATTGAGATGATAGATATATAAATAAAATACACAGAAAACCCACGGAGAACTGATTCTTTTTTCCATATCTCTATTGTATTATGAATATATAAACAGAAACTGTTGAGTAAACAAATGGCTATTTTTAGTAAAAATTTTTAGGCGTAAATTTTCGTAAATATTTCGGAAATTTTACACTTAAAAAAATCTGTTTTTGAATTCGCTCGCGATTTACGTGACAGGGAGCGATTTTTACTAAGGTGTTTCTAAGATGGATCGAAAGTCCTGGTTCCTGGCTACATGTTGATACGTGTTTCATTCCTATAGCATAGATATTCATTGAGATATTCACGTTTAAAGTCGGACGTCCTTGAAAAATTTCGTAAAAAATTTTACGGAAATTTTCGAAAATTTTCCGTAATATTTTTAATTTATTTGCAAAATTTTTCACGGGCGTTCGAATTTAAACGTGAATATCTCGATGACTATCGAAGCTACAGGAATGAAACATATATTGACATGTAGCCAAGAACCAGGGCTTTCGATCCATCTTAGAAATATCTTAGTAGAAAATCGCTTCCTGTTACTTAAATCGCGAGCGAAGTCAAAAACGGATTTGTTTTGTAAATGGTGTACTATTACTGTTGAAAAAAAAAAAGTTTTATATCTTTATTGTATAGTGAATATATAAACAGAAACTGTTGAATAAACAAATGCGAGAGTTGCATAGATTTATTTTTAAATATTTAATAAATCTAGATTTTATTTTAAGTGTAACGGTATTAAAATTTTTTACTGTGCCATAAATCTAGGTTCTGCATACAATACTCACGGAGAGGTGTAACGTTATATAATTGATAAAGGATTTTTTTTCAACGACACCGCGGATATTATATTATATCACAATGTGAAATTTTAGTATCTTTTAAGTAAGTTATTTGAGCATTTTTTTGCGAATTTCTCAAAAAATAAAATGATACTTTTTATATGCTGAAAAAATCAATTCTTTAAAATTTTTTAAAATTACATATTTTTATAATACAACAGATTCAAACTATATTATAGTTTTATTAAATAACTAACCTCGATTTTCTATATGTGATTAGCGCCGTCTTAGATGAACCAGTAATTAAAAGATCCAAAAGATCTACGTATAAATTTTTTTGTTTCAAAACGACAACTGCCAAAACGATCTAAATTACATTACGGAATATTTTTATGAAATTTATTCATACGATTTAATTTAACATTGCCGAAATAGAAATAAATAATACCAGTAAAAACGATATTGTAGTTACAATCTAAATTAAGATACATTATTATGTATGTAATTTTGTGGTATGATCTAATTACGATATTATTTTTTATTTCTTTTTTTATATAATAAGTTTCTATATCATAAATATAGTTCTAACCATTACAAATTATGCAGATTAAGTTTCTTAAAGTATCAATCAGCGGGAATGATCATTAAAAGTTTTTGTTGTAACCATGATTTTTTTTCGTTTGGAGTTTTAGAATATTAACAAGGAAGATAATAGAAGGGTAGGAGAAGATAATAGACAGTAATGAAAGAATATTACTTCTTACTCGGGATCCTTTTTTTCGTTTTACAATATTTATTAGGTCTCTAGCTTTCAAAATGTCCACAACTTTGAAGATAACATAATATAATAAGCTAAAACTATTAAATGTAAAAGTAATATATTTTTAAGCAAAAAATAAAGAACTTTTTTTTTCTATTAAAATAATAAACTTTTATTCGTTTACTGTTCGATCAGATGAAATTTTATTTGAAATTTTCTTTTTTCTATTTTCCGCTTTTCTATCAATAAAATTTTAAATGCTTACATTATAATCATCATTTCTTGGTTTCCAGTTCGCGTTAGGAAATCTACAAATAGAGAGACGACGCACAGGACATGGTCCTATACGCCGCCATTAGAAATAAACAACAGACAAATAGAATAAATATAATAAATAGAAAAACACCCACTATCCTAGTATTTTCCACCATCTTCTATCTAAATCTTCTAAAGTTTCTTTCTTCCAAACCTACCTCAAATACTATTGTCTAATATATGTGAAAGAGAAAAAAACAAATAAAGGTTAATATTTTTATTCTTTATTATTCTTTAATATTGTTTAATAGAAAAGCGGAGCGGAGAAAAATGAAAATTGACAAAAATGAAGTGGGAAGAACTGATCAGTGTATAGTCATCAAAATTTAGGGATCATTGAAACTTTACTTTGTTTTTCAAAAAAGGAAATTTCTAAGATAATCATCTTTTTATTTACAAAAGTTTGTCTTAATTAAGAAATTTTTAAAAGTTATACATGTATAACTAAGAAACTTTTAAGAAAAGCATATTTTTTTTTCCCATGAAAAAACTATTTAAACCTCCGCTTTTTGCTTTTTCTTTTTTTTTTCTTAATTTCATTTTTCACTTTTTCACCTTTTTCTCATTTTTCTGTTTTTTCATTTTCCTAATTTCCTTGATCTTTGAATTTTTATAAATATTAACCTTTATTTTTTTTTTCTTTTTCACATATATTAGGATAACGATATTTGAGGTAGGTTTGAAAGAAAGAAACTTTAGAAGAGAAAGAAGATAGTGGAAAATACTAGGATAGTGGGTGTTTTTTTATTTATTTTATTTATTCTATTTGTTTGTTGTTTATTACTATTGCTAATGGCGGCATATAGACCATGTTCCATGCGTCGTCTCTCTATTTGTAGATTTCCTAACGCGAACTGGAAACCAAAAAACGATGATTATAATGTAAGCATTTTTAATATCATAGGAAAGACGGAAAAAATTACTTTATTTAATGTATATCGTAGCATATTATTTTATTTCCCTTTAATTTATTTTTTACAATATAAGAAAAAATACATAAAATAAATATCATTTTAAGATGTAAATTAAAATTATAAGTTTATTTTCTAAATTAGAGATTTGTTAATGTTAATATTCCTCTTCATAGCTTGTTTTTTCAATATCTTATATCGACGCAAACACTAACATGATAAATAATAATGAATTAATCTTAATATATTTGAAATAAATAAATAATGTATATGGGTCGTCAATTAATTTACCTGATTGTCTGTTCGTTCGTCCATAAAAGTTGAAATCTTTGACCACTTCTCTAATCCTATGTTTCGTACTAAACTCAATAAAATTTCGTCTTCCTATAATAATAATGATAAATATCTCAACTAACAAATTACCAAAAAATGTAATAAACAAATAAACAAAAAAATATTAACTTCATTGGTCCATGGATCCTTAATTATTTCAGGACTAAGTACATTCATTCATCTCTCACGACATTGAACATCAAATTACTTGGTCCATAAATTGAGGCTGCGTTGAGCTCCTGTTTTATTTATGTTATTTTTAGTATTATTTTATTGAAGGATGGTAGGAGTTACTTAAATTAATATTGTATTTATTGCTTCGCCGTTCTTTATTGTTATTTTTTTGATTAATTTATACCTATCCTTTTTTTGTTAATCTTTAAAACTTTCTGATATACAATTGTATTCGTATCATGTAGTTAATCTCGTATTTCGGTTTAAAATTTTTTAAAATAATTCATGCTTAGAAAGTTCTCCATTTCAATTAAGTCATCAGCAAGTTCCAAATAACATCTTTTTCGCGATGCAATTCGCAACTATTTCCGGCTTTTGTATGATCTTCGATATAGGTTTTATAGTTAATCGCTTTGAATGTACTAAATAAAGATTACTTCGACTATAAAAATATAGAATTTGTTCACAAATAAATAACATTCAGTTGAAATTTTTTTTTTTTTTGTATAATTTACCGAGGCTTTCAAATTGTTTGTTTACTTCTACACTCTTATCAACTTTCTACAGTCCTGTTAATTGCCACAACCATCTTAACTTATCTGAGCTTCCACATCGTTAAATTATATCGATAATCGCACAGGGCATTATCTTTGTATTACACTTAATTTCAAACTTTTTGCTTGCAATTGAAAATATATCTGTATAATTTTATTTAAAATTTCGAAAGCAAAATATATAATTAAAATTCTTTAACATAATAACTATGAGAAAATAACAATAATGATAATTAGAATATTAAATAATCTGCCCATAAACTTCAAAACGAATTATTATATAAAAATTACCTTGGTACCTGTAGAAACCTTCATAAGTGCTCAAGTGTTGTCACCAAGTGCCAAAAGTTACGCAAACCAAGATATCGATCCCGGAATTATTTTATATGAAACAATTACAAAATGCAAGAAACTCCCAAATAATGTGTATGCTTTAGGTAGGCAGAAAGGGATAGTTTTTATTATTTTTTTATTATTTTTTTATTTGCTTCGAGCACTCGATATTATGTAAAATTGCTTTATAAAATATTTTTTTATAGATCAATTTTTATTATAGAAATTCTTTGGTACGTTCAGTAGTAGGCGCAGCAGTAGATACGTGTCAAAAAAAAAAATAAATAGAATTTTATTGTAAATTAAATAATAAAAGGAATTAATAATGAAATTATATATCCACTAAAGATAAAATAAAGAAAATTTTGCAAGAAAAATAATATTAGTGCGCGTTCAAACCAAAAAAAAAGTGGTGACTTAATTGTTGCTCGCACAAATATATTTCATTACGTAAAGTAAATCTTTTATTATTTATTTAATTACACCATCCCTTCTTTTTTGTCTTGATGCCTGTGAAAAATAAAATGATAATAATAATTAACCTATGAACTTGAAAGTAATAACATATTAAATACATTCCATCGAACTTCATTTTTTCCAGCATAATTCTTATTTGCTGCTTCTCCTCTCTACTGAAATAAAATTATTTTTCAAGGAAAGATGTTCAATTTTTCTATCCCTGCATCACTCTTATATCATCACATTCTACATCTTTGTAAGTGATAGATTTAAATGTCCATTTGGATACTGATCTAATCTAAAAAGCAATAATAAAAAGGAATTTGAAAGAGTTATTTTATAATGCTAAAAAAAAATAATAAGGTTAATAATAATTTCCTTTTTAATAAAAATTATTTTATATGTATTTTAATAGAGTTATCTTTCTGCAAAATTGAAAAAAGGATCGTAGTTTTGAGAGTATAATATTCAAAGCCAATGACTCAATAAATATAAAGTAAAAAAAAATTATAAAACTTTGGAAAACTTTATAATTTTAAAGTTAAAGAAGGCCTATTTAAAGTTTGAACTGTATTTAATATATAATTTTGAAGACGAAAATTGCTTCGTCTGGTTACACAAGGATTTTAAAGACATGCGCCATGACTGTTATTATTATTGCAATGAGTGGGTTCTAGAAAAAAAGTACCAACTAGTTAATCTAATTACTGGAAGATCACTTTACATGGGAACACCAAAAAGCTTTCCCTCATGCTCTATTTCTTTTTTTTCAAAATTTTATAAACATATAACCGAGAATGCGAAACTAAACGTTTGCTTGTGATTATAAAATTGGTCTGTCCAACATTCACAAAATCTTGTAATCTTTCTATTAAAAAAATTTTTTTTTTTCAAATAATTCATGTAATCAAATATGATGCACATTCTCATCTATTAATATATTTATTAATATATGTAAATATTCCCACTGAGAATGCGAATAAATAGCTCCCAAATTATGTAAAATTTTTTTTAATATACACATCAGTATATGAAAAGTCGTTAAATTAAAAAAACCATCATAAATAGAATAGAATAGAATAACTAATATAATAACAAAATATTCTCGAAACCGGATTATTTATTTATTTTTTTTTTTTGTTAATAATATGAATTAAGTTTCACCGATTTCTCTTTGTTCTTCTTCTTGTCTCAGCCTTTGTTTAAGAACAAGGTCTTTGCCAGTAACTCTTCGGTAGATATCTTTAACATCATCACATACTGTTCCAAAATGAGAAGATGCATCATATGAACAAGAGATGAAAACTTGATCTTTACAACCGTCCTCAATTGGTTTCTCTAAGTCGCAAATACAGATAAATCTGTATTAAAAATAAAATAAAAAAAATTAATAAAAATTAAACATTTTAAATAATTGTCAAAATGAACATATACATATATATATATAATTATATAATCTATAATATAATAATAATATATACTTTTCAACAATTGTTCCAAGTAAATCAAGGCCAGGTTTAATTTCAGCCTCAGGATTGTCTGTTTCGACAATAGTGGAAACGATTGCGAGATAGTAATCTTTTGCACAGACATTATGAGAAGAAGATACGCTAGCAATATAAATGTCTAGTGATTTGAGGGAATAAGAAAGACTGTAAGTTTGATAATTTATAAATGACATTCAATTTTCAGTCCATATAATAAATATATTATTTACCGTGTTTCCGATTAACTTGATTTTGTGGAATCACCAATTGAATAGAGTCAACATCATCAGTGTTTGGTATGGGATGTTTTAACAAACAAATAGCACGAACTACTTTGCCAACTTTCTGAACTTTTCCAGGAAAATAGGATGGATCACCAATAACTTGTTTTGTTTTGGCAATCTACAATTTTAATAAAATAAGATTAAAATAAGAAATAAGATTAAGAAAGAATGAAATGATGATAATATAATAATATATTAATTATTATTATGGTTACATTACCTTGTCACCCGAGCGTACACCACAAACCTGACCGTTCGAGTCATAAACAATTTCGTCAACTGACTTATCAAGCATATAAGTACCACCATAAATAGCACTCAAACTATAAATTTTTAAGAAGTATTAAAATCTCTAATTTTAATAATCTATCATAAAAAGAATTGTAAAAGAATGATTTTAGATATTAGGGAAACCTACCGTGCAAAACCTTGAGGCAATTCACCTAAACCATACAATGGATAAATATAAGGACTCTTTCCGTAACGAGCGACTGACGAAATGTAAAGAATAATTCTTTCATAAGCCTCGCGAGCGGGACGATTTAGATATCTAAAAAGAGTTTATAATATTTTTAAATATTATAAATATTAATATTATAAAATATTATATTATTATTATATTATTATTATATTATTATTATATTATTATTATATTATTATTAAATTATTATTAAATTATTATTAAATTATTATTAAATTATTATTAATGAAAACATACGATTCATTCAGATACAATGCCATAGCGTGACCAATGAAGTCTTGAGTGCCAGGTTCAAGACCGAATTTTTCATAAACTTTAGACATCGGTACGCTATTAAGATCGATCCCTTAAAAAAATAATAAAATTTTTAATTGGTGCACATATATAAAGTGACATGTTGAAGAGTAGATATATTACCTTGATGGGTATTAGGATCTTCCTCTCGCCAATTTTGCATATATTCAAAGAATTTCTTTGCTCTTCTCTTCTCAAATAATCGCATCAATGGACTACGAACAGCCTCAAATTCACTAGCCGGCACCTTAGAAATTTGACCGTCTCGATATACATAAGAACCGGAAATTTGTTTAAACTCGAGATAACGTGTTACATCGGTATGAGTAAGCATTTTTACAAGTTCTCCATTAGCCATCATGAATTTAGGAATAAGATCGATATTATAATCACGATCACGTCCCAATTCTGGTGGGGGTTCTTCACCCGGACGAAACTTTCGGTAAAGCTAAATTATAAAAATATCGAAATAATTTATAAATAAATTTAATAAATGTTTCATTTTTCAAAGACGCGTATTTCATGAAATAAGGAAAATCAGAATAAATTATTCATATTAGAATATCTTATAATATATTGTAATATATCAGAATAAATTAAAATATATTATAATATATTAGAATATATTAGAATATATTAAATCTACAAAAACTTGGTATCTCGGTTATTTATTCTGAGATGTTCGTTATCATTCTGACCGTATTAACTCACTTGTGTTAAATTCAAACTGGCACTTTCACCTCCATAATAGTCATTTCTATCCATATGAAGAACTTTTTTTCCATCAACAGATAATAAACCCGAAAGAATACACTCGGTCAAACCGGTACCAACAACGATGACATCATATTGTTCATCCTGCAAGTAAAAAGAGAAAAAACATTTTGGTGGTGTCAAAACTTGAATGAAAGAGAATATAATTTAACAAAATCTAGAAAGTAATGCTGCAAAACCATTAATATAACGAAGTGTTTTCACCAAACGTACCATGGTTTCGATGCTTAAGTTTTAAAGAGATGCCAATGGTAGAAATCAAAAGTTAAAAGAGGAGAATCAAAGTTGCTTTATATATCCAATATTTGTTTGTTCGCCAAGAATGGCTGTGAGACGTGTTACTGTTACAGTTATGCATTGAAAATTCAGCGAGCGATCTGAAGAACTTTATGCAGGGGGTAATTAATTCCAATAGAAATGGAAATATATTTTTTTTATACTTTAACACAATATTATGTAATATTAAATTATTAATAAATAAAAAATTATAAAATTACAAAATTATAAGGATTACAAGATTGTAATGATCTCGATAACAAAATAACTTTATATAATTTAAACAAGGGATCTAAAATTTAGATTCTAAATATCCAAAAAGACCTAAGAATTGAACACGTTCTTCAATCACATTTAAGTTACAAATATCAATAATCTCGGCCAATCTCAATCATCTACACCTTTGAAGAAACTGGGAACCCAATACTCAATTGGATCTGCTTGTTCATCTATCCAACAAAGGCCATCGGCAAGCAAAGTATCCTAAAACAAAATAAAACAAAGAAAAAGAAATTGATTCGAGTATTTTAAGCGTATATATTAATCGTGTATCTTTAAAATAGCTTACGATGACATCATTAATGCGTTCCATTCCCCATCCCAATTCTGATTCGATAATATATTTTGTAACATAACCTTTCTCCTATTATTATTATTATTATTATTATAATAGAATAAAAGAAATACTTAAAATATATGATCAAAAAAAAATAAAAATAAAATAAATACTTGAGCCAAAACAAGCACATTGGACTGATCAATGTTTAATTCTCTAGGAACCGATCTAACCATCTTTCTATTGCCGATTTGTATAATTTCAAACCCATTACCTAAAGGTTTAAGTGTTTTTATTGCCCGTACGATATCATCCCTGATATAAAAAATTCCATCAACAAGAAAAAAAAAAAAGAAGAAACAATTATTTTATGTAAACCAAAAAACATATGTCACATATATCTTGTTAGATACGACACATTTTCTGTATACAACATCAAAGAACTTACTCACTAATTTCTTGTGATGAACTTCGCTTTTTCGTTAATTGTCGTTTCAATTCTCCTAATTCAACTAGTCCTCCATTTCTATCTCGAGTAGATCTGCATATTTCAATAATTTGTACACAAATGTCATAATAAAAATTACCGTATCCTAAAAGTTCGGCCCAAAATCCCTTATTTGCTGTATTATTTTATTAAAAATTTTAGTTAATTTTTATTTTTATTTCTTTTTTTTTTTTTTTTTAAAAAAAAAACAAATAAATTCATTCATTATTCTATTTTATTTACATAAAAGAGGATCAACTCCAACATTGGCACATATCTTTGAAAAATGTGTTCTGAGTTTAGGTTCTTTTTCAATGTCTTTACGATGTTTACGTGCAAATTCTTCAAGGTTGGATTTCAGAGTTTCAAGTTGAACTTTCAACTACTTACAGAAGAGTTTATTTGTGAAAATAGATAAGGTGAATAGAGATAAATAATTTAAAACATTCAAAGTATATTTCAACTTACTTGTTCCATTTGTTTTTTTTCATAATTGCTTCCGACCTTTGAAAATTGACCCTTTTATAAAACAAAGCAATTGTTATAACCAACTGTACCCACTCATTCAGAAACTATATATTTATATAAACAATTATTACATCAGCAGCCTTTTTTCTTGATAGCCCCGCGTAACCAACTCTTCGACGATTCATTGTAGATAAAGTGTTTTTAATTGGTTGTTGATCAAACAATTTAAGATCCAGATCGTATGATTGATGTAAATCACTAATTAAAATTTTTTGTGTAACATATGCTAACCTTAGGCCAAGTCACATTATTTGGAATTTAACCGTCACCTTTGTTTTTTCAATTGCGAAATTATAATGACAACAACTACAATAAAAAAGGAATGATCTCAGATCCTGATATTACACAATCAAAAATTAAGTTACCTTGGTATGGTATCAATTATATAAATTAATAAAATTCTTGGGAAATCAATCTTGATGACGAAGAATTTTCACTTTTGAGAGATCAAAAAATTTCGGGCTCGAACTTTCTTCTATTAAGAAGAGGAAATTTAATCAACTGTCAATTGAAGGTGAGTCCTAATGTAACACTTTTAAGTTTAATCACCGAAATTAATACTGGTATGTATATGATTTGGTATACTGTTAGTTTACTGTATGACTTATTTAACTCCTTTCTTTATAGGGAAATTTTCAAGTGTAAAACTTATTCCTGTTCTTCAAGACGTAAAAAATTCGAAGTGGCTATACTAAAGATATTTTTTATACCCTTTCTTTCAACGAGTGATCAGATTCTGAATATTACCCAAGTTCAAAAAAAAGAGGGTTATAATCAGTGTTTTTTTTTAAAAATAATTCGAAAAAAAACAAAAAAAAAAGATCTTAAAAACTTTAGGAGGGATTAGAGAATTCTAAATTAGACCCAAATTATAAATCATTAATTGCATTAGATGCAAAACTTGAAAAAGAAACCGAAGATGAATTATTCAATAGGAAATATTTTTACTGGTGTAGAGAGAAAAAGAAATGTGAACAAATAAATGTAAAAAAAAATAATCAGTGATAGAGTGGAACAGCTCAATAGATATAAATTAACAATGTCAAAGAGTAAGGTTAATAATTGCAAGGGATCAGGAGTCCGTGATGATAAAATTAAAGTAGAGAAAGGTGAGAGGCTTTCTTTTGGTCTCAATTGGTTCTAAACGAATTTTAATTAAATCATCAAAATTTAAAAAAAAAACAGACAATTTTTCTATATCCTGTTAATTTTAATAATTTATTTTTGCAACTTAATTGAAACACAATTTTTTTTTTAATAATAACCATAAAAATTACAACATTAATAAATATAAAGTTATATAAAAAGAAGGAAAATTAACTAGATAAAATCTACTCACTGTCAACCGAAAGGACAATGTAAATTGAAACGCGAATATACATATAATGTGCGATTATTTATTATTGTAATAAATTCAAATGTGATGATGATAAATAAAACGTATATCGGTACAAATATCTGTGACATACATGTCACAACGGCACAGCATTCTGCGCAGTAATAATTTGATGATATTTAATATCTTATCTATACATTCATTCCGAATACAAACCTCGTTAAAAGGAAATATAATTTTGTTAGCTCACATGACGTGTGCTAATGTGTGAAAAAAAAAAATGGTACGCGCCTTTTCCAAGTACTTGAGTTTTAAATTTTAAAAGCTATGTTATCCGAAATTAAAGAGCCAGGCCCTGGTCTTAAATACTTCCTGAACACTCCTTGTCAATCTTGAGATGCAATCCAGTACCATGAAGCATGGAAAAACAACAATTTGGTTTTGGATAAAGCGATTGTAACAAGAAGTTTCAACAAGTAGATTCAGAAGATAAAGGGACATGGTACAGAAGAGGAAAGGAAGAATGCGATACGTCTTGAAAATCATAAGCTATATAACTGTAGATTAATAGATCATTCAGATGGAACTACGGTTATGGACTACAGCTACCATGGAACTATGTCTTCGTATGGTTACGGACTACGTCTCCGCTGTAGACAGTTTGTGACAAGTCTATGACAGCCAATTTTTAGTTTTCCATTAATCTTAAAATATGATAACAAATAAAATTTATATATAAAAAGATGGGGCACATTGATAACTTTGGTTGAAGTCTTTACCTGGGTTGAAGCGTCGCATCTTACGGAGAATGAAAAATAAATGCCGAAACGTATTTTTATCTTGTGATGAAGTACAATTTGATGGTAATCTCTGTATGTGATTATGTGATGACAATGATTTAAGATATTTAATTCTTAGGCTCAAAAATTTACTTCCTTTTGTAATATAAATGATGTTGATGATCAGAAACCCTACCACTGTTTAATGCTATCATAACTCGAAGATTTTCAAAAATGGGTTCTCACATCTGGAAAATGTGTTGAGGATACTAGTTAGTTACTAGAATGGTGAGGTATTAATATGCGGCCATGGAACGTTATGAAATGCTTAGAATATTATAAACGTGGAATTTATAGCAATGTAAAATCATTTTTGGAAAGGTTAGAGAAGGATCTTAATACTTTACTTCTGAAGAAAGAGAAAGTGAAGAGGTTTTAGTTGAAGAAAACGAAACAATAGAAGAGATAGAAATAAATAGAAGCCATGAAGTGTTTTTTAAATGCACTTAAATTAATGAAAAATATAATGAAAAATATGTTTTATAATAGTTTTATTAAAAAAATACCTCTCTAAGTAAACTTCTCCAAACATCGGATCTTATTGAATCTAATTGAAAGCAAAGAAGCGTTGGTTTGAAAAAAAGATATACATATCAAAATTTAAGCATTTCATTTTTGGGAACTTAAAAATGCTCGTGTAACGTAGAGGGGGTTCATGATTTTCATCCTGAACCAGGGTTCAGAATAAGGTCGTTCTAAAAAAAATATCAGATCTGTTTTTTTTTTTTACTTTCAACGATGAATAACAACGATGCCAACGTAAAAAATGGTCCTTTACCAAATGTTCCATCAAAAAGAGGACCTTCGAGTAAAGAAAACCCCGAAGAAAAAAAAGATCTCTCACAAACAAAAAAAATAAAAGTTAATGGCGAGAAAAACGATAACCAAGTAAAATTTGTAACAGAATTTGTCAAGAAAGAAGATATAAAGACTCCAGAGGTAAAAAAACGATAATTTATTTTTATTTTTATTTATTTTTATTTATGTTTTCATTCTTTTGAAAGGTTCGTCACGAAGTAGCCTACGGAAAACTTCCTTATGATCTTTCACGTCCCGTCGCGAGAATAGGTGAACCTGCTAGGACTTACCCATTTACTTTGGATCCTTTTCAAGACAAAGCTATCGCTTGCATTGAAAGAGGTGAATCAGTTTTGGTTAGTGCCCACACCTCAGCTGGTAAAACAGTCATTGCAGAATATGCAATTGCTCAGAGTTTAAAAAACAAACAAAGAGTCATTTACACAAGTCCAATTAAGGTATTTATTTCGTCTTATCTTAAAGCAATTATATTATCTTAAAGTATAAAACAAATAGTTTTTAACTATAATATTAAAATATTGATAATATCAAATTAGGCTTTAAGTAACCAAAAATATCGTGAATTACAACATGATTTTAAAGATGTAGGATTAATGACAGGTGACGTGACTCTTAATCCGAGCTCTAGCTGCTTAGTAATGACTACAGAGGTATTTATTTCTTATGTTAATTAAATAATAAAAAATCTTATGAAACATTATTTAACTATCGATTTGTGATCTATTATTATTCTAGATTTTACGTAGTATGTTATATAGAGGAAGTGAAGTTTTACGGGAAGTGGCTTGGGTTATCTTTGACGAAATTCATTATATGCGTGACAAAAGTAAATTATTATCAATTTAATATTTTAGTACTTAAATTGAATATTTATATTTTTAATATATTTTATCATTAAAAATAATTTCAATTGTATTCATGCAGCACGTGGCGTAGTTTGGGAAGAAACAATTATCTTGATACCCCGTAACGTACGTTTCGTGTTTTTATCAGCTACAATACCAAATGCACTTGAATTTGCTGACTGGATTTGTGAAATTCATCAACAGGTAATATTCAAAAAATGTTCATTATAATTCTTTCGTTTTACATGAGTACGAAATTTTCAATTTAAATTATTAAAATTCAATTATATTAAAGCCTTGCCATGTAGTGTACACTGATTTGCGACCAACACCGTTACAACATTATGTTTTTCCTGATGGAGCAGATGGTATATTCCTGGTAGTTGATGAAAACGGTTGTTTTCGGGAAGATAACTTCCAAAAAGCTATTTCTTTCTTAGAAAACAAACAGGATCCAACTAATCTTCGTAATAAAAAAAGTGAGTCATTTTAACATTATTTTTTATATAATTTACTGTTTTATTCATTTAAACTTCTAACTTTTGTTAATTTAGTTATATCGGAACATACGAATGTTTTTAAACTCGTAAAAACTTTAATGGTGAAAAAACTTAATCCTGTTATTGCATTTGCTTTCTCTAAGAAGCAGTGTGAGAATTTAGCACGACAAATGAGTACTATGGATTTCAATAGTGGTGAATATTAGTATATTTGAAAGTTTTGTAGTTTTAATTATATATATATATATATATATTTATACATTTTTTGTATATATATATATATAGATGATGAAAAAGAACTTATAAAGAAGGTCATTGATAATGCTCTCAGTGTGTTAACAGAAGAAGATCGTGATTTATCGTGGTTTCGAAACCTTTTACCACTTTTACAACGTGGGATTGGTGTTCATCATTCAGGTTTAATACCCTTTATGAAAGAGGTTGTGGAACTTTTATTCCAGGAGGGCTTAATAAAAGTATTATTTGCTACTGAAACGTTTGCTATGGGATTAAATATGCCGGCAAAAACTGTAGTGTTTTGTGAACTTTCCAAGTTTGATGGTATAAAACCAAGAAATGTAAGTTAATACGTCCTTTCTTTTATAAATGAAATTTTGATGTATATACAACTTTTTTTTTCTAATCTTTTATATTAATTCATGAAAAATTCGAGATTAGATAACATCTGGAGAATATATTCAGATGTCAGGTCGTGCTGGTAGGAGAGGATTGGATCCTCGTGGATTTGTTGTAATGAACGTAGATCGTAATATCTCTCCAAAAGATTTGCAAGACATGTTCAAGGTATAATTTTGGTTCACTTGGAGGTACTTTGGATTGACAATCACTACTTTCTATTTAGTTTAACAACCATTCATTTTTTTAATAAAATAAATTTAATAGGGCGACGCCGATCATTTAACATCAGCTTTCCATTTAAAATATCATATGATTCTCAACATGACGAGAATCGAAGGTATAAGTCCGGAACTTATGTTGGAACATAGCTTTTATCAGTTTCAAAAAAAGTCTGCCGTACCACATTTAAAAGAAGGTAAGATATAATTAATATTTGCTTCAACACTATTACTATTGAAACGTTTATCTTTTTTTTGTATTAAATTTTTAAAGAACTATGGAAACTTGAGAATGAATGTTCAAAATTTAATATTCCCAATGAAGAAACTGTTTCTCGATATCATCAACTCCTGTTACTTAATGATGATTATGGGAAACGACTAAGAGATATTATTTTTCAACCAAAGAATTGTTTACCCTATTTACAACTCGGAAGATTAGTAAAGGTCAAAATTAATGATACGGACTTTGGATGGGGTGTGATAGTACGTTATGAAGAAAGAAAGGTAAAAAAAAAAAAAATTCGATTGATATTTTTGTTAATTATAAATTTATTGCATTATTTACATTATTTACTAATTCTTTTCATGAAGAAACGTAATCCACCTCAATATAGTCTTCGATCACAAAAAATTGAAAAAAATGAAGAACCGCAATATAAAATTAGAGTACTACTGAAGGTCACCGCAGATTCATATGTCAGCTATGACGGAAGAGAGATCGATATTAAACCATGTCCGCCGGGCCAACCGGGAAATTGTTCGGTAGTATTATTCACCTTGTGATCTAATGTATTTATATTCCATGAAAACTAATTTATTATGAATTGATTATATAAGGTAATCCCCGTGGATTTAGATAATTTACAGGTTTTAAGTCAATATCGCTTTCATCCGGATGATAATTTGGAACACGACGTCGCTCAAAGACAGGTCACGTACAAAGGTGTTCAGGACCTTATTAAGCAACATCCCGACGGTGAGCCAATGGAACCTATAAATCAAATGAATATAAAAGATGAAAAAGCTAATGATATAATTCAAGTAAAAAATTTTATTCCTAATTTCTTTCTTAATGTTATCCAATATTGTTTCATGTTATTAATGCAATTCTTCCGATTTCATTTTTGATGATTTATTAGAAATTGGAAATGATTAGAGCTCAGCTTGAATCAAACCCAACCGCTAATGACCCTGCAATATATGATACTTATAAGAAAAAACTTGACATACAAGAAAAAATTCGTACTGCTCAGAAAAAGATTCGAAACACTGAACTAACACTACATTTTGACGAGCTAAAAAAAAGAAAGCGCCTATTACGTAGACTAGGGTATTTGACCCAAAATGATGTGGTTGAATTTAAAGGGCGTGTCGCGTGCGAAATTACTTCGGGTGATGAATTAGTATTAACGGAATTGCTTTTGAACGGAATTTTCAATGATCTTACTCCGCAAAAAAGTGCTGCTTTATTAAGTTGTTTTGTATGTGACGAGGCTTCGCAAAAAGATCAACCAACGCCTCTTTCCGAAGAATTTGCTGTATTATATCGTCACGTTCAAGAAACCGCTCGAAGTATAGCTGAATTAACTGAAGAATGTAATATACCTATCGAAAAAGATGTATATCTCGCAAGCTTCTCTTCAGATTTAATGGACGGTGTATTTAATTGGTGTAACGTAAGATATTTAATTTTTTATTCATAAAATTCACGTTCTCATAGTTAACATTGTTCACCTAATTCATGTTCATTTTATTACAGAATATGAGTTTCAAAGAAATCTGTTCTCGAATAAATATGTTTGAAGGCAACATTGTACGGAATTTTAGAAGCTTAGATGAATTATTACGCGCGATGATTTCAGCAGCTAAAATAATTGGCACATATGAGCTAGAATGTAAATTCTCTGAATCACGCGAAAAGCTTAGACGAGGAATAGTATTTGCAGCGTCGCTATATCTATAGGTACCGAGAAATTATTGACCATCGTATAAAATGTACACATGTTCATCACGAAATTCTTAACAAATTTTATCTTCGATCCTGCCGTGAGTATAGAATTATTAATTACGAAGCAATACAAAGGATTATAGAGTTGAATAATGAAAAATAATTAATTGAGATGTGATCACCAATTTATTAAAAATTTCGAATTTAATAATAAGCATCTAAATAATCGTAAACATTATGTATTTTTCCTAAAAAATCTTTACGCGATTTTTGTAAACCAGGCAGATAATTTTCATTTTCGGTAAATAATTTCAGGTAAGAATTATGCAATTGAAGATTTAACCAAGATTTGATAAATTTTATACTGACGAGTTTATTAAATTACAATTTTTACAATAAATTATTATTGAATTATGAAATTTGAACTCTGTTGAATTTAATTAGTTTTTTTGTTAATTTTTCTTGTATTACAATTTACAAAACATATAGATCATATCACCACTGATATATAGTAAATTTTATCCATTTACTGAGAACACAGGACCGGAGGGGAAAATTCACCACATAAGGGGTTAAGTTAATTGGTAGGTTTAGAGTTGAGAATATGAAATTTTGTCTACTGGTAATTTTCCCCCTGGTACATCATTCAAATATTTTTAAGTGATCCCAAATTCGCACTTTCTAATTGGATGATATTCATATGTAATCTGTTACCCCAATATCCCAGAAATATTTTTGGTTTATTGATTGTATAATGATCAGAATTTTAAAGTGTACATATAAAAAATTTCACCTGTACCTATTACTTTATGTAATTTGATAACTAACATTTGAACACTGTGATCTGAGATATTTTTAAATTCAACATTTGAAATCTATGTAATCTTCTGGAATTTTGACATCTGAACAATATTTAAAATGAATATAAAGGAAAAAGACTTTTGGTTGGAGGATACGTAATAAATGATGACATTTTATAAATACGAAAATTTTGATAGGAAATAATCAGAATTATACAATTGTAGAACTTCTATAATTATCAGACTTTTTTATGCACATCTGATCATCGTGTAACCAATATTTTATAAAAAAATTTTTATTGTAATTTTAATAACACACGAATAAATTAACTAAAACAATGTAGCGGGCACTCTAAACAAATAAATGGAGGTGATGGCGAATGAATTATTAGTGATGGTGGTGATGACGGATGAGGTGATGATGGATGAGATAATGATGATTTATTTTTTCGCCGTTTTTTAGTTACACATTCATAATTGTATTCTTTTTTTCTTTTACTACGAAGATTATATCTTGGTGGTGGTGGTGTTGTTGTTGATGTTGTTGCTATTGCTGATGATGATGATGATGATATTGTTATGTTATTATTATCTTCGTTGACATTTTCAATATTATCATTATTGTCATTATTATTGTTATTGTTATTATTATTATCTTCATCATTATTGCCATCACTGTTACTACCATTGTCACTATTGTTATTGTTGTTATTATTATTATTGTTATCATTACCACCATCATTATTTTCATCATTATAATTATTGTCATTATTACTATTACTACTATTATCATTATCATTATTATTATAATTAACCCGTCTTCTATTTTTTCGTCGCATAGAACCACTGGCAATGCTGTTATTATTGTTATCATTATCATTATTGCTATAGCCATTATCATTATTACCAATATCACCATCATCACCATTATTATTATTATTATTATTGTTACTATTATTATTTTCACCATTATTACCATCACTGTCATCACCATTATCATTATCATTATTGTTATTTTCATTATTGTTATCACCATTATTATTATTATTATTTTCATCATCATTATCATTATCACCATTATTGTTGCCATCATTATTAATGTTTTTATCATCCCCATTATCATTATCAACATTATTATCATTATTTTTATTATCATCATTATTATCATCATCATTGTTGTCATTGTTGCCACTATCATTACCATCATTGCCATCATTATCATTATTATTTTTATTATTATTATATTTGTTTAAATATCCTAAAAATTTCATCATTTCTTATTTTAATCTCGTGTTTATAATTGGTGATTTCTTGTCTCTAATCCCAGAAAAATAATTAAAAATAATGTTAATAATGTTAATAATGTTAAAACTAATATATAAATGCAAAATAAGTGGTTAATTTACATTCATAAATTACTTCGTTCCAATAATCCTCCAATTTTTTTGCACGGCGCTCCCGTTCCGAACCAACCTATTGTAAGAAAAGCATTTATCAATGTTAACAGTGTGTAATTTTCTATTAAGTGTATAATTTTCTATTTAGTGGTGAGGGCATGCCAAAAATCAAATGGTTTAGGGTGAACCCTATAGTATAGAGAAATCAGATGATAAACGGCATGCCCCAAAAGGAAGACACATAACCGATTCCTCCTCCGGAATCCGCAGACCTTTACCAACGACAAAGTTAGGGCGCCTGAATAGAGGACTTGGGGCTGGTTACCCAAGTGGTCATATCCAGTAGTTCTCCTAGGTTGATGCGCGTATTGCGCTTCGATTAGAAGTTACCCTAACCTTGCAAAATAAAAAAATACACACCTTTTCTTCTAAATCATCTCCTAACTTTCCCGCTTCTGATATGAATCTAACAGCCCAGGTGTGATCGAGATCCACCCAGCGAGAAGTAGCTGAAGTGGTGGCAACAATCACGTCCCGGCAACGGCGTAAAAAGCCCAAAAAAGATTTGTTTCTGCTTCGCGTCAAATATGTTATAAGTGCTTCGTAACCGGGATAATTTTGTTCGGAATACATGTTAATACAAAAAAACTTAGTAAAAAATATAACTTTGTTGAGGTGCAAGAAAAAGTACAAGAATCGTAAAAAAACGCGAACCCTTAAACACGTAGTTTCCCCCTTAAATAACCGTATATACTGCCTCAGGGGCTACAAAGAACGTGCACTTCACAGGTGCGTTACACATGCATTAGAATTTCCTATAGTTTTCGAATTTCTTCCGTGATACATGTTTATCGCATAATCAGCTTATGCATGAAATTTCCATTTTGTTCTATGGCATATATTAGTGAAGACATCGAAGACATGGTACGGCCCAATCTTGATCGGGTGATATATCCTTACCGATTATCAATCACATCCACGCTTCTTTTTTTCCTACAAAAGTATATACTATTCTTGAGTAGGACTCGGCTCTAGGGTTATTTCAACCTTAATGGCTCGTCAAGTAGTAGTGCTTTCAGATATATAGAATATATTTTTTCTTTGTTAGAGTCAAAGGAATTTGATAAGAAATGGACATGCCTAGTATTAATCGAAATAGACCTGTTGTCTCAAAGAGCTTGAAATGGAATATTTAACAAATTGGTAGATAGTGTGTTAGTCATTTTTTATACAAGATACAGATATATTCAAATAATAGCATTACATGAAAAATTTACTTCTGGCCTGGAAGGAAAAACATCAAGAAAAATTCTTGTGCATATGATATATATAGCTCTTATAAAAAAAATCATGAAAAATGTTCACGATCAAATTAATATGTACAAAAAAATATTTTTATCTATATATTACACAAATAAATTAATTAAAACAATGTAGTGGGCACTCTAAACAAATAAATGGAGGTGACGGCAAATGTGGAGGTGATGGTGAATGAATTATTAGTAAAGGTGATGGTAGTGATGATGGATGAAATGATGATGTATGGGATAATGATGGTTTATTTTTTGCCATTTTTTAGTTGCACGTTTGTAATTGTATTCTTTTTTTCTTTTACTACGAAGATTATATCTTGGTGGTGGTGGTGTTGTTGATGTTGTTGCTATTTGCTGGTGATGATGATGATGTTATTATTATCTTCACTGATATTTTCGATATTACCATTATTGTTATTATTATTGTTATTGTTATTATTATTATCTTCATTATTATTGTCATCACCATTACCACCATTGTCACTATTGTTATTGTTGTTATTATCATTATTGTTATTATTACCACCATCATTATTTTCATCATTATAATTATCATCATTATTATTATTACTACTATTATCATTATCATTATTATTATAATTAACCCATCTTCTTTTTTTTCGTCACATAGAACCACCAGCAATGCTGTTATTATTGTTATCATTATCATTATTACTATCGCCATTATCATTATTACCAATATCACCATCATCACCATTATTATTATCATTATTATTATTGTCATTGTTATTGTCATTATTATTGTTATTGTTGCTATTATTATTTTCACTATTATTACCATCACCATTATCACCATTATCATTATTGTTATTTTCATAATCATCATTATCAACATTATCATCATTATCATTATTATTTTTATTATTATTGTTGATATTATTATTATTATCATTTCCGTTGTTGTTAGCACCACCATTATTATCTTGTAAAAGATCATCATCTTCATTAACCGAACCCCTGTCTTTCCATTTATTTGAATTTTTAGTTAATTCGATATTTTCCTTTTCTATTTTTTTATCAATTTTATTTAGTTTGTACAAATATTCAAGCCGAATGCACATTTTTTCTTCTTTATAGGCCAAGATGTTTTGTTTCTAATTTCAGAAGAATAATTATGAATAATATTAAAGCTGATATATAAATGTAAAATAAATGGGTTTACTTACTATTTTACATCCCAAGATTACATCATTCCAATAATATTCAAAATTATAGCATTTTCGTTCTAAATTGACCTATTGTAAGAAAAGCAACTATTAATAGTGTGTAATTTTTCATTAAGTGTGTAATTTTCTATTTAGTGATAAGGGCATGCCAAAAATCAAATGGTTTAGGGTGAACCCTATAGTATAGAGAAATCAAATGATAAACAACATGCCCCAAAAGGGAGACACAACCGATTCCTCCTCCGGAATCCGCAGACCTTTACCAACGACAAAGTTAGGGCGCCTGAATAGAGAACTTGGGGCTGGTTACCCAAGTTGTCATACCCAGTAGTTCTCCTAGCCAAACCAATGATCGACTAAGGAGTTGTCCTAGCTTTGCAAAATAAAAAAAAACACACACCTTATTGTCAAAAGTAGCATCAAATTTAGTTGCTTCATGCATAAAACGAGCTGCCCAAAGATTATCGAGATCCACCCAGTGAGAAGTAGCTGAAGTGGTGGCAACAATCGCGTCCCGGCAACGGCGTAGAAAGCCCCAAAAAGATTTGTTTCTGCTTCGCGTCAAATATGTTATAAGTGCTTCGTAACCGAGATAATTTTGTTCGGAAGACATGTTAATATAAAAAAACTTAGTAAAAATATAGCTTTGTTGAGGTGCAAGAAAAAGTACAAGAATCGTAAAAAAACGCGAACCCTTAAACACGTAGTTTCCCCCTTAAATAACCGTATATACTGCCTCAGGGGCTACAAAGAACGTGACTTCACACATGCATTGGAATTTCCTATAGTTTTCGAATTTCTTCCGTGATACATGTTTATCGCATAATCAGCTTATGCATGCAAATTTCCATTACGTTCTATGGCATATATTAGCGAAGACATGGTACGGCCATCCACGCTTCTTTTTTTCCTGCGAAAGTAGGACTCGGCTCTAGGGTTATTTCAACCTTAACGGCTCGTCGAGCAGTAGTGCTTTCAGATATATAGAATATCATTAGAGTCAAAGGAATTTGATAAGATATGGACACGCCTAGTATTAATCAAAATAGACCTGTTGCCTCAAAGAGCTCGAAACGGAATATGCGAAAAAAGTTAGAACGACAATAGAACAAGAGACCACTCCTACCTTCGATGTTAGCAACGACCAAGATAGTGAAAGAAACCGATATAGCCAATGCAACTTCGTCATGAAATATTTTACAATCCAAATAAAGTAAGTTAGTCGGTTGGGGCAGTTTTAGCCTTTCGAGGCAGGTCTAGGGGTCTGAACCCTCCCTTGCAAAGTTTCATTTATTTAGGGAATTATTATTATCTATTGGCGAGGAGAAGTAGATCTGACAAGCTACCCAAGGTTTAGTCCACTGAGCTTATAGATGAAAAGTAATCAGTGTATCCGCCTTAGTTACTTTATATGGACTCATGTCGTTTTGATAACTATATTAATTGGTTTTTTTTTTATTTAAGCACAAAACACAAAAAGAAACACGTGAATCTACGAAAGATACCATTAATTATATTTGATCGCAGTGGATTTCTGAGGACTTTGATGCCGAGGGTCTGAAATCGATCAATGTGTCTCAGCCTTTCATAACAACTATTCCAAAGTCAACATTCATCAAAAAACTTTTTGAAAAAAAATATGAAAGGCAAATTACTAGTAAGCAACTTCCATATGTAATTTATATAATCATCAATATCACGAACATGATATATAACTACCTTTTATACTGTAAAATAAAGAGGTCCACTCTATACTCTCATCTCATATTACAAATAAATATACAACAAAATATGTATCATATCGCCCACAAAATAATATTAATATAACACTCTTGAAGAGATGGTTCAAGAACCCAGGTTCTATGGGACACTCTTTGAGAATCTAATTTGGACTAAAATTGAATTCGATATATTCTAGAGTATAAGTTATTAAAATCTAATAGGTCCAAATCCTCAGATTTGATATAAATTATATATGACTTCCATAAACACTACAAATAAGTCATATAAAATGGTTAGTGTAAGCAATTTATGTGGAACCACTTTTACTGATGTAGAATGGGATGAATTTGTTCATTTGGGAACTGGAAGGTCAGATGAAATGCCTGCTGAATGGAGAGATAAAATTCTACCTCATCTTATATATTTCAAAGAAAATGATCTTTTATCCATTGGAGATAAACATCTTACCTACACAAGGAGATTATTTCAGTATTTAAATGGAACAATATATGTACCTGGAAACAGATTTGCTATCTGTCACAAGTGTAATAAACTTGTATATATTGGAAAGAAAGTTGAGGATATAATCATAATGATATTTTGAAACATTAAATTACAAGTTGTTCTGTTTACATTCATGTCAGTTTTGAAGAGGTCAAGAGGCTTAAACAAAAATCCGAATCTCAATATTCAACTGATAATATATATATATTATGTGAGTATAAATTGTGAATACAAAATGCTGTTAAAAAAATTGAATGTACAAGAGAAGTCAGTAGAAAAATTCAAGTATGTATTACCATACAATGAAAATGAATTGAAATTATATATAAACCTGATAGTCTCAAAGCTAAAGAACTCACTGAACATTATAAATTATTATGGGCAGTTTGAGAAGAGATGTAATGTGTTAAAAATGTACAACTTAATTTATTATAACATATATCATTTATTCGATTTAATCTATTTATTAATGTATAACTCATTCATATATATAATTTATTTAGACTTTTATTTATATTATTCATTAAGAGCTAATAATGATTTTTTTGTAGAATAATTGTGATATAATTATTAATTATAATAAGTTAATACTATATATTATCAATGGATTCAATACTAATACAGTCTGACCTTTCTATAGTTATATTTTCAGGAAACAAAAAATTATGACTATATGGAGGTGTAGTTATTATCAAGATGTTCTCTATATAGTCACAGCTATATTAAAAAATATATATGGTGACTATATAGAGAATTATTTATTATATAAATTTTTTTTCCACAAAAAAATTATTCTATTACTTTTTTAGTAATTCTAAATATTGTGTGATACTTATTATAATAACTAATTGAATGTATAAATATATAATAATCTGATGATCACTTTTGATTTTTTTTTCTTACAAGCTATTTGCATTATGTTATCTGAATTCATATTTAAAAAAACATGTTGTCATATTAGTGACAAATAAAAAAAAGAAATATATAAATTTGCTAAAAAAACTAATCTTATAAATAGCAAGAAATAGCAAGCAAGTTTATAAAATATTATCCAGGTCTAAAAATTAATCATTCGATCATATCAAAAATTTTAAAAAATGTTGATAAATATTAATTTCAAGAAAATATAAATGTTGAAAAAACTTTTTGTCACCATTCCGTAAAGTATTCAATGTTAGAACGTACTATGAATATGTGGATAGAATGGGTTACAACTGAAGGAATAATTATATCAGACTCAATAGTAAAGAAGAAAGGTTATCAATTTACACAATCATTTGCTATATCAGAAGAATTACTTACATTTTCAAATAGGTAGGTTTCTAAATTTAAACAATGTAATGGATTAAGAAAAATTATGATGCATGGTGAAGCAGCAAGTGCACCTTTAGAAAACTTATCTGAAGAATGAAAAAAATTACAAGAACTTTTCTCTTATTATAATTCAGAAGATATTTATAATGTCAATGAAACAGGTCTATTTTATTGATTACTTTCAAATCAAACTCTTTACAAAACTGATGGCTGGAAAAAAGAAGGTGAGTTAAAAAAAAAATAATTAATTTAAAATAGTTAATTAAGTTAATTAATAATTAAATAATAACAAAAATTTCTTTAGGAAAAAGTAAGAGTAATTATATTATTTTGTTCAAATTCAACTGGTTTTCACAAATTCCACTCATTAGTTATTGGTACTTTTAAAAAGCCACGGTGTTTTAGTAAAATAAATATTTCACAATTACTGGTGATATATAAAAGTAATAAAAAAGTATAGATGAAAAGTGATATTTGAGAACAATGGTTACATTACATAAATGATAGGTTTTGTATTCAAAATAGGCAGGTCTTGTTGCTTGTTGATAATGCAGCTTTTCACATGGTTCAAAAAACAAAAAAATATAACTAAAATTCAAGATGATGATATAGATAAACTGGTATCTGAATATAATTCCATTGATGAAATTGAAGAACTTCAAGAAATACCACAAGAAAGTTCACAAGGAAGATCACAAAGATATAATAATACTAAAGATAGCATTCTCAATTATTTTTTCAAATCCTCAATATTGTAGATTTTTTAGATGGAATTGTGATAAGAATCCATATATCCTCAATTAATCCATATATCCTCAATTGTTCTACAATTTCACAATTGTTCTGCAATTTCACAATTGTTCCACAATTCCTCAATTGTTCCACAATTCCTCAATTGTTTTGCAATTCCTCAATTGTTTTGCAATTCCTCAATTGTTCTGCAATTCTTCAATTGTTTTACAATTCTTTAATTATTTCACAATTCCTTAATCATTCCACAAGTTTGCATAACTTGATAATTAAAAATTTTTTTTAAAAAAAAACTTATATTTACCTTGTTCCTTGCTTTTACCCTTTTTCTCCTCACCTTTCACTGACTCATAAGAATATTTGTGAAGGTTGAAATTGTAGAAATTGATTTTGTGAATGTATGGTTAAAGGTAAGTTTTTTTTTTCTTTTTTTATTTTTTTTTTATTTTTTAAAACAATAAAAAAAAATCTTGTCCCTTGCTTTTATCTTTCTTCTCCTCACCTTTTTCTGACTCATGAGAATACCTGTAAAGATCGAAATCATCAAAATTGGCTTTGCTGACATATGATTAAAGGTGAATCTTTTTTTCTTTTTTTTATTAAAAAAAATAAAATCTTATACTTACCTTGTCCTTTCTTTTACTTTTCTTCTTTCCACCTTTCACTAGTTTGTGGGAACACCTGTGGAAGTTAAAATTGTTGAAATTGACTTTACAGACATACAATTAAAGATTCTTTTTTTTAAAAAAAAAATAAAACCTTTATACATACCTTTCTTCTCCACCTTTTACTAGTTCATTAGAACACCTGTGAAAGTTGAAATCATCAAAACCAACTTTGCAGATGTATGATTAAAGGTCTTTTTCTTTTTCCCCTCTCTTTCCTTCTCTCTCTCTCTTTTCTTTCTCTCTCTCTCTCTTCCCTTTCTCTTTCTCTCTCTTCCCTTTCTCTTTCTCTCTCTTTCCTTTCTCTTCCTCTCTCTTTCCTTTCTCTCTCTCTTCCCTCTCTCTCTCTCTCTTTCCTTTCTCTCTCTCTCTTTTCCCTTTCTCTCTCTCTCTCCTCCCTTTCTCTTTCTCTCTTCCCTTTCTCTTCTTACCTTTGTGTAGTACCCTTTTCCAGACTTGTGGAATAACTGCAAACTTGCAGAATAATTGCAGACTTGTGATATAATTGCGGAATTGTGGAATAATTGTGGAATTGCAAAATAATTGAGGAATTGTGGAATAATTGTGGAATTGTGAAATAATTGAGGAATTGAGAAATAATTGTGGAATTGTGGAATAATTGAGGAATTGAAGAATGATTAAGGAATTGCAGAATAATTGAGGAATTACAGAATAATTGAGGAATTGCAGATAATTGTGAATTGTGGAATTATTGATTTTTTATCATTAAAATCCTCAATAACCATAATCCTCAATTCATAATTGTGGATGCCATCTTTAATCATGTCACATAATAAATACTACTATTATTTAAATTTATTAAAGTTTTATAGTTCACTAATATTATATTTCAAAAAATTGGTATCCACGTTTTGTATCATGCCGTGTGTCATGTAAAATTATTATTAACAAATAATAGTAAATTTTTATTCAATTAATTCCGTCGCGCCATGCATCGCATAATATTTACTATCAAATTTACATTTTCGTGTTCTAGTTTATTTATAACTTTTACATTTTCGCAACCTAATTTATTTACAACTTTTTTATAAATAATTCAAAATTTACAGTATAAAGTTTGATTGATTATTTTTTCACAATTTAAATTGTAATTTTAATAAATAAAAAATCATCTAATCATTGATTAAGAAATGTTAGCTAAAACCTCTATAAAAGTCAAAGGTGATAAACATGTGAAAACAAAAAAGAAAAATAATAAACCCAAAATTAAGACCACATCAAAAAATTGAAAATTTGACCAACAAGCCATCTAAATGCTATTCAAAATGCAAACAACGTACTTGCTAACCCTGAACATCCTAGTGTATGCACAACTGCTTAAAGATTTAATATTGCAGAGGTAACTCTTAGACATGTAGTTAAAAATAATAGTTTGCCCAAATGTCCTGGTTCTGAAACTGTCCCGAGTACATATGAAGAAACATAACTAGTAGGTTATTGCAAGAATATGCAAAAATTGGAATTTGGATTGACAAGATCGGGAATAAATCATTGTGCAATGGAAATCGTGTGCAGTGATAAACGTGATCATTCATTTACTAACAAAGGGCTTTGTGGTCACGTTTTTATGAAAAATCATCCAGATTTATCTTTTCGTGTACCTCAGGCTTTATCAGAAGCACATGCACAAAGAGGAAACCTGATTATTATAAATGATTATTTTAAAAAACTTCAAATAATAATTCAAGAGCACTCACTTACTGCAGATTGTATTTGGAACATGGATGAGACCGGATTTGCCCTTTCCCCCAAAATCCAGAAGGTTCTTTCTAAAAAAGGTGCTCGGCAAGTTCATAAAATCTCACATGGCAATGTAAACGATCATATCTCCGTTGCTCCAACAATTTTGGCTGCCGGTGAATATGTTCCTCCATTAATTATCTACAAATGTATTCACATGATTCCAGGTTTATTGACTGGAGCTCCAGCTGGTAGTGTCATGGGATTTACTGACTCCGGGTACATGAAAGAGAATCTCTTTCAAATGTATATCAACCACTTTATTAATTTGATTCCACCTGTTTGCCCAGTTCTTCTGATATTTGATGGTCACAAGAGTCACGTTAATTATTTAAGTGTTAACTTTTGTCATGAAAATGGAATTTTATTATTCACACTTCCACCCCACACTACGCACATTCTTCAGCCATCTGAAATTCCGTTTGCTAAACTTAAAAAAGAGTATAGTAAAAGATGTGATGAGCTTTATAGTAGTAGTGGCGAACTAGTGACAAAACGTACATTTGCTAAAGTACTTGGAAAAGCTTTTAATACAACCTACACTCCTACGGCAATTACCAACGCTTATAAAGCTACGGGAATCTGGCCTTTTAATCCCACTGCAATTAGTGAAGATCGTTTTATCCTTTGCTAGTAACTGAACAACCCCAAGAAATCGACGATATACCTCTGGAAACTGACGAAGAAGCTCCAGAAATTGACGAAGAAGCTCCAGAAACTGAAGAAGAAACTCCAGAAACTGTTGATGAAATATCTCAACCGACCCATACATATTCCACTAGAGCTAGTATTGTTGAAAAGATGGAACTACTAGAAGAAAAAATCGTAACTCTTAAAGAAGAAAATAAATCGTTAAAAGATGAAATTTTATTATTAAAAAGGAGCAATTCATCAATTCAAGAAGAACTACAAACCTTTAAGAGTCCTGGTACTTGCCCATTGAAGCTTGTGCTGAAATATCCTACTCCTCGACTTCCACAATTCACTAATGAATTAAAGACTAGCGATGGCGATGCTTTAGTCCGACCACAAAAGAGAAGGAAAACCTTGCCGTTTGCTCAGCTTATTACCAATGAAGAATCGTTGCAAGCATTAAGGGAAACAGAAGAATTAGCACAACAGAAAAAAGAAGCAGCTCAGCGAAAAAAAGAGGAAGCTCAAAGGAAAAAGGAGGAAGCGCAAAGGAAACGAACCGAAAGAGAACTGGAGAAGACAAAAACAAAATAATGTTCCTAAAAGATGATAAAAATTATCAATCTGCGTCTTAAAATTGAGGGTACACACAACCAATTGAATAAAAAAATTTTTAACTGCGCCACAATACACTTTTTTACCTTATATTTCATATTTTTACATTTTGATTTTTGGTAACAGTTTAGGAAAATTTCCGCTACTATTTATTTACTTATTTATTTATTTTTTGAATATGACGGATCGTTCGCAAAATCTTCTTCAATTATGGAATTCAGCGTCTGAGTTAACAATAGGCCAAATGTCAAGGTATAGAATACTTTTTGATAAGTCGAAACACATTTCTAGTTCTGCTTGGCCTCCCACGACCTTGGTTCTTGAAATTACCAATACAACTTCGATGCTATTTCGAGGTGCAATATTAAGTGGACCTTATAATATATCAGCTTCGTTTGTTGAATCAAAATATCGTGGTGTAAAGCCTGAGCCGACTTTATCTTTTCCTCCAAAAATGAAAGCAAGTATCCAATGTGGTGATACATGGCAAGTGATAATAGATGTTCCTACAAGTGGCATTGGCAATTGGATTATTGATATATTGAGTGAAATATTATTTACATCTACCAAAGTCAAATATGATGTAAAATTATTTGCTACCATACCTAAAGATGCTTCCATTGAAGATGAATTTGAAATAACCAAAAATATATTAACTAGTGACGATGGCACTACCACCACCTTTTCTTCTTCGATAGAATACGTTTTTTTAAAAAATCATGATCTCTTCAAGTTACCTGATCTAACTACATTAAAGGCTAGTGATGATTATCACCTTATTGTGTTGACTCACGGAATTCACGGGACAATGCTTGATGAATTATTCCTGAAGGAAGCTATGGAAGAAAAACACAAGGATAAAAATAATATATTTTTTATGTCAGATTTACTTCATTCATATACTGAAAGTGGTATAGAGGCATGTGGGAAAAGGTTATCCACAAACCTTTTGGAATATTTAAGATGGCCATGGGATGATAATCGACATTTGATTTCAAAAATATCATTTATTGGTCATTCTTTAGGTGGATTAATTAATTTATTTTTAATAGGTTATCTTCATAGTGTTACGGAAGGAAAATTTTTTAGTGATATAAAACCGATAAATTTCATAGCCATAGCCTCTCCTTTTCTTGGATCTTCTGATTTATCATGGTATATAACAGCAGGTTTACGCATTGGAATAGCTGGTCAAACTGGAAAGGATTTAGCATTGATTCCTCAACATAAACCTAGAAGTAGTTCGAATGTTAAAAATAATAAAAAAGACGAACCTCTCTTGTTATCTCTTGCTCAACCAAATTCACCATCTCACATAACACTTTGTAAATTTCAATGTCGTACAATTTATGCAAATGTAGCTAATGATGTACCAGTTTCGTTTCGTTCATCTGCACTTTATTTTCATGATCCTTTAGATATAAATTTAAAACAAACAATTACAATTGCAAAACAATTGAATCATTTATTTAAAACAATAAACCCTTCTATCACTACGGAAGAATTTATTAAACGAACATGTCAAACCAAATCTCCTATAGTACATGATAAGGTTTATTCCCCTTCAGATATTCCACTTCTTGACGAAAATGAAGAGATAAATATTTCCATAGAAGAAAAAATTGCCAGAGCTTGGCATAAGGATATGACGTGGCGAAAAGTGTTCATTTTACTTGAGGGGGATGCACATACAAATGTTATTGTGAGAAGAAAATGGTTGAACATCTCTGGATGGAAAGTCATTGAACATTTATCCAATGAACATGAATTGTAAACAAGAACAAACAAGAATTAAAATTTTGTATAATTTAACATTGATATTCGAAATGTAAAATAGATAAAAATAAATGATTATAAAAAAGTTTCATTAAAAAATATTTTATTAAAATGAAATGAAATGTAAATATTAAAAAGAAAGAAATTTAAAATTTTTCAAAAATTGTTATTTAAAATTCTAAGTTATATTAATTTCATTGATTTTAAACCGTGGCTAAATTTAAATAATTAATTATTATAATGTTCTTATTAGATTTTATTAGATTCCAACTCTTTCTACCACATTCCAAAATTCCATATAGGCTTCAGGATCACGGTGACGTAAATCACGATGAATATCAATGCACTTTACATTCCTCCAAGTTTTAACACATTTTTTAATATCGTCACCATAATATTTGAAATAAATTCCTGAAACATGTTTAAAAGTTTCTTGAGGAGTTTTCCATTTATATTTTTTGAAGGGCCATTCATTTCCATCAGTGATGACACATACAACTCGATCCCAATCTGAATCCTGAAAATTATCAGTCGTATCTATAAATTCATATTGTTTGCCTTTATGAGTTATTTGAATCAGTCTCTCTCTTTTTGATTTGATATCTCGAAGTTTAATCTGATCTTCAAATCGTTCATCTTGAAGTAACTCTTTGACATTATACATTGTGATGAAAGCTGATGGAGCTGAAGGCACCAGAACAATTGGAACCCGAGGAGATTTCGTCCTATTTTGAATACGATGATATGTTCTTTGAATGGGTTCTGAAGTTCTTAAATGTCCACCTCGATCCTGAGGGTCTTTCTTTGTTTTTAAGAAAAAGTCATCTGCAATTTGTATGAAAAATGAATAATTTTCATCTTTGGCTTTACTTTCAAGTACGGACTCCCATACGGATTTCGGTAAAATTTCTTTTTTTTTTTGATAGTTTTCTCTCCATAGCTTATCCTTTTCGTACTCCACTTTCCTTTTTCTTCTTCTTTCCGCCGCCAACTGCTGTTCTGAATCAATTGTATCTTCAAAAGGTCGTTTTTCATAAATTCGGGTCAATGAACCTTTTCCCAAATCTGAAACTGAGGAGATTATTCCTTTTAAAAAGTCAAGCCAATTTCTTCTGTCTACAAAGCCTAAACGTGTCGGGAACTTTTCATTTGTTGCATCTTCATTATAGTGGACTAGATCTAACTTTTTAGTTATGGTTGCGTGATATAGTACTGACAAAGGAAGAAGTTCATTTGTGGCAGCACTTCGGAAATTTGTGGTTGTATTTTTGTCAAATGTTTTATTGTCAAACTTTATAAAAGCCGCCTCTCGAAGAGACGAGACAACATTACCCTCCGGATCGATGAGTTCAGGCAGTATATCTTTATTACTATATTGTTTTAAGAGTTGGAGGGGATCACTTTCTTCAATTTCATTCATTTTTGATTACTTTTAAATGAGTATTAAAGATTTACTAGATTTATTTAATAAAGTGGCGCTAAAAGCCGAATCGGCGATCTTAATCGCGTTTTTTTATTTTCAACAAGAATTCTGATTGGCCAAATTTCAAAATAAAGATCATACATGTACAATTAATTATCACATGATATTAAATCTAGTTTCATTTCTAAATAAAGAACAATTCAAAATAAGGAATTATTTTCTTTTCCTAAAAAAATTAAGCCAAAAAAAAATTGTTAGTAGTGAATACTAGTTATGAATACAATTTAAATAAATTTCAAATAACCAAATCTAATATAAAAAATCAAAAGGACCCGAACGAAAGAGTAGTCTGAATTGAGTTATAACACAATGTGATGCCTCGTGTATTGCACTGCATAGAGCTTCCACCAACGAACCGTGTTCCAACACTCCATAGTTAGATCAATCAGTCCGAAGACTTCATACGCCAACTAGGAGGGTATAGTTTCTGGTTATTCGTCCTCACTTTCATGAGGGTCCCAGCGAGAGACTTTTATGGTTTTTCTCAGACCTTCCCAAGGGTATTGATAAATTGACGGTAAGGAGAACCCTACTGTCCGTATGTTTTCCCTTAACACGAGCTTTTCGTTCGGGTCATTTATAATTTTTCAAACTAAATTTTCTCATAATATTTCATTGATTCATGAAAATTGATACATAACCTCTTGATATTTAAGAAAGTTCGTTTCTGTTTTTTTTTTTTCATCGAATAAAATTAGAATTAAAAAATCTTATTGATAATAATAATAATAATAATTAAAATATACTACATAATAAACATATACCTTATGTTCGAGTACAACTTAAAAACGACTTTCATGAATTCCGTGTAGTTTTCTTCAAGAATTTCGTCCTCACTAAATCGGGCTTTTTCATAACCCTCAACATAGGCATATCCTAAATTATAATCAATAGCTTTATTTTCTACCAAAAATTCAATGAATCTTTTAACAGACATCGAAGGATGGCGTTTTAACTTTAAATGCTCCAAAGCAGTTTTTTCTTTTTGAAAAAAATAAAATAAAATAAAATTTGAAGTTTAGCAAAATATTCAATATACATTATTATTATAATGACTATTATTAAAATATTAAGTTAAATAAATAAAACCAACCTATTAAAGGAAATGTATCCACAATCGAAGTTTTGAAATGAATTTTGTCTAATTCCTTTCCTAAATAATAAAAATTTTGATAAAAATTTAGTCATCAAAAACTATTTGAAGGATAAATATAATAAATATGCATTTCATACATTTTTATAGTATTAACCTGGACGACCCCATCCTGGTTTTGCACCATCCTCAGGCCTTGGTTTACCCTCCGCAGTAATATCAGAAACATGTTCTAGCTTTGTTCTTATAAGTTCATAAACAGACTAGAGATAAAAAATAATCGAAAAATCAATAATCAAATATTATAAATCTAATTAAAAAGTGATTTTGTCTTTACCTTCGGCACGTGTTTTTTACCAATCGGCACATATGATTTGGGTATATTGGCCAATGCTTTTTTAACAGTTATTAACCGTCTTAATCCAAGTAACACGGCTACAAAACCCTTGATTTAAAAGTAAAAAAAAAAAATGTTTCAACTCTGTGGTTTATTTTTTTTTTTTACACTTAAAGGCATAGATAGAATAGTTTATTTACCATTAAAAAATAACTGCTACTGGCTACAACTACGAAATAATATTTTTTATTACCAGCTTTCAATCCATGACATACTATATCGTAGGCGGATATTCCAAAAGCTGCTATGGTCAAGAGCATAAGAAAAAACAAGGAACTGGTATATAAACAATTACTAATACTACTTTTAACCATTTTGCAAATTGCGAAAAAAAAACTGATTGTAAATTATCACACTTACCCAGTATCGCCATAGAAATTTTCTCTCCACGTGTTGTTCCGCAGGGGACAGGTTAGGGTTTATCAGGGGTAGTGTATTTATCACCGTGTGTTATTACATTGGAAAATAACATATTCGTCACCAACATTCCATGAAACAACACGTGAAGTATTTCTGATCACCCGCCCAATCAAATCAAAAATTTCTATGACGATATGGGTTAAATTAATCATTCATGTAACATATGGCGCAGCGATTTTTATAAGGGATTTTTTTAATAAGTCTTTTTAAAATATTAATTTTATTCTAATTTTTATTCTTCTCTCACCGCGAAACTTATTTTGAGAAACAACCAAAAATTCATTAAAGTAGGTCTAACATCAAAAATTAAAGAATCAATCAAAAATAAACAAATCAAAAAAAAAAAGGGTAAAAAATATTCAACTATTAAAAATAAATTTTACCTGGATTCAGGCAACATTGGATATTGAAGTCTGGCTATGTGTTTAATTGTTTCACCACTCACAAGACAACGTAAAACATAAAGTGAAAAATAATGTGAACTCAACCTTTTCCAAAGTAGTAAATATTGGAAGAATATAGTAGACAATGGTATTGGCAGATTCTATCATCAGAGATTATAATATGAATAATATTAGTCATTAAATTTATCTATTAATCAATTAATCTGATGAAATTTACCTGCATGAAGAGATAGCTCACTCGTAGTCGTGATGATGTAGAATAAAGGCTAGTTTTATTGGTGGTAGATGAAGGGTTAGAAACATTATTCGTGTTGTTTTCAATTGCAATGTGGTTTTTACTTGGTAGATTAATTTGTGTATGTTCATTAATGTCTTTTGTATCTTTCTCTATTATATTATTTTTTGTGTTATTAAACATGCTATTTGTTTTCATGTTATTTAAAATTTTTGAAATTGGAAAGTCATTCGTGGAAAGTTGATTTGACCAAGGCCAAAAAGATTTGATTCCTTGAACAACTCTCGCAATTCCATGTGATGCGAAATAATCTGGATCACAGATTTCAAATCTTAATCCACCTATTTATCAGATTTATCAAATGATAAATTTAATAAACAATGATATATTAAAATTTTGTAAAAAAAAAAATAATAAAAATAATAACAATAATTACCTGGTAATCTCTCAGGATCTTTGAAACGTAACATGAAAGCGAACAATGGAAAATGGTTGAGAAATGCCAAAAGTGTTTCCATGACCGCTTGTAAAAAAATAACGGCCACCCGACTCTATATAAATTGAGAAATAATCTATAATTAAATGCTTCTAATTTGCTTCTAATTTACAATAAAACTTACCATAGCAAACGTGGCGTAATACACCACGACAGTAGGAAAAAGAAATGTTAATAATGTAAATAATATTGTGCCCAGGAGTAATTGATCTAAATCATAATCACATGAATCAATTCGACTTCGTAAAGGGTTCCATTTTTTGCCTATCCGAGAATATATATATAATTATATGGATGGTAATACGTATAGAAAAACCAAATATAATTAAAATTAAATAAAATTACCTTGAAACAAATTAAATAAAGAATAAAGAATAGTCAATTGCCAATTGAAAATTTTTGCAGCGACCATATAAAACAAATAAATATGTAATGTCATAAATGACAAAAAATCAGAAAGAAGTGATAAAATCATTGTTCCGCCCAATATTCCGGATAATCCAATAAATCCAATAATTGTTGGCGTAAATGGACGAACAATCATTAAAAATTCTAAAGAAAAGATGAAGTTAATAGAATTTATATAAAAATAATTATATAAATTTGCATAATTGATTGGTCAAATACCTTTCCACACATTAATTAGCCAAAGAAAAAGACGACCCAAAAAAATATCTAATTCTGTATTTAATTTAAGACCTGCAGGACAGTCCGCCATCAACCAAACAATTATATCAACTAATTTGTCAACTGTATAATACTGGAAATTTAATTATTATTAAAAAAAAAAAAAAAATTAGAATATTTTTAATATTTGTAAATGACTTTAAATTTACATTTGACATTTCTTGTTTTTTTTTTTTTGCATTAAATGTAATAAATGTTTCTTAATTTTTTTAATTTCTTACATCAAAATAATCTCTCAATAACATGCCTGCCACGTACTGACTATTATTTATGAGAAAAGATCCTATAGTTAACCCAATTATAATATCATTCGCAACAAGCCACATACTATTGTAAAAACTTGAATAAATGAAATTTGAGAATAATTATAATTTTTTTTTTAATATTTATTGTCAATATGTACCAATTTGCATAACTTGTGACAGATGTACCTTATATATTGTGCTCGTGTCATGGCAGTATTTGACCAATCTCTTCGACGCAATAACATATATTGCCATGGCCAAAAACTTGCTTGTTGTAGGCGTAGATCAATTTGTTGGGCTATATTAGAAATAATATTAAAAAATCATTTAGTAATTTAGTTAATATATTAAATAAAATTTGGTAAATTTTGTTTATTTGAAATTACATGTCGCAAATAAATCTTTCAAAGCGGCTCCATTGAAAACCCATGGAGGGAATCTTAAATTTAAGATCCAAAGTATCACTTCAGCAAAAATTCTCACCAACATAAGGAATAATATTATAGGATGAGCAAGAAGAGGTCGGATGATTGGAACCAGGTGATATATTGGATATAGTGCAATGTCTTTTAAAAATATTCCTATTCCCAATGCTGATTTTTTTACCGTCTCTGAAACACTAGTACTTCGACGATTACGCCTCTTGGAAATAAAGCGACATCTAGATATGATGGCTTTTTCAGTTTCGAAAGATGAATTGATCTAACATTCAGATTTATCCCAAGTACCATTAATTAAATACGATGATGACTCCTCATATGATAATTTGATAAGCTTTAATGTATTAACATCAAACCTGTTTTAAAATGTATTCTAAATCTTTGGGTTTTTTTTCTTCTATGTCTTTTGAATTCTCTTTTTGTTTTCCACCAGAAAATGGTAATTTTGTTTTCATAATTGCCTCCATATTAGCATAAGTTTGAGGTGATATTTCTTCAATTTCATGATCATTATTTGGCTGTATATCAAGAACCAAAGGTTCGAGTGAAAGATATTGTAATTTATTGGGATTTGGTTGTTTGTAAAAAATAATTTCCACACTAAGATTAGAATATCTATTTCCATCACGATATATAGACCTAGAAAAGAAATAATATTTTTAATATTTTTTTTTTTTTAATACAGAATACAAATCAAATAAATCAAAAGTAAAAAAAAAAAAAAAAAAAAGATTACCTGAGTGATGGCATATTATTATATTGTAATTGAATGTTCAACCATATATTCGCCGTTTTCTTTTTTTCTCTGACTTCTTATATAAAATGAAATAAAATGAAATAAGATGAAACAAAAAGAAATGAATGTCAAAATTTACGATAACTTTTTCTTGAAAGAGAACTTTATACCTTCACAATTAAGTATCTTATTTTTATTATCTGAATGTGCAGTCATGACCCCTAATACAATCAATGGTGCGCCACATATTCCGTCCATATAAACGAACGATGAGCTATTATCCGTTGATAGTGAAGATAACGTAGATTCTAAATCTGTAAGCTTAAAGATAAATTTAAATACAAAAAACTCTGTTGCATAATATGTCACATATTTAAGTTGTAAATCAAGTTGAATATATTAAATCATATTATTATTGTTGTAAAAATTTATTACTTTGATATTTGAAATAATAGCAGCCACACAGGCTGTAAATCTACGAATGCTCCAGCCAACCAAAAAACCCGAATTTGTTTGAGTCGGACATGTATGCGCCGGCCAGAATATTTTGGACACAGCTCCAGGCGTGTTAATAATTCTCATTATTCTTATTCTATGAATATAATATTTTTCTTTATAAAATAATAAAATAATTTATAATCATCATTCTAATCATCATTTTGCTCATCATTCTATTCATACCTTTAATATACTTCCCCTTCTTCTAAGATGATCTCTAGCCGAAGTTCTATATGGATAACTATTGTTCTATCATGAAAATTAAGTTATTTAATCAATTTAATTAATTAATTATAATAAATTATAATAAATCAACTTAAATCATTAATGAAATCATAATAATTTGTAATAATTTATAATAATGATTTGAAGGAATACCCTTTTAGATTCGTAATCAGCAATTCTATAAAGAGGAATAAGAATCAAAAGAAAGAGTATTCCAAGCCCTATAAATACGTAAAGAAGGTGACGCTGTATGCAAAAAATAATTGAAAAATAGGTCATATAATCTAACAATAATATAAAATAAAGAAAAGCTTAACGTAAACCGCTATAAATTGCTAACTCCATTGGCGTTTAAATATGGTACCTTATGAGTAGTAGATGGAATATTATTAAAAGCTTCGAAAAACTTGGTCACCAAGTTACAGTGACAAGTAATATAACCAACTCCAAAAGAAACTAAGATACCCAAAAGGTACGCGTGCATAAGTAAGGGCGCGTGCCTATGAATTCAAGAAGAATTACACACTATGATTTTTTTGATCGATTGGTACAAAAAAAGTTGTCGGACAAAAAAAAAGAATTTTTCGAACAATTTATATCAATTTTTTTATAACTACGACTTTAACATAAATGGTTAAGATTAACAATGAAAAAATTGTAGAAATCACGTTTTTTGATTAAAATAAAAATTTATTATTATTATTAATTTATTATTTTTGCGTAAGGCTCCAGTAATTTTCAAAATCAATAACCAATACCCGTCTCAGGAATTTTTTATTTAATTTTTTTTTATTTAATTTTCGATTAGCCGATCTTTCTTCGAAAAGAACAACCTAAAAGATTAAATAAATTAAATTAAATTGAATTAAATTGAATTAAATTGAATTAAATTGAATTAAATTGAATTAAATTGAATTAAATTGAACATTTAAGAACAAAACCAAATTTATTAAAATAGTCATTAATATAAGTTGTTACCTTCAGTCAGTCGAGCACGACCGCCGGTTGGTTGACACAAAACATTGGCACAAGATCCACACAGCACAACAGTCTGAGCATGACTAAAGACAGTTGTAATGCTAAAACAACCTATTTGAACATAATTAATATAATTATAATTAAAATAAATTATATATAAATTTAAAAAAATGAATTAATGACTTTATTCCATACCAGGGCATTTTACATCCATAAAATATGAATTCGGGCTTTGTACTAATCTCTTAAGTTTATGTTGTCGTTTTTCGTGTTCAGGAGATGGGTTAAGAAGATCTTCGGTCAACTATAAAAAAAAAAATCATATGTTAATATCATGAATTATAATTACACGAATCAGCTTTAAAAATCAGAAATTATTATAAAAATTTGAAGTGTAAATTATTTAAACGACGTCCAACGATTCATAAAAACTCACCACCATGTTTGAATATGCAAGATAAAAAAAAAAAAAGAGAGAAAAAAAGAGGAAGATCAAATTTCACTTTTTTGATCTCATTTAAATATTTATCATTTCACGTGATTTTCGATATTAAACTTTAGATATCATTTTTAAAAGTTTATATTTTAAACATTTCAAACATTTCAAACAAAATAATAAATAATAAAACGTAAGGACGTGGCAAAGCGAGAACATTATCATATATAAAAATAATTATCCATTTCCGTGGACAGATAACATTAAAAATATTTTAAAAATAATTTATTATCACAATTAAAAATTTATTATCACAATTAAAAACTGCTTTTTTTTCGCATAATATTGGTTTTAGAAAAGCTGCATAATTATAAAAATTTTGCACAAATAAACAAATAAAAAACTTTGATATTATCGATATGATTTTTGGTAGCTGTTTTCAAAAAAAAAAAAAGAAAGAAAGAAAATAAATATAATTGATTATGAAAATATAATTGATAATGAAAATACAATTGATGATGAAAATATAATTAATAAAAAAAAAAAAAAAAAAAGAGATAATAAAGAAACTTACCGAGCACGAGCACCAACACCACCAAATTTCTTTGGTTCACAACGACGGGGATCCGCAACTAACAAACTTCTATCATAATGAATAAGGATTTCCTTTATTTCTTTTTTCTGAGCTTCATCCACGTATTTTTGGTAGTAAGCCACAATTGCTTTTGCAATCGCTTGACGGATGGCATAAATTTGAGAAGTATGTCCACCGCCTCTAACCCGAACTCTTATATCTACACCAGCAAATTTATCTTGACCCAAAATTAAAATTGGTTCATATACTTTGAACCGTAAAATTTCAGGTTCGACTAGATGAATTGGTGATCCGTTAATTTTAATAAGACCTTTGCCTTTTTTGCAATGAGCGACAGCTGTCGCGGTTTTCTGTTATTTTAATGAAAATATTTTTTCAATATGAGGTTATGAAAATTATTTTTTTTAATTTTTTAAGATTTGCAAAATATTAACTAAGGCGTTCTCGAAAAATTATTAACAAATTGTTGATAAATCGAAAATGCTAAATAGCAATTATTAGGGTAAATACAAAAATTTAGAATGTTCAAGACCTTACGACCATATGTCTGAACAGCTTCCGTCGGCGTCGTCATTTTGTGATTTTCTTCTAATGATATTCTTATTATACTAAGTACCGAGCTTCAAAAAAAAAATTTTTTTTTTTGATGTTATATTTGATTATCCTTGATTTTGATTGGTTGACATCACATCTTCTATACTTTAAGTGTTCCAACCACTAACTGAAAACTTAAAATGCATCCTTCAATATTTTAAGAAAACTTCCTGTAAAAATTACAAAGAAGGGTGAGTTATAGAAAAGGATGCAATGATATATTGATCTCGGTCAATGAGAATATACAAGGTGGTGGTAATATATAGTAAGCAATTAAAAAAATATATTTAATTAAAAAAAAAAATAATAAATCAAAATGTAAATAAAATATATTAATTAATCTACAATAAAATTTCTTATTAATAGATATATTAATCTGTATATTTTAAGTATGGAAATACCTAAATATTAATTTCACTACACTAACATTGAATAATAAGTATTATAAAATTTTTTATTTTAAGCTACTAGATTTTTGAATTAAATATTAAGAATTCAGATTGAAATACTTTCAAAATTATTGAAGAAACTTGAATACTGGCAATAATATTAATAAAACTTGTTATAATTAGATTAGTAATAACTATCATTAATACAATTTAAAAGTTCTTTGCATCAACCAAGGTTTAATAAATTTTTATAGAATAATAAATATATTTATTTAAATTCCAAATATTTTAGTTTCATCTTTATGTAAACTTGTTCAGCATACCTAGAACTAGTTATGTTTAAACTTTCATAAAATTTGAACAAATATTTGTATTTATTTTAAAGTTAAATTTTTCAACAAACATTGGTTCAACCTATGCAAAATGGAAACATTTATATTGCATTTTACTGAGATTTAGAGTAATCAGGGTCATCAGAGTAATCAAAGTTATTAGAGTCACTAATTAGAGTAATTTGAGTCATTAAAGTCATCATCATCACTAAATGAAAAATTGTCTAATGGTATATGAGTCAATTTTTTATCAGCATTATCATTAAAAGCAAGTTGGCTAATATGGTAAACGCATTTGCGTAAAGTCAGATTGTTCATCATTATGTTGAATGACACGGGAAACATACAAAGTGGTTAGAGTGTTTTGCCATATTTCTTCTCGCTTGAGAAAGTATGTATCACTATAATTTGATAATATGCCGTAATGAAGACCATTACAGGCCATTTGGCCAAATACCTGCGATAAGATCCTTTCCTTAAATTTAAATTTTTGGATTCGTTATTTGACTCTGGTATCAATTTCCCAGAGGCTTAAATTCAGATTGTGACGTGTTTTTATTCCATGGGCATCCTGGAAATTGTATCATTAGTGCATAAAACATGAACGGAATCTTGTTCCTTGTAGTGATAATAATGCGTTGACAGGCGCTAAAACGTTAAAATAGAACCAATCTTTTGCATCGTTTTCGACTTTGAGAGGGCTTACTTCAGTTGGGAATGTGGGAAATTGTCCCCTTGGAAGGGAATATTGTCTGGTATGTCTAACATTTCGGAAGAATCCAATCCATTCCTTCACATTATCTGGAAATAGTGGGTAGGCAGATGCCGTTGGACTTGGATTAGTTGAAATTTGCGGGATCCATTGGCGAACCGGAACGACATGACTTAGTAATTGACTTGCATGTTTCAGTCATCTTTAGTGATAACCAAAAGCAAAATGGAAGAAGCTTCGAAGACTACTAGAAGAGCAAGAAGAATAACTACTGTCTTTTTATGAAAAGGATGTCATTGTTAGATAGAAGATAATTTTGATTTTCAAAGTCCAATCGTTTTATTAAATTTTCATAACTAAGCCACTTATTTTATTTTATTTATTTCAACAACAAATAAAAATTGTATTAAATATTAGCACTTTGACATCTAATATTAATGTTTAATGACAACATTACGAAGTAGAATTAATTTAAGAACGCATTTCTTTAAATAAATATATCTTCTAGAAGATAAATTTTTATTTTGATATATGTATACTGTACAAGTTACAATCAATATTAAATGTACACAATGTAATAACCAAAGAAAAAATACAAATATTCTGTAGGTAATTTTTCAATAAATGATTTTTAAAATGAGTGGCTTACAAATGAACGGATCCTTTAAAAAAAGTTCTAGATAAAACTGACAAGTGTTACATTTGGCATCACAAATATAACATTTTACTAATTACTTGTGCGCTAAGTGAACCGTCCTCGTTGTTATTTAATTAACTAACTCAGGTATCAGCAAAAGTCCCCTCACGCAGCGGTCTCACTTCCACTGACAAAGAATAAAATAAAAAAAACAAAAACAAAAAATACAAAAAAAAAAACAAACAAATATCCATATAACTTCTCGGGTGACATCACAAAGGTTTTTTTGATAACTAAAAAATATACTTACATTTTTTTTTCTGAATCCAAATGTACTTACACCTGAAGACTCTACATTTTCCCTTCCAGAAAATCTTTTCACCCTTAAAAAATTATTAATTAGTATTTCAACCATTTCAATAAATAGATTAAAAGCTAAAAGTACTGCTGAGAAAATAGTAATTGACTTACGGTTGTAATCCTTAGTTCAGTAGTGCCTCGGAAGTTTTGGACTGTTAAAATACACTGACTCTCAGTGATCTTCATGGTTCACTAGTGTGCAGAAACAATAACTCACGGAGAACCTTGGCCTTTCAACAGCCCTTTTAAAAAATAAATACAACTTTAAAGTCTCTCCATATCAGTTTCACCATTTCGTCTTTTATCAATTGAAAAATGATATATTTGCGTAATTTACTGGAAAAATTTGAGAAGTTTAATCTCCATTGGAGATAACCCGAAAGCGAATCAGGTTTATAAAATATTTCATTTTATCTATTAAAAGATATAAAGAAAAAAATAAATCGGATAAAATCATAATTAATGTGATATAAATAAGATCTATGAAAGGATATAAAAATAAATAAGATATATAGAAACAAATAAGATACAACATCAATATAATGCATTGCTCGTCACGTTTTCCTATTACAAGACAAGTTGAAAGCAAAATATTTAGAGTAAGATGCGTTAGGATACCCTGACTTTTCTCATTGTAGTCTACTCCGTCTTGTCTCTAGTATGTTGGATGTAACGACCTGCAGTTACATAGCTTAACAATTACGTTTTGTGACTCTGTGGCAGATGCTTTGTAGTACAGTTAGTGAGGATACCCTCTTTGACGCGTTGTTCATCTGAACTTTTCTCATTGTAGTCTACTTCTTCCACTCTAATACATCTAACCAATGATTATAGAATATTGAAAGATATATGGAAAATATTTAAATGATTATATTTATTCTCAAATTTCATTTAGACTTCATATCTCACCTGCAGTATTGATTCATCTCGAAGAATTTAATAGCGAAGAACAATTCATATCTCAACACTAGTTTCTCTCAAAAATAGAACTTATCTTTTAACCATTTATACGAAGTAAAATTATATTTTCATTTTATTGTAATGACCATTTTTAAATAAAATAATTTAATAAAGATAATTTCAATACTTCTTTCAAAGTTTATTATTTTATTCATTAAAAAAAATATTAAAAATTATAAAAAATATTATAAATTATAAAAATAATATACAAATTATAAAAAATATTACAAATTATTATAAATATAAATATTAATTTTCTTTTTCTATTTCCGCTTTTCCATTATTAAATTTTAAAACACTTACATTATCCTACAAAATAGAGTAAATCTTCTTTCTTATGTACCTACAAATAGAAAAACGCGTACCTCAAATCCAAGTATATCGTCCTAATGAATATGGAAATAAAAATAAAAAATAAAGGTTAATATTTATAATAAAAATAAAGGTTAATGTTTATAATAAAAACTCAAAGATTAGGAAAAGCGGAAAAAATAACGAAGAAAGTGAAATTAAGAAAAAACAAAAAAGTGGGAAGAAAAGTGAGGGTTTAAATAAAATAAAAAAACTACATATAGGCGCAAACAACCCCAATTTTTTTTTAGGGCCCAAAATTTTATAGGGTCAAATTATTGTGAAAACTTCCACGTGCAATATTATTCATTTCCACACGTGTATTAAACCATGTCTTCTAAAATAATACTACTTAAGGACTATCATTATGATCGCCATTATTATAAGATAGGTGATTTGTTATTCTTGAAATGATGCGTTCCTTTTTTAGTGTTTTTAACGTTTTTGGTGTTGGTATTAGAAATTTCTGTTTTTGTCGTTTTTGTGGCAAAAGCGACTACACTCTCGATATTATTAACATTATTATTTTGTTTATCATTTTATTATTATTATTTGTCGCGGAAAATTTTTGAGAATTGATTAACTTTCTTTTATTAATATTATATCTACTCAAAGAAATAAAATACCCTGCGATTCAAAAGTAATGGAACTAATTCTAGGTTCAGAGAATTTGAACTGAAAGTAGTTCAGCAACTATTAGAATTTGTTCACTGAAAACTCTGTTTGTCCAAGTAATTTTCAGACAATCAATTGAAAATTTTGTTGTCCTCGACAACTTTTCTATGTATTTTTCATCAAGACTATTAAATTTTTTTGTTATTTTTCCCTTAAAGTATGATTCTTGATTTTTCTATATTTTTAATATATAAAATAAATTGAGTTAATACCATTCTCATTAAGTAAGAATATTTTAATAGTAACAACAAAGTGCATCGTACAAAGTATGGTTGCTGTGAGCTACGGTCACGAGGCTACTACAATTTGTAGATGTTAGGTGATAGTAAAAAAAAAAAATAGCCGAGTGATCGACTGATCGCATAAATTTCCGTTGGAGATTCGCAATAATGAGTCACCTTCAAAGCCATGATAAAAGTTATACGCCATTTTGTCAAACATCAACTTAATCGTGTTCAAAACTATTTAGTTCACTCTAAAAAACCTTTACTGGCGGACTTCGCTGTTTGGGATATATTGAAAGCAACGGGAAAAAACGGAGGCTCACATTTTTGCAAGGGTTGGACTGACAGAATGGACGAAACGTCGGCTTCAAAAATGGCAATGAAATTAGATCACAGTAATAATAGTAATAATAGTATCAAATCCTTACCTCAAATTAAAGAAGCTGATTATGAGAATAATAAATTAGATATTTTTCGAGGAATTGTTGCATCAATGATTTCTGAATTTGCTGGGAAAACTGCCGACGAAATTTTTAAATTATTGGAAGTTTCTAGAAATCCTGAACTTGGAGATATCACTATCGCACTTCCTAGACTTCGACTTTCAGGTGATCCGATCAATTGGGTCGAGAAGGTATAATAATTAATGTTGATGACATTAATTTCTTAATTAATAACTTCCCTACTAAATACTAAAAATTTTATTTAGCTTGTACCTAATGAATATATAATTGAAGTTTCACAAGCCGGGCATTACTTAAATTTTCGATATTCACGTCCTCTTCTTGCAAAAATACTTCTTGCTCATATTTATGAGAAAAAGGAAAACTATGGTATAAATCAATCGGGATCTGGTAAATCGTGCGTTATCGATTATAGTAGTCCAAACATAGCCAAACCCTTTCATGCTGGACATTTGCGTAGTACTATCATCGGAAATTTTGTCAAGAACGTCCATGCTGCTAATGGCTGGAAAGCCATTGGATTAAATTATCTTGGTGACTGGGGTAAACAATATGGTACGTGTATTATCCTAACTTTTGTGAGTATTTTTACAGATCATTAATGATAATTTCAAAATTTTGGCAAATTCTTGACATTTAGGTTTATTGGCTATTGGATTTGAAAAATTCGGATCTGAAGAGGAATTGCTTAAAAATCCAATTAAACATTTGTACGATGTTTACGTAAAAATCAATGTAAGTCTTTATTAAGTTACTTATCATGAAGATTTTATGGACAGAATTCGAAGACCTTTAATTATTTATGGACAAGTGTAGGCTAGTATTGAAGGGAATCCTGAAGTAGATGAGCAAGCGCGTGCTTATTTCAAGAAAATGGAAGATGGTATTTAATTATATTCTTTATAATTGATTAATACTTTAATTTAATTTTAATTGTAAAGTTCAAATTACTTTGTAGGTGACGAAACCGCATTAACTTTATGGAGAAAATTCAGAGAGCTTAGTATAAAAAAATATATGGAAACTTATTCGCGTCTCAACATTGATTTCGATGTATATTCAGGAGAATCACAAATAAGTAATGAAAGCATGATGCGAGCATTGAATATACTCAAAGAAAAAAATATTGCTAAAGAATCTGAAGGAGCATTAATCGTCGATTTGACCAAGTACAAATTAGATGTTGCATTACTCCAAAAAAATGATGGTACTACATTATATTTAACGCGTGATATTGGTGCTATTCTGGAAAGGTATGAAAAATACAAATTTGATGCCATTTACTATGCGGTGAGTTCACAACAAGAATTACACTTCAAGCAACTATTCAAAATCTTAGAATTAATGGGAATTGAATGGTTTGATCGGTGTAAACATATAAATTTTGGTATGGTTAAAGGAATGAGTACACGTAAAGGTACTGCTGTTTTTTTAGATGATATTCTTGAACAAACTAAGGAAAGCATGCATGAAGTTATGAGACAAAATGAAAAAAAATATTCACAGATAGATAATCCGGATTATGTCGCGGATATAATTGGAATTTCAGCTATAATGATTCAGGATATGTCGGCTAAAAGGTGATTAATATTTTCTATCTCATTTATGATTAATATAAAATATTAAGAATTATTTTTTTTTTTTTTTATAAAATAATAGAATTCGTAATTATTCATTTGATTGGACTAGAATGTTTTCTTTTGAAGGTAATTATTATATGATATTCTAAATGTTATTAAAATGTTATTAAATTTGATTAAATGTGATTAAATTTTATTATAAAATAACAATTATTAACGTAACAATTATTAATATTTTTATAGGAGACACTGGTCCGTATTTGCAATATGCTCACGCGCGTCTATGTTCTATTGAGCGTAATTGTGGTCTTGAAATAAATCCATCAGCAAACTTGGATTTATTAACAGAAAAATCTGCGATTGAACTTATAAATATGCTTGCACAATATCCTGATGTCATTAAGTCTGCTAAGTACACGTTAGAACCATGCACTATTGTAACTTACATAATGAAATTGTGTCATATTGTTTCGGTTACTTTAGAAACATTATATGTGATGGGAACGGAACGTCAATTAGCTGAAGCTAGATTATTAATGTATTGGGCAGCTCGAATAACACTGGGCAATGCTCTTAAATTGTTAGGTCTTAAACCTTTGGAGCGAATGTAATTGAATTGAATTAATATAAATCTGAATTTTCACATAAAATTTGATTCAAAAATTTATTATAGAATAATAAAATACTTTGGATTTTATTATATTTTTATTAATTTCTGTTCTGTTCATATTTTGATATTTTTGACTCAAAATAAATAAATAATAAAGTAAATATTATTCTTGTTAAATGTCAAATAATAAATAAATCTTTGATACTAGATATATTACACTAAGAAATGTTAATTATTCATTCATCAAAATTTAATAAAATAAATAAAATTATCGATATATATGCATACAATAATAATAATATTTATTTTCTCTAGTAAAACACTATCTAATAGGGAATATGTGGTTACTCTACATATAACTACCACACTCCTAAACGGAAAAGAACAATGTTGGATATATTATTATATTATGCACCAGTTTTTCATGTAGTACAAACTTAGCGATAGAATTTTGATCTAGAAAAGTTTTTAAAAAGGCAACACTTATTACTCGAAACGCAAAAACACGCATTATGTCAAAATTTTTTATATAATTATCATAAAGTGCATAAATTGGGAATTATATATTTTCACGATGTTTTCTCGAGTATTCAATAAATTACTCCCTTCATCAAGAGCTGTTGTATCAAATACTAAAAAGAATTTTTTATTTCCTCGAGAATTCCATAATTCTCAGTCTCTTCGTACTACAGAGCCAATTATGCAAAATGAAAATATATCCTATGCTGTATCAATGACCTTTAAAATACCCGAAAAAATCCAATTGATACATAAAAATACCACAGAAATTCTTAAAAATAGTAATATGATGATATCACCGTCACAAGGTGCTTTTTTTATATTCCTTATTCAAATGATTAAAGCAAAGAGAATATTAGAACTTGGAACATATACAGGATATTCTGCAGCTTGTTTTGCTGAAGGATTAAGAAGAATGGGTAATATTAATGGAGCAAAAGTAATTTCAGTGGAATATGGGGAAAAATATCATGAAATGGCTTATAAGAATATTAATAATGCTGGATATCTTGATTTAGTAGAATTGATTCTAGGTGATGGTGTAATGGTGTAAGTTAATAATTGAACAATTGTATTGATAATAATTTATTAATAAAGAATAGCATAATAATTTTATCATTTGTGTCGGGAATATTCGTTTATGCATGAATTTAGACTTGAAGCTTTGGATAATTTAGAACCATTTGATTTTGTGTTTTTAGGTAAGATTTTATATTTATTTTATAATTATTTATAATAAATAATTAATTACTTTATAAATGCTTTTTTTTTCCTTTTTTTAGATGCGAATAAAAATGGATATATAAAACATTATGATATCATTCTTGAACGTAACTTACTTGCAGACAATGGTATTATGGTTGCAGACAATGGTGAGGATTCATTTTGTTTTTTGTTATTTTATTATTTATTTATTTGCTTCATTAAATAATTTTAAAATTTTATTATTATTAAGTTTTGTTCTATGGACAAGTACAAAATGTTCCAAAGCTTAAAGCAAAAGGTAAACTCAACCCATTACAACAGAAACAAAAGAAAATTGCTATAGACTTACATCAATTTAATGAATATGTGAAGAATGATCCAAGAACTATACAAGTTTTATTACCCGCTTTTGATGGACTTATGTTTATAAAAAAGAATATTTGAGAACATTTTATTTCACGATCAAATTATTATTTTTAATCTCTGTTCAAAGTTCGTGTTTAATGTGTTTAATATACTGTAGAAGTTTGTGGAACACGCATTCTGTACAAATAGACTTCACGTTTGAACACGTTGTTGTTACCCGGAGTGTCATATTCATCAACTCCAATAAAGAGTTTTTGAGATTGTTTTCTTTATGATCATTAAGATATGTTAAATGGCAATGCATACAAGACAATTACATAATAGTTTCATCTCACCTTCTTTAACATTTGTCATTATCATAATCCAAGCATATTTTTATCCCGCTTTTTTCCTATCGTAGTTTCTGGAAAGATCAGTTGTATTCGGGATATTGTCTAATTTTTGATAATTGTTTCTTATTGTGATGGTAATTAATATGCGACACGCGGCGTGACAATTGTTAACTTCAAAAGTAACTATAATTTACATCATCTGACTAAAATTAGCTGCTATGTCTTCTGCTACAATTAATAGTCAAAATAGTCAGGCCAAAGATCTTGAAGTTCCCCGGTAATAACAAAATTTCTACGCGTATTCTATTCGGAAAGTTAGTAAAGAATACATATAGTGGAATGAACCTCAGAACAGAATAATTCAAACAATTTATTATTAGATCTGTTATATTTAAGCTCTATGCACACACTTTATTGATGGTTTTTCTTCCGATCGGCACTTACTTTTTTACTTCAAATTATTTTTTCCAAGGTTTTTATGAAAAAGTGCACTTTTACTTTGTTTAATATTATGTTTCAATATATATTTAATTAAAAATCAAATAAATTTATTTATTAATATATATATTATAAACTTAGGAGAACTTAATACGACTTATGCAGCACTCTCGGCTGCGGGAATAGCCAACGTCGTTGTACTTTCCTTTATAATTACTGCATTTATGGAAGATACTAGTGTTCAAAAACGAGATAAAAAGGAATGAAATTTTTATTTTTATTTTATCTTTTGAAAGAATAAAATTTTATTTCCGCATTTCTTAAATAATAATGAAAAGGAGAAAGTAGAATGACATCAATATTCATTAAAAAATATTTTAAAATATTTTAAATAATAATCTTTGATCTTATTAAAAATACATAAATTATTAATTAAACAGTAAAATAAAAGATCAAAAATAAAAATAAAAATATTATACAAAAATATTTCTTAATATTTGGTCAATTCTTTTCATTCCTTTTTCATAAAAGGCCATCGTCTTAACTGTAACATTCCATCTCCGGTCACAATCTTTGCTAAGGAAGATTTATTATCTTTCTCTGGAGATGGAGGTGACAGGGGACTATCCAAAGTAAATGATTTTCGTGAAGGTTTTGTAAAAGTAACATTTCCGTCATTTGTAACCAAGGCATAACACATTGAGGGTATAAAAGGAAGATATTGTCGACTTGAATTATTTGAACTTTTCGAATGAGGTTCCGGTTCTGCCGCAACAATTTCTTCTACGGAAGGCGAAGTTAATCTATTCGGAGATAAATAATTTATGAACTATTAATTAAGTGAATTTATATCCTTAACAATAATTAATGTATTGTAGTTTAAGCTTACGATTTAAATCCTCCAAGAACTGGCTCAATACGGGTAGACATGTAAAAGTCACCAGGTCCATCCAATTGTAAGAATTCCTAATGAAATCATAAATCGAGAAAATTTTATTACCAAAATTCATATTATAATATTATTTATTTACCATATTATAAAGAACTAACGTACTGGACCACCAAATGCCCATTTTCTTGTTTTCACCGTTATTCTTTTCATATTTTCTAAAGCAGGTTTTACTGATGGACTATTACGAATAGTATCAAAAAAAGATGAAGTTGCATTAGATATCTTCGCTTTGATCCCTTTAAATAATCTTCTTCTATCAATTGTAGAGGGAGTTATAAGCGATGGTGCTATTTTTGGATCAGTTTTTGAATTCCAAGCAATCAGATGTCTAAATAAAAAAAATAAAAAAAATAAATAAAATAAAATAAATAAAAAATTTATATTTTTATTGTCAATTTTGTCAATTTAATGAGATATTATTATTAAATTAATTAAATATAATAATTTATTACTTTGCATTCACCAAATAAGCTTCCTCAGAATTCAAAACTAATCGATAAATAGATCCGTAATTTGAAATTGCTATTGTACCCCTACCAGTCACTCGATTTGTGAAAGAATTTAACGCACCCTATATTTTAGAATAATCAAATTTAAATAATATTAAAATAAAATAATTAAAATTAGAAAGATCCAAAAAAAAATGTTCATATTATAATAAAATATTTAATTTTTTACCATTCCACGAACGCGCCTTATATTGATATTTACGCGAGGACCTCGTGCTAATAATGCACCTTTTCGCACATAGTACTCAGATGTACCATCCATTTCAATTGCGGCAATATCAGATAAGTTATTAGGTCCAAGTAAAACGTCACCAGGATGTGAGAAGGTTGTATACTGATTATATTATTAATATAATCCAATGAACTGATGTCAAACTGGTGAGTTTATAATCATTGTTCCATTGATTCATTAATCATTCGATTTGCTTGCTGTGTACCTTATGATATATTAAAGAACCTCCTGCTAACTTTCTTCCTACTGCAATGACAACATTACCATCAGTAGTACGTTCAACGTTAACCTAGATTCAAATTCAAATACAAAAGATTCCCATTCAAATGTTTTAATTCATAACTTATTATTCTTTAACTATTAAATTAATATATATTATAATTATTTCGCACTTTGCTTGATACAGCAATGGCTGTCCCGGGTGCTGCAAATATCTCTGACCTTGGTGGAAGTTTAATCAAAAGTAAGGCGCCTAAAGTTCCTGGGGAAATGATTTCAAATTTTGGATCTGGGATCGGATGTTGTTTAGTCCATAATGCTGGAGCATTTATCCCTGAAAAAAGAACGAGTAATGTTTAATAAAATAATATCAAGTCATAAATAATTAAATAACTCTAATTTACCAGGAGTTATGGATGAAATAAAATTCGTGAAACGTCCTTGTTGTTCGACGACTTTTTTTGATTTATTTATCTCTTCGTCTTGTGTAGTCGAAATTTGCTCGTTAACAGTTGGCGTAATAAACTTACTTAACCCATTGCTCTTAGCATTATAAGCAAGTCCTGCATAAGTTTGCGCGATACGTCTCAGTTTTGAATAGGAATCTCGGCGAAAAGTAGCCATCGTTTTTCAACTTAAGGAAAACTATCGAACATAAATTTTTGGATTTACCATGTGACGAAAATTCAGATTATATCTTTAACCCCTGAAATTATTTACATTACATGTATTTATGACAATAAAAATTATTTAAAAATACACAATTTTCTAATTAATTTTCAAAAATCTTTTTTGATTACATAAAATATTTCAATATCTATGTGTGCCAATATTATATTATATTTTATGCAATTATTGAGATATAATTCCTCTCTTATGCTCAATAGTTATAAAATATATTTACAAAGTGTTTATAATTAAAAAAATTATTCAAAAAGAAAAGAATAAAAAAAAAAAGAGAATTGAGAAAATATTAACAATTGTAAAAGAAAAAAATAATAAAAGCTATACAAGAAAGTTTAACGCGGATCTTGTGAGTTCAATAAATCAATAAATTAATCTAATCGTTTACGCTCAAATAATCTTCGCCCTCCCCATGACTTTTAAATTCATCATCGACTTGATCTTGCTTTAAAAATTCCTCAAAATCTTGGGCGAATTTTTCGTCATCAAAATCTCCGTCATCTTCATCATCACTTTGATTACCAGCATCATAATCATATCCATATTCTCCCGACTCATGTTCTTGGGATTCAGATTGACCACCATCATCATCATATTCAGATTGTTGATAACTATTGTTTGTTTGGTAGAAATCAATTTCTGAATTGGGTTCGCCAACCTCCTCACCAACCTCCTCTTCCTCTTCCTCCTCCTCTTCCGCCTCATTGAATGTTATAAAATTCCGAAGTGGTGATTGTTTCATTCGTTTAGAATGGTGATCTGTCTCTAATTCCCCACTATTTCGTTTCAGTTTTTTGCGTCCATTACTTTAAAATAGTTAAATAAAATATTAATAAAAGGTGCAAATGGTTTAAAATAATTTAAATTACAAAAAAATAAAAAAATAAAAAAAATATAAAATAACCTTTCATTTCCACTTTCAGTCTCACTTTCATCTAAGGCACTTGTATCGCCTGAATCCCCAATTTCATCATCTACCTCTTTAAAGACATTTCCCCAATCAATTTTCTGAAAATGTTCATAACTTTCTTGAGGACTTAACAATTGTTCTTGTTCTTCTTCATCAGTAATATCAGTAGCTGAAGGTGTTTCGATTATTAAATCCGGAGGTTTTTCAGTTTCTCGTATTGAATTTGGTTCAAATGTGTAAAGTGATTCAGGTTGTCTCTCCCATTTTTTTATGGAGTCATCCAACCTTTAACATGTAAAATCACAAGTATTAAAATAAATATGTCTATATGTATATATACAAAAATATGTCTAAAAGAATAAATACTAACCATTCTTTACGAACTATAAAGACATTTCCTTTTCGCTTGGCTTCCCTTACTTTTTCTGTTCCTTGCTAAATTAAGTAAATCCATTTTTTATTTTTATATATATCTATTAAAAAAATACCATAAAATATCATGCCCTGTATGAAACTTACATCTCCAGCCACGAGATGAGAAACTTTACTATTCCAATTAGCTGAACATTCTGCACCAAATTCTTTAGCTAAAATCCATATTTCGGCACTATATTTATTATTATATTTATAGAAAATTAGGTTAGGCTATCGTATGAATGAACCAATAAAAAAAAATTAATAATAATGTTGTTATAATAAATACCTTTCTTTCTTTTGATGAGTTGGAATTACATGCGTGAACAATATATTTAAACCCTTTAACACTTGTGACTTCAAACGAGGTATTAATTCAGTTACATCTGGAGTTTTAATTATTTCTTCATTATCATTTGATGTACTATGTAAACGATCAAATTCTTCATAAAATTCTTTATGTATATTCCTTAAAGCCTTAATTGATAATAAAGAAATTTCAAAAAGAAATCATATGTTAACTCGAATCTTGTTTTAAAAAAAAAAGAAAACCAAAATGAGATATTACCTTCAATAGGTTGGGTAATTCCGTATCATCATTAAGGATAGGTCTTTCAATTACTATATTTTGATCTTGGTTTAAAAGAGATGATAAAAGGTCTAAATTTTTATTTTCCTCGTTTTCACTATGGTCCAATTGTTGTTTTTTAGGCATTTTTTCATCATAATTTCTGTCATCCTCGGAAATCTCTATTAAATGAATATAAATAAAATTTTTAAGAAAATAAAGTATTATGAAATTATTTTCGAATAAAATGCATACCTTCATATGTTCTTTTATTATTATTATTATTCTGTTGCAATTTGGATATTGATTCTTCCAACTTTTCATCATTTGTATTTTCATCATTTGTATTTTCAGTTTTTTGATAAACAATTGGATCCTTGGAACTTACTATATTGAAAATTAAATTAAAGTTAAATATTATTTTTTGATAAATAGGTATTCATAAAAAACCATTCATACCTTCATCGAGTTTTTTATTAATTTCCGAGGTTTCTGAATCATCAATAAATTCCTTTTCTTGGGGAGAAGCATTATTATCTACTGTTGTTGTTTTAGATTCCGAAACATTACCATCTACTATTGGTGTCATTTTAGTATCCGAAGAATTACCATCTACCGTTGTTGTTTTAAGTTCCGAATCATTATCATCTACCATTGCCATCATTTTAATATCCAAAGCATTATCATCTACTATTTTAATATCCAAAACATTACCATCTATTGCAGTTGTTTTTGGTTCCGAAGAATTATCATCTATTACTATCATTTTAGGTTCCGAAGCATTATCAACTATTGTCATTGTTTGAGGTGGTTCTAAAGTATTAACGTCAAATGTTGTTGTCATTTCAGTATTTGAAACATTAACATCTTCTGTTGTAGTTTTAGTATCTGAAGAATTAACGTCTTCTGTTGTAGTTTTAGTATCTGAAGAATTAACGTCTTCTGTTGTAGTTTTAGTATCTGAAGAATTAACGTCTATTATTGTTGATTTAACATCTTTAGTATTTTATGATTTAAATTAAATTTGTAATCGAAATTAAAATTTCAAATTTAAGGTAATAAATAATACCTTCTGATACTGATTCTTCACCGTCTCCCGTCACTTTAGATGAATCTGATATTTGTGAATCGTCAGCAGCAGTCAAATCTTTATCCTTAGGTTTTTCATTCAACTAAAGATATTGGATGATAAAATTTAAAAGGAATAACATGAGAAATAATTATTTAAAATTTAAAGGAAATAAAAAATAAATAAATTCTTTACCTTTAAAAGACGGACATCGTTGATATCACCGATTCCTATAAAGAAATCATCTTTATATTTGATTTTAAAGGAAAAAAAAAAATTTTTAAATTATCAATTTAGTTTTATGTCAAAATATTTTAATAATAATAATAATAATAATAATAATAATATTTATTTTTTTCTGAATCACTTACAAGGATGAACTTTTATCAAATTAGGTGACCAACCCCAAACATCTGCTCTATCATCAATTACAACTACCATCGAATCATTACAAGGAAATAGACGACGTATGTTTTTTTGAGTCATGCCTATAAATTATTTATTGCATTATTTTTATTTTTTTTTATTATTATTGTATAATCCGTATATATTTAATAATAATAACAATTTTAAATAAAAATACTTACTTCCGCTCTCGTCACGTGATAATATACGCTCATTGAAAATCGTTTTATCTGGATCAATGACATTCGCGACTGCAGATGCATAATTTCGAGTTCCCATAGTGTATATATGAGGTTCATAATCTTCGGATATAGTTTTCAAAAATTCTTTAAGTCCTGGTCTAAATTTCATTTAATTAAATTTTGATAATAAAAAAATTATATTAAATAAAAAATTTCAAAATATTTATATTATTTCATACCTCAATTTAATGTAATATATTGTAGGACTATCAGGAAGAACAAATTTGTGAATGTCTTTAGTTGCAGGGTGATTAACATTATTTTCGTCTCTAATCCATTCTTCCACTTTTGGATCGATAGTTGCGTGAATTAAAGTTTGATCCAAATCAACAATTAAAGATAATTTCCGTGATTTCACAAGTCTTGTCGAAGTTTCTTTTTCTAATCTTTCAGCTTCATTAAGACTCACAGTTAATCCTGCTACATTATGAGACATACTAATAGTGGCTCTTTGTGAATAATCAACACCAGTAAAATCTGTTTTCATCATATCATTACCGCATATCGCACATAAACCATGAAGTTGAACTGAATGAAAACATAATTCTTGAACTCCAACAACGGGTTTCCTACTAAATATTATATTTATATTATAAATATAAAATAATTTTCCATAAATATTATAAAAAAAAATATATTAGTTATATATTATTATTCGCAAAATCAAAATCAAAAAATGAATGCTTACTCTTCCGAAGAAATAATTTCACCTTCTCTAACATAATATTCATCAAGTTTACCTTCTGCTGGACTTTTCAATTCTTCAACAAAAGGCACATTAACATCGATTATTTCTTCTATTTTAGGATTTAATTTAGTCGGTTGTGCTTTTTTGATATATTCATATATCAAAAGTGACTGTGTTTTTATAATGTTATCACCAGGTTTAGCCAATATTTTACGAATGGTTGCAGGTAAGTGCTCTCTTGGTATGGTTATTAAAGTCGTTTCCCGAGACATTTGAGACATTTTAAATTTGTTAAAATTTTCTTTATTCTTAAATTATAGGGAGTAAAGTAGTTATTTGTTAAGACTTTTTGTTCCCCTTTGTGAGAAAGTTTTTGGAATTCTTAAAAAAAGAGTCTTGGTGTTTTGTTTCTCGAATATTATGGAATATTAATTGAATATTAATTAAATATTAATTAAATATTAATTGAATATTAATTGCTATATAATTAAATATATTATTGAAAAAAATTTTATAATTAAAATTTTTAACTAATTGTTATGAAAAAAAAGCACTAACCATCAAAAATGAAGAAAGTTATTACAAGTGGAATGATTTTATAGTTTTAAAGTTTGTGATCTGTGACATGCATGATGATTGTTTATATGAGTGGCTTAGCCAATCGATCTTCTTTTATATTGTTTCAAACAAAAAAGAAATCAGAAATAAATCAAATATTTTTTATAGTCGGAAAGAAAAGTTATAATTTATAATAATAATGCCTTTTGGAATAGAGAAAGTATTGTACCGTGGGGCAAAACGATACCAAATGACCTCTAAAAAAGGTCACAACTATTATAAAGGTTTGTCTTTTAATATTGAGAATTATGGTTTTTTTTTCCTTTTGTTCCAAAAAAAAATAGTTTAAAGACTTTAAAATGTGAAAGGCACGGGTAGTGGGGCTATGGGTAGACATACCAGCAGAGGTAATTAAAACTTTATTATTAAGTGATAGAATTTCATAAATATTTTATTAATAAAAGAAAAATTAAAATCAAAGGTGGTTATATCATTGATTTACGTAAGGTTCGAACATATGTCGTGCCAGACTTAAGTAATTGTGAAGTGAGTGAACAAGAAAATTTTTTATCTATATAATGTGAAATGAATTTATGTTAACGAATTAATTATGAATTGTAAAGAATTGTTAATGAATTTCATAATGAATTGAATAGTATAAGCCTTATGTAACGCCCGAAGCTAAAAGAGGAATAAAATTCAGTCTAAATACAAATGAATACTTAAATATTCTTAGAAGAGAACTTTACCCAACCGAGACAATTTATGATACAGTAAAAACAGGAGAAAGATCACGGAAACGGTTTAATCCGCCTAACGAAGAAGCAAACCAACAAGAAGAAGTGACAGCAGAAGAACAATCTAGACTTTTTTAAATGCGAAATAAATGATTTCGTTAAAAATTTTATTTTTTCTAATACATATAATAAATGAAAATGATACTGGTTGAATGTCTATCTGTCTATCAACAATTACATAACGTGGTCACGTAGATCATCGATCACCATTTTTTTTCTCGCCTCGTTTTCTGACTTTTTTTTTATAGTATGGGATAATATTTCCTTTCTTTTTTTTAATCACAATACTACCCATTGGGCGCCTTTTTATTTTTACATAAAACGCGAAAATGGTATCTTTATTTTTTGAGGTATGGTATGATTCCCGAAAGAATACAAAAAATTAAGGAGTTCACTAACTAATTAACAAAAGCTTAAATTTACGTTATGTAATAATTTTTTTTTTTCACACTTCATTTATCAGCATTTGTTAATATACAACAATCTATATTTTCACAAACTCAATACGATTTAAATTTTTGCCGTAAAAAAATAAGGGTAAATATAATTTTTTGGCGGAGTCAGCACGGTTGATATGTATTATTACAAATAAAATTTATTTTGCCGATTAATATAATGGCAGGTGATATGATGAATTTTATTAACTTTTACATATTATTTCCTTGATCCCGTGCCGATTTACCTTTCAAAAATCTCGTGACTTGTAATCGATAACCCGAATATCTTTACCTAGAACTGACGCAATAATTCGGAACTCAAACTTTTTTCAAAATTTTCGTGATTTAACTAAGAAGCTTCAAGAACAATTCCGACTTCCAAAATTTCCAAAGGAACCTATAGAGGAGAATAGGTAACATATGATTTTATCATAGAACTGTGATCCTTTACTTTAAGTTCCACTTAGTGTTAGCTCATATGAATTGCAGTTTACCTTTTAAGATTGGTTCCAATATATCGATAAAAAACTACAACAAATTTCTTGAAAGCCGTGAATTATCTGAGTACAAGTTTGAGTATAATGACGGCAACATTTTTATTATTGATATGTGCACACAAGTACATGAAGCTGTTGTTTCACTATTGCAAGATTATTTCAAAATTCCAAATGGTGGCGTTATTATTAATCCACCAATAATCGTTTCGGGTCAACCACGTAAGAAAATTTAAGCTTGCTTGATCTTTGACTTTTTATGGATTTTCTAATATCTTACATCCTTTTTATAGTTCATCCTTCACCAAATGCAGATAGAAGATTGCACCGGGTAATCCAGCATATCAGATCAACATTCCAATAAGTGATGTAATTTATGACCCACCTATTCCAGCTATTGGATATGTTCCACTGGTTTCTTATCCTCGTCCTGCAATTCTTGATCATTGATCTTTACGAAATTCAGCAGATAGTTTTGAAAAGTCAGCCAAGATAATGAATATGTAGTGTGTTAAAGTTTTATAATAATCCTATTTGTTGACACTGCACTACAATCTATAATACTTTGAACTTGGTTCATGTTCTTATTTTTTTTGTATTTACCAATGCCCGCATCGGGCTTATCTTTAACTGTGCATATGCGTGTGTGGGTGTCAGAAAAATAAAATAGAGAATATGTGTGCACATGAAATTTTATTGCTTAATCGTGGAACATTTAAAGTTTTAAGTTTATTCTATAAGACCCAATTCTCGAAGATGTTCTGGAATAACTATATATGGGTCTTCATAATACCAAACATACCTTAAAACGATTCAATTTTCTTCGCACAATTCTTTCTTGAGTTGATCCCGTGCCTGCTGTTTGATAAAATTATCGGGGTCTCCTTTATGAAAGAATTCATTATATTTTTCGTGTTGTATGCCTTGTACTTCGATTGCAAATCCATAATTGCGGATAAAATATATCAAGTTCTAGTCCATTCAAATGTTCTTGTGTTTTTAAGAATTCAGGCCTGCGGGTTAGAATATATTCTGTTAAAATTTCACGACATAATTTTTCTCTTTTATATTTAGGGCAGAATGGATACCAGGTATTTCGTCTTTAACAGCATTAAGCATATATGTCCTTTAACACATTTCCATAATAGATCTGAATAGTTATTAAAATATAAGGTAGAAAGACACTCACCATGCAATTTGCTTGGCTTGATAAATATCACAAGCATATCGTCCAGAACAATGGGGACACCATGAATTTGCATTTTTAATGTTATTAAGTGTTGCATTCCATTCTTGCCCTTTAGAACAACGCTACAATAAAGATGACATGCTATTATATATTTTTCAGAAAGACATTTCCCATTTCTACTATGTGCAATTTTTCTAACATTTTCAAGAGTATGTTTAGATACACTACGACCTACACAGTATGGACACCAAGTATTGTGATTTTTTACACTATTGAGACAAGAATTCCATTCATGCCCCACAGCACAGCGCCATAATAATATTGACTTGTTATTAATAAATTTTTTAGAAAGACATTCTCCATTTTTATCATGTGCGATTTTTATAGCATCTTCAAGAGTACAAAGCCTTCTATGCAAACATTTTATACACCAATTTTACCATGTATAACATTGTTATAGGTTGCTGACCACTCATGACCTTTAGAGCATCTCCATTCTAATAATTCTTTGGTAGCTGTACATTGGATAGAAAGGCATAATCCGCCTCTATCTGTAGCAATCTTTTTATGGTGCAGAAAGTCTAAAGGCATCAATATATTTTAAATTGCTAAAACTTTTTATCTAAATATAGAAATTTTTAAAAAAAAATACATTATTTGATAGCTCTTGATTAGCTTTACAATTTAATGTATTTTTTGATATAATTTATTGAGTAGTAAAATCGGGTTTTATACATATATATATATATAAATTTCAGCACTAAAATTTACATATCTAGCCACTTTGTGACTACCACTACATATTACAGAGTATGCCAGCCAATCGGAATACAATTCACATGTATAATTCGCAATTATTCCTGTTATACTATCTATATAGTGAACTTTTAAGTAACGATAACCACCGCGTTTTTACTAAATTAACGTTAAAAATTTTAACCTTGTGCATTTCCAAGTTTATATAGGTGGTTACAAAATTTACAAAAACAAAACGACCCATTCAGCTGGCTAAACAATCTTAATGAACCATGGATGAGAAAACTTATAACGGAATTCATAAACCCCTTCAAGTATTCTTAAGTGGCTGTTCAGATACGTTCTAATGCAAAAAACGTATTTATTAAACATATTTTACATAGACATCAGGGAATAGTAACTCCGTACGGCGACGGGCAAGATGGTAAGATTGCCTTACTTTCGACCGGTCTTGGTGATTACAATATGGGACGCCATATGTCTACTGTGGACATACTACATAAGTCGGCCTCCAAGGAAAAATTTCCAGGAACAAACCGCATATTTGGTGAAAATGTTGGACCTCCTTTGCAAAAAGATTTTAGAAATGGAGGAGAAGGCCCTGGCTCGCCCAATCACGATAAATCTCACATTTTCGGCACGAAACGGGAAGATTCTGAGATACTTTTTCGGGGCAACAATTCGTTGTGGGAAAACGGGACAAACGGGAAAGCTGATATACGATATGAACAAACTGGCGTCAACGACGAGAGTGGAAATGATGCCGTTGAATGTTCCAATCGAGAAAACATTCGAGAACTGCAGTCAAGCTTGGGGAAATTGTTCCGAGACAGTACCTTGGACGGCTCTGTATGGACAAAGGAACACGTTCAAACGCCGTGTTATCTTGTACTCCCAAACAATGAATCTAAAATCGAACACGACAGTTTTTCCGTGTGCCAAGTGTCAGTTTGTGCGGGACTCGATATTAAAACATCGTGCAATAATTCTCCCATTATAGTTGAACGAATAAGTGAATCTGATGGTATTCGTGTGGCAACCTCTCTTCACCTTAAGCTCCAAACTGAAGATCCTCAAGAAAATTCTATGAAAGAGCTTCAATGTTACATAACGGAAATTAAACAGTTTGGTTTTAATCATATTATCATCATCGGAAAACGTTATTGTGGCATGCTTTTTATGGATTGTTTTGGTCGTGTTTGATTGGGATTCAGCGAATGATGCATTGTGGCTCCTCGGAGATTATTTCGAAATTATATCAAAGGATGAATCTGAGGAATATGGTCGGATAGCATGGGGCGTCTTGGATGACGGAACTGTGATTGAGTTCGAAAAATGTGTGTATATTTGTAGATAAATTAACGCGTATATTTAAACATCGTACCTTAATCTCTTATATTTATTTCTTCTTTCAGATTTGCCGGGAAAATGTAACACTGACCCAATTGTGGAAAAAAAAAAAAAAGAAAAAACGTCATTGATTAATATAAAATATTTTGGTCTTACAAACCAAGTGAATAATTATGAAGTGATCATAATGGTTTATTCTGCAATAATATATCGAAAAATAGAAAGATGCGTTTGATTTATTTTGAAACTTTAAAGCTAATAAAGTTTCGGGCTTATTTTTTTTTACGTACGCATGCGAACATATTTAACAATGAAATTGAGTTGCGAAAATAAAGCACCTGATATTTAAAGTTTTAATTTTATTCAATGATACCCAATTCTCGAAGATGCTCTGGGATAACTATATATGGGTCTTCGTAATACCAGACATACCTTAAAACAATCCAGTTTTCTTCGCACAATTCTTTCTTGAGTTGATCCCGTGCTTGCTGTTTGATAAAATTATCAGGATCTCCTCTATGAAAGAATTCTATATATTTTTTATGTTGCACCCCTTGAACCTCAATTGCGACACCATATTCTGGATAAAATATATCAAGTTGTAGACCTTGAGGGGATTCAACCGTTTTTAAGAAGTCTGGCTCTGACGGAGATCCAAGATATTTTGACACAATCTCGTGACATAAATTCTTCCATTTGAATTTTGAGCGAAATGGGCACCATGTATTATGATTTTTTATACTACTAAAGGATGTATACCAAGTATGACCTTTATCACATTTCCAATAATATTTGATTTATAGATTTGATATATTTTTTAGAAAGACACTTCCCACCATGCAATTGTGCAATTTTCAGCATTTCATCAAGATTTAATTTAAACCCATATCTCACACATTGTGGACACCATGTATTATGATTTTTTATACTACTAAGGGATGTATATCATATATGCGATTTATTACATCGCCATTTTAATGGAATTGTATTATTAATGTATTGGATAGAAAGACATTTACCTCCTTTACTTTCTCCAATTTGTATTGCAACTTCGAGACTAAGGCAGTACTGTACATCAGGAAATTTAATTAGGCGTAGATTTACGGAAATATCACATGACCTCTGGAAATTTACACTGATAAATTTGATTTTTAACTTTGGCCGAGATTTAGGTGACAGGGAGCGATTTTCTACTAAGATATTTCTAAGATAGATCGAAAGCCCTAGTTTTTGGCTACAAGATGATATGTGTTTCATTACTATAGCATCGATATTCGCGGAGAAATTCACGTTTAAATTCAAACGTCCGTGAAAATTTATGCTATAAATTTTCATAATTCTGCCGGAAATTTTTTATTACATCAAAATTTCCAGCAGAATTACGAAAATTTACAGAAAAATTACGGCATAAATTTTTATGGACGTTTGAATTTAAACGTGAATTTCTCCACGAATATCAATGCTATAGTAATGCAACATATATCATCTTGTAGCCAAAAACCAGACTTTCGATCTATCTTAGAAATATCTTAGTAGAAAATCGCTCCCTGTCATCTAAATCTTGGCCAAAGTTAAAAATCAAATTTTGCAGGCATAAATTTCTGGAGGTCATGTGATATTTCTGTAAATCTATGCCTAATTAAATTTCCTAATGTATGGTTACAGTTATGGTTACAGTTATTAGCACAATATTGACACCATGTACCACAGTTTTTTATGTGGTGAAAAGGTACTGACCAAATATGTCCTTCTTCGCATTTCCATTCTAAAGGACTTTTGACATTAATATACTGAGCAGAAAGACATTTTCCATTATATTTTTTAGCAGTAATTTGAGCATCATTTAAAGATAATTTTTTCATTATAATAAATTGTTACTTTTAATATAGAAGTTATTTTTTTAATATAAAATCACAAAGGTTAAATATGTACATCTTTTTAATAAAAGTGGTGAGTAGGATGTATACTATATTATTATATTAATAAATAACTGAAAAAATAAAAATCATATCTTTTCACAGTACCTGCTCAAAGTCAGATCTTAATTAGGTTAACTACTTTTCTTTTTTTGAATGTTAACTGTAATTGTTTGACTTCAAATGATAAAGTCATGAGAAGGTAGGATTTAATCAATGAAAAAAATCGCATGATGAAAAATATTTATATTAGTCTGTTTTACATATTCCATAACTACTCACTTTTTTTACTTATGCCCTATTCACATTGTCACCAGTGGTTCCTGGTTTTCTTAAGAACTACTTAGTTGAGTGACTTAATGGTTCTTTTAAAGAGTTTATAGTCCTTTCCCAAAGGTAAGACTGTTGTTTCATTATTTTAGAAAGTACCACTGATTCAGTTATTTTAGAAAGGGAATCAGACCTTTCATCCAATTTATTTCAATATCTTTTCAAGTTCATTATTATCCTTAGTATTAATCTTCATCTATTAATTATCTTTTAATTTCATTAACTTTAAATATTATTTCCAATTATCTAGATTAATTATTATTCCAAGTTCAGGTTTTATAATAGTTTATAATTAATTTCATTAACTTAGGAATAATAACATTATACAATTATATAATCAAGTATTTAATCCCATAACATCCATTATTTTTTTATTAACTACATAAAGTATTATTTAATAATTATTTCTATAATTTATATTTATATTTTCAATATTTATTTTTATAT